CCCTTGAGTACGCAACCTAACTATTGCGGTTCTTAATAAAACCGTACTTGGATATTGAGTAGGCCTGGCGACAAGAGCAGCTACATGTGGGACTGATGTCTCTATATTACCCGACATTGTATGTTCATTTGTGGACTGAATAACAGGACTAATCTCGCTTTGAATGGATGTACCTGCCCTAGGATGCACATTCATATGTAAAGTATAATGGTGACGCTTTCGGCAGAACTTACAAGTAACCTTGCTACATTTATGAGGTATCTGAAAAGGATATAAACAATTATAACAAAGCTTATTAGCCTGTACATAGTCACTACGTTGTCGCGGCGTCATTGCTAAATACTTTCCACATCCTTGTAAATAATGTTTTTCATGACATAGTGGGCAAGTTTCAGAAGCTTGAGAAGTCGATACTTGAGACGTCCTCTTCATATGAGTATGCGGCATTGTATTAAATGTATTAGTATTCGTATTCTTATCCTTAACGTTTTCGAAAGCAACTGATCTGTAGTTTAAGAAATCTATTAAATCCAGCAATTTTGGCAGTTCAGTAGTTTGTCTGCTCAATTCCCATGCCATTCTTAAGGAATTGTCCAATTTATGTGTAATTAAATAAATCAATATTACTTCCGTTGTATCAACTTGCATCGTATTTAATGCATCTAAAGATTGTTGTAGATTACTAAGAAAATGTTTGATATTGTCTCTTGTAATGGTATTGTAATTCAATATTTTCAAGTGGTGATTGACAATCAACATTTTGTTTTCGTAGCGTTTCTCAAGTGTCATCCATGCGATGTCATAATTATCCTCTATAATTGGTAATGAGGAAATCAATCCTGCGGCTTCACCCCTTAGAAAAGACTTCAAGTAATAAAATTTTTCAATTTTAGTTAAATTGTTGTTGTTATTAATTACAGATAAAAATAAATTTTTAAAGTTATTCCAGTCCCTGATCTCTCCACTATATATAGGTATATTTAGTTGGGGTATAGGGACATGTATTGATTTCTGTATAGGAATGCTATTAATATTAGAATTATCGTTTATTTTAATGTTTGTGTATTTCTCGTATATAGCTGTAGTTTCATAATATTTATTCTCAAAACTTTCTCTCTCTATTATATCTGATTCTAAATCTTGTAGACACTCTATTTCTAATTGAATTTCCATAAAATCATCCAACATTTTTTCTAAATTTTTATATCTAGTTTTTATTTCATACATTTTGCCGTGATTGTTGACATCACTAATAAATGTATAATGGCGTGTGAGATTGCCTTTTAATATTGCTCGTTTGCTAAGCAATCGCTTCAATTCAGCCATGCTGATTATTATATATTGTAAATATTAATGTATATACTTATATCGTAATTTACTTACGGTTTGTATGTTGTATTGTAAGATCTGTTGATCGGACTTCTGTGTTGTCGAAGTCTTTTTGTATTTATATGGTTACCTGTTGGTATATTCTGTTGAATATATATTTTGCCATATGTTGGCTTTAAAAATCTCGAAGGACCACTAAATGTTTGTATTTGCCGGTTCTTTTATATATTATACATTATTATGTATGAAATCAAAGACTGTTGTCTGTTGACTTATGTGAATATATTTCAATTGTTTTTTATAATGTTTTTAAATATTTATGTACAAAAAAGGTTTTAAACAGACCCTATCCTCTATTTAGAGGATAGGATAGGTTATTTAAGTGTTGTAACATTTGATTTAACATTATCTTTTCAAACACCTTACTTAGAACTGGCAAAATAGATATAGGTCTATAGTTCCCTGGCTCAAATTTATCTCCTGATTTAAATAGTGGGATTAATTTGCTAAATTTCATGAATTGTGGAAAAACGCCATTATCAATACATTTTTTAAAAATAGTGGCTAGATATGGAGCAACATTATCTATGAAAGAACTAACTACTTTTACAGACATGCCCCAAAGGTCTTCCGTATTTTTTAAATTTAGCTTTTTGAATATTTTTATGATATGAAAGGGGCTAATATATGAAAATTTAAATGTTAAAGAACAACAACCGATATTAGTCTCTAGTAATGCTCTCTATCGTCCAATGTCGAGTTGGATGCAAAAAGAGACCCAAGGAGATCGGCCTTCTCTTTAGCATGTTGGGCCAACGAGTTATCCTCTCTGCGCAGTGGTGGAAAAGATGGCTGAAATAGAAATTTCCCTGAGCAGCTTTGGCAAGAGACCAAAAAGCCCGGGATCCAGATGGAAGACTGTTTAGTCTCTTACCAATTCTGCTGATGTGCTCCGACTTTGCTGTGGCTATAACTCTTTTGAAGGACCTGGAAGCGGAGTTATACTTCCTTTTATGGGCACTGGTATCTGGATCACTTGACTTCCCAGCTGCAATCCAGGCACGGAAGCATTCTTGCTTGTGGCCAGACGCCGATTTACAGGATCCGCCATACCAGGACTGAGATCTACCACCGACAGGTTCCTGGGAATTTGGAATAAACATCTCCATTCCCTGAAGTACTACATCGGTGACAAAATTCAGCTATTACATCAGGATCGTCCAGTGCGAAGCAAACTCGCCCCCATGGGTAAGACGTAAAAAAACTTCGCATCTCATCTCAATCTGCCGACTTAAAATGCCAAACACGACGTCGACCAGTAGATCGCGGCAAAGAAGGACGCGTGAGAGGCACTTCGCTCCGTATCAGACAATGATCAGAGGATCCCAGTGGGGCTTCCACAGAGATCTGATGTCCGTCTGGATGAGAAGTCAGCAGAAGGTCCAACAGTGAAGGTATATGGTCAACAACATCAGGAATTCGCGTAGGCGAGGATACCAGTTGCGTCAAACCATACGCCAAAGCAAAGCCATGAACAGATCTCCCCGCATAGTCGGTGGTACGTGAACCGAGCCATTCAGCGTAATGGGCGTTAAAGTCACCTAGAATCACGACCTCAGCGGAGGGAATCTGTTGGAGCAAACAATCTGTAGCCATTTGGACGTGTTCAATGAGTCGGTCAGTTTCGGTGTTACCGCTATGGGACCTGTATAAGCATGCATAGATGCGGGGGTGGTCATCGCAATCTACACGCAACCATAAAATGGATAGGTCAGTACCTTCAAGTGTACCAAGACAGCGACAGCAAATATCCTCTCTGACATAAGCGCACACACCGGCCCGTGGAATAAAATGGTGTTCCAATTTATATCCAGGGTAGGTCAGGTACGAAATTTCGTCGGGACAGGATATTTGCGTCTCCGTAAGGAAGAGCAAAGCTGGCCTCGCCGTTTCTAGGTGGTGGTGGACGGCGTTGAGATTGTAATGAATATCCCTGATGTTGCAAAAACTGACTATGAGCAAGGGAAATGCCAATGGAGATTTGCTCGGTTTCCTGTTGGCCAAATTCAGCGGAGTATTGCCCACCCCAGGGCAGCCTGAGTGTGATATCTCAGGGTTGGATTCTCCAGTAACACGGTTACTGGTACCACTCTGGGGTAAAAATCTCTTATATTCCGCTGCCATGGTATTTAAGAAAGGGGTGGGTAGGGGAAGGAAGTTGGAAAGGGATAGGGGGAGGGGGAGGGACATCCGGAACCTACAGCTCACCATGTGAAACGCGATAACATTTAACGCCGGTTTTCTGCCGAGGTGTGGTATTTCCCGGTTCGAGCGGACCAATCGAGCTGAACAACCACGTATGGTCGTACAGCTTGCTCTACCACTTAAAAATGCTTTTAGAGGCTATGGTGATAACGCTAATATTTATATCGGGTTCCTTTGTAGCAGCCGAAAGGAGAAAGGAAATGAGAAGATATATTTACATTTGTATATTGTAGCGATATTTACAGATGGAAGGTATATACATATGGAGGATATTTACAAGAAAATTCGGTCCCGAATGACAATGCTGTAATTTTTTTTCTTCGCGTAGTAGTTGTTACGGCGCTAGTTTAGTAAATTCGCTATTTACTATGTGACACGCTATTTATTATACCTATGTAATATTCTCTTATGTGAGCTCTAAATATCTATTACGTAAAGCACATACCTAGACTTGAAGGTATAATAATAATAATAATAAGGTAAGGTTAAATCATAGGTTTAAAGCTCCCTTTGAGACACTTCGAACAGGTGTCCATTAACTTCATTGCCATTCGAGCAGGGTTGATTTAGTTTGCGATCAAATCGAAATTAAACAAATATATATACATATAAATAAATATACTCCTAAGTATATATCACGTCATTGATTACAGTCCATTCTTAACTTACATATATCTATCGGATATGTATTATGTATGTATTCGACGCGAAGCATGCGAGTTTATTTGCTTCCAATTGAGTTGAGTTATGAATTAGACACAAAAAAGTACCTATTATATATTTTTTATGATGGATGCTAATGGAATGATCCACCCGCCTGCGCTAACGGTTTACGCTGGCGGGTTTCTTTTATGCATGATAATGGAATGGTGCACCCGCCTGCGCTAACGGTTTTCGCTGGCGGGTCTCCAGTGGAGGATGATAAAATGAACATGAGGTAAGGCCAGTTAGCCCACCGTGACAAATTGACCAAGATTTTATCACGATGGTTTCCAAGGAACCGCGTGGAGGTCAACCTGATACGGTGGATTGCTAGTAATGGGATCATTAGACCACATTACTAACAATCCGCCTCCCCCTCACGCTGGCAGGTTAGCAGGATAATAAAATGAGTATGAAGTCAGGTCAGTTAGCCCATTTTGGCAAATGGCAATTTGCCACGATGGATTTCCAGGGGGAACAACGTGGAGGTCAAACTGACATGGTATACATGATTGTTAGCAACGATACTAACAATCCCTTCCCCCAAACCTACTACAATGGATAGTCCAAACAACCACAGTAAGTTTCAAGTGTAAATTCCTTGATCGTCATAAAAGAGGTACATTAAAATTGCGACTGCGCCAGTAGAAGTAGGTATATATAAAATATATTTTTAATTTTAGAGATGGACATTTTTGTTTCAGAGCCATATAAATTCAAACCAATTATACCTATATGTCCAAAGGATGCTTATGAATCTATGAATCATCATTCTGCTGTGGTCTTCAATAGAGCCATTTACGATACTAACGCGCCTGCCAAGTAAGTCTGGGCATCTATAACAATAATTTTATTTGGTTGCAATACATATGTAGATATATAATGCTATTCCAACAAAAACCTTATAAAAATAAACAACATATACCACAACCGATAATTTTTTTTTTATCAGCTGCCCGATTTCAACGAAACTTTATCATTAGCCTTATTCAACAAATAACATTTAGTTAGAATACGATATTCATCATCATCATTTCAGCCCGGAAGACATCCACTGCTGAACAAAGTTATCTAAAGACCTAAGAACATTACTTACTTTCTTACTTTAAGAATATTGCTAAACTCATATATTTTTTTCAATTTGATTTAATTTCATACCAAATACCTACATTTTATTTTCTTGTTGTTAATTTATTCATTATACATTGGTTTTATTATCTAATCAATCGTTGGCTGGTACATATAGTATATGAAAACTAAATTATTATATACCCATGTCTTTGCATTATAGGTATGTATATTGTTAGATCATCATACCTGATAGTAAGTTCATGTATAAATATTTTGTTTGTAGTACCGTGCCAATACTAGATAACGGAGTTACAGAAGACACACAAACCTCTCAACCCGATGGAATCATTCAAACCGTCATCTCGTAAGTATCTCCTAACTTATATTGTATTATGCCGTTGCAACAAAAAGACTCCACGCTGTGCATATTAGTTGAAAATAAAGTACTTCCCTACTTTATTGTCAACGTCTTTATAATATTTATATTATGTATCTTTCTTTTCTTTCTTCAGCATATATTAGTCCACTGCAGGACGTATGCCTCTTGTATAATTTTGCACCGAATAAATATAAGTCCATAACATTAGCATACCCAATGATTAACAGCCGCAGTCAGTCTGCGGTGTAACTTGTCTATTTATGTATAGTGAATGATATTTTTGTGAGTCACTGAGTATACCTTCACTAATGTTACGGTTTTATATTTATTTATTAACAAGTCAGCTGTATTTATTGATTTTTTTTTTTGTTTTTGTTAAAATAAATAAAAATTCTAAAATAAATGGAGGCTAAGTTACTCCTTAGAACAATAGCTTTCTGCGAGTGAAATCGGTGCAGCCGTTTCAGAGATTAGCAGAAACAGACAGACAGACAGAAAGCTTATTTTCAATTATTTTTTTATAAACTTTTCAATGCATATTTTTTTATAAAATATTGTTAATTTGTAATTACAAACAGACAATTTTATTTATTTGTAACAACAGAATAATAATATGGTTGGTCCATATTTCATCACACATTAATAAAATAGAAATTGTCCCTATGGTCACGGCATTGACGACGGTAATCTGCCATGGTAACGCCGATATATCACCCCCTTCGGTCTGTAGCCTTCCTTCATGAAGGTGGGCACTGAGTATACCTATAAGTTTATGGCATTTCTTGTAGAGGTGACGTGGGGAGTAGCTCCGACGGTCAGGTTGCGGTAATCGGACAGAACGGGGGCACACCTACTATTTTGGATACAGCCTCGAATATATCCGTCATACCGCCATTGAATACATCACAATTGGCTACTGAGTTACAGTCAAGCCCACCGACTTTATCAGAATATTCGAGAAATGTGGTAAGCTATCAACCCTCCTATAACGCGGTGAGTTCGTACCGCGTTATATGGAAACCGCGCTATAATGTGAATTAGTATAAATGACATCATTCGTACCACATTAGATATATGGAGACCAATAAATACAAGATAAATTATAAATTATTTTTATTAAATTGTTAAAAATAAACAAAAACTAAATTAAGAGCCTTGTTTTCCAACAAAACAATGAAGACTTTTGAAAAATTAAATAATCTTTCAACACTCATCCTCGCTGTGAGATATGAGTCGCTTAACTCGTCTTCACATTGGTTTTCGATTGTTACTAGAGTCATTCCTGCGCTGCGCAGAAGGAACTTATAGGATGCTGTTGAACGGAAACCGCGCTGTAAAAGTACCGCTTTATAGGAGGGTTGAGTGTATTTGATAAAATGTTATCATAACATATATTACCATAACTAACAATCATAACTATATGTTATCATAACTAACTGTTATGATAACATTGATATATACCGCGATTTTTAATTGCCATACAAATAATGCAATGTTAACTTTCATGAAAGGGGGAAAGCTGATTGTTAGCATTATTAGCCCAATCGTTAACATAATGCAAGGTGCATTGTTACCGATGTGGTCAATAGTCGACCACCAAGCGGTTTCGCCTAAAACACCTTCATTAATTTATGGTGAATTCAGCACGATTGGCCTGACTTCATGCACATGTTACCATTCTTTGGTAATGTCCCTCTAGAAATTCCGCGTAGACGGATGCAACATTCCGTTGTAATCACTAAATATGTGAGGTGATGAAATGAAAACCTTCATTTGAGATGATAATTTTGATATATCTAAAACATTCAACAATTAAATATTCATCATCTAAATATATTTCCAGGTAGTGCCAGTATGCACCGATAACGCACTAGTCAACCAAGTGACGTGTACATTTTCAACCTCCACAACCGACCAAGCTTGTCCGTCTACAACATAGCAGGTGCCAAGTCTTGCCGTAAAGCGAATTTTACTTTGTATTAAAACTGTATCAGTACTATCAGTAGGCACCCAACTACCTGTGGATCTTAATTATTTTCCTTAAGCCAATTAAATAATTTGCACACTTAACAACAAACAGCATTAAATAAAAACTGAAATTAAATTATAGAAAATCGACTTTATAAATTACAATTTTAAAACGAGTTTCTCAAATTTGTGCAGCAGCTTGTTTTTCTTTGACTATTCGTGGTTATTACCGATAAATAATATATAAGATACAAACTTTGCTGTTTGTTATCGTTGCAGGACGCCTAGCAAATATTGATCACAGAAATTATTTTGTTATAACTGTGCTCCCGGTTTTATCCACACAAAATATATAGCTTATGTGTTATTCTAATGTATAAAGTAAATTTTTTTAAAGTTTTAAATATTAAAGATGTTTCATATTACAATATAATAGACGTTATAATACAGCCAATTAAAATTTCTCATCAACATAAATGCAATGCAACTAGCTAGTCTAATATAATTTTTTTTACATGTAGGTATACGAATGTTGCCATAAGTATATATTCATGAAAAGCAATATAACATGATAATACTAGCTGCGTAAACAAGATAATCAACAATGTCAATTGTACCTGGAAAGGACAAAATCTGACTCAGTTTACAAGTTTTCCTACAAAAATCAAATTAAGTAAAATTATTAGGTAAGTATTTTTTTTTAACCATAGGAATAAAAATTAAAAGAATTCATCTTTTAAACTGTATTCACTGAGTATTTTGATATATTAAAATCTTTAGAACTTCCATGAAGCATTCTGTTAAATAAACAAAACAACCAATATTAATATCCGAAACCTTTTTATAATTAACCATAATATATATTTTTAATATTTTTATATTTTGGCCTTAATCTCATTATCTGGATTCATGCGACATAATGTATATTCCTAAACTAGAGAATTTTGCTTTATTTTATTATTAGTACTATTTTTTTTAATTCTTGGTAATAAAAATAAAAATGTCCGAAGTATCAGTATGAAAACGAATTAATATGAAATCTTGCTTGAAATAGCGGTAAACACTAGCGACGTTCAGTTGAAATTGAGAGGATAAGAATGACGTCAGATTTTTTTTATGGTTGATAATGGTGTAATGAATGGATAAATGGAGGAATGGCGCTAATACAAGGAATTTGCTACTAATTTTTATGATCTATCCTATCCTCCCCGGATGGTTAAGATATTAACATATAGTAGTTAATATTGTTATGTATTTAATTTAATTTTACGATATACATTTCAATATTGTTTTTATAAATATATATGTTTGAATTCACAAGTTGGTTAATTACTATGTACGTAAGTTAGATCTGTTTAAGTTATGCCTCAAATTCTAAGTAGGTATTTACAATTAATTAGGTATATTGGTCCGTGGTTAATTTAATTTTTAAGTCGACTGAACTTGCTAACCCCCTGCCATATGCTCAATCGATCTGAGTGGTGACATTTGAATCTGATTTTATTGTTATAAACTAGTTTATATAATCTGATATTTTGTAATATATATTTTAATACGATTATGACTTTTATTGAAAATTTACATATAACTCAATACCCGTACACCTTTATATGCCAGCAGCTTTTTTATATGCTGTGGTGCTATGGTAGAGTGAAATTACAGTGTACAAAAAATTATCTTAGTCATCCAGAAAGGCAACACACGAGTGTACTGTGATACAGCCAGGTTTTATTTATTCAAAATAGCAAATAAACAAACAATATAAATTTAATCTGATAGATTATTTCTTATTTTACATCATCATATGATGAGCCGAAATATAATGTTGAAGAAGAAATATATATAGCCATATAAATTGAGAACAATTTAAATCAAGAGGAAATGACTGTTTTTTTTATATCTTTGGGAAGATCAGCCGAAATTCACTAGACTTCATATAACATTCTGCGTTGGCTAGGGGACTATAGATCGGTTGTATCAGAGGTTTATAATAAAATATAAGCAAACAAATTCCAATGTTTTAATGTTAAAATTAAAAATAATATGAAACTATACTTAAAGTGGTTATTAATCGACTGGCGCGATGAACAGTGCGACCGCGTTGAGTGTCGCTTCGTCATAGTTGTAAGTACGCGCGAGCGGCGCCTGCACTGTGAACACGAGGTCTTCCCGAGCCTCGTTGTTGTACACGGGCACCTCCAGCACTGTCTCCCCCATATCCGCATCAGCAGCGCGTGTGGATGTCATCCGCGACACACCCGTCTCCTAATTGTAATATAATGATAATCACCTTTATTTGTCTCTAATAATAAACTGTTACAATTGCTTAGAATAAAATTAAGAGGTTTTCGGAGGTTAAAATTAAATCGAGACAAAACAGTACTACTTATAACGGGCAGTGAGTCCAACCTCTCTGTTATTTTGTTATAGCCTTTACCGGCATTTACCGGTAAAGGTTTTTATTACAATGAAAATCAACAACGATAGCGTTTAACTTTAAAACTGTCCTATTCTGACAAATTAATACATTAATAATAATTACTTTATGACAGTCCAATTCAGCCGATATACAAGTAACCGAGGTAGACTTTGTAAGTTATCTGTGATTCCAAAGGTAAATATGTCGAACTGGACCAGCGACTTCAAATCTTAAAGGGGAATAATCAATTAATAATTGATTACTATGCTAGAGGCATTGTCAATTGTATATGTCGTGGTAAATCCAAAACTTGTTATGCCTACATTCGGGAAGGTACCTACTATATATCTAATCTAAATCTAATTCTAATCTAATCCAATGTAGCAAGGAATGAGCATACTGCCATCTCTTGGATTAATTTTAGGTTTGTCATGGGTGTTTCCTTTACTGGACAGTGAGATATAAATTTAAAATGATCACAAAGGTTTTTGTTTTGTATCCACCCGATTTTTACTAATGCCCTTTTGTGTGTGGGTCAGCGTAGTAAACCACTACGATCCTTAAATCCAATTGATGTTTGTTGCGGGGTAATAATACAATGTTGTTGGTTGGGACGATGTATATTAAAGATGATAACGTAACTGTGTATCTGTGTCCCATAATATTAAACACTGATTTGAAGTTGAAACAAAAACACTTTTACCCTATAAATAAATACATGTATACATAAATAAATATCTGTAACTTATTATATCCAATTATAAATCATATCGTTGTACGTGAGGAGCGCCACAGGGCGATATGATTCAGAGAATGATTATCTCACTAAAACCGACGATAATTTTTAATTATTATTAAGACAATCTTACGTATAAATATGAATAACATTTATTTCTGAAAACTTGAGTAACATTGTATCTATGATTGCACACTATGTAACACAGTCGAAGTAACATTGGTATGGCGATCAGACAAATAATATTAATAACAATAACAAAAAATATATAGGTATTTATTACTACGCGAGTGTTATCAAATATATTATAAAGGGTGATAAATATAGTCTAAAGATTCGAGAACCTCAAGAGTTACTTAATTTTTCTAACAAATAAACTAATGAACCAGATAGAAACGCTGTATAGCAGTAATGAGATAAGTAGTAAGCATCACATTTATCCATGTATGTCGCTGCTGGTATGGTAGAATTTGTGTATAGGAATTGAGAGGTGGCTTCACAGACCTGTGGCACGTAGTACAGCAGCAGCGGCGGCGCGGCCGCGTGCGCCGGAGAACGCGCGCCCGCTGCCTGCAGCCCGCGCCCCGCGCCCCCCGCAGATGCCGTACCCCCCGTTGCGCCCAAAGCCCCGGCGCCCCCCGTGGAGCCCGGAGCCCCCGCGCCCCACTCCGCACCGCTCAGCCGCAGACCCGTCACCACCACGCCCTCTACGCGCCGGCTTTCCTCTGTATACCGAAACATACAAGATTAAAGGTCTCGTCACGACGCCCGACCCTTGGGAGGTAGAGGGGAAGGTGATTGGTAGTAATGTGGATTCATGACCCCATTACTAGTAATGTACCATGTCAGGTTGACCTCCACGCGGTTCCCCCTGGAAACCATCGTGATTAATTCCTGGTCAATTTGTTACGATGGGCTAAATGACCTGACCTCATGTTCATCCTATCATCCTCCACTGGTGACCCGCCAGCGTAAACCGTTAGCGCAGGCGGATGCACCATTCCATTAACATCCACTAAAAAAAAAACCCTTGGGAGGTAAGGATAACCTTCTTCTAAAAGGGTGTTGAGGGTCCTAAGTTAATACAAACTTTGAAGCCTTAGGCTTCAAAGTATACCATAATAATTTTTCCAGTAGGTATGTTCCAAGAGCCAAAACAGTGCCAATTGTTATGCTTCTAGAGACTAGTCACAAACTATCGGCACCTAAGTTATCGCAGGCCATATGGCCCGCTTGCAGCACTGACGGCCCGCGGGCCATAATTCGAAGACCCCTGACACACCCAAGATACAGTCATTATTTATATGCATGTTCGGCACTCACACATGAAAGGAACATCAATGTAAAATTATAAAAAAGGGTAAATAACTAAATTGAAGTCACCAGGTGTGCAGTATATATATAGCATGAAAAGGCTTGTTTATTGTACCTGAAAATGTAAAACATGAATATTTGGTCTTGACCGAAAACTAGTCGGTATAGAGTGGAGGGCGGCGGTACCTGCAGTCGGCTGCCAAATGGTAGCGAGTTCGAGGTCATGTGGTGCACACTGCAGGCAGCAGGCAGCCTGCGCGCGCGCCGCGCTCAGCACCCGCGCCGGCTGCATCCACGTGCGCAGGTCCGTCTCTCCGCTTGCACCCGTGCCTGATCATACAACAAGCACATATAACAATAAACGATAACAGTTCCCAAGGCGCCATCTAGATTCAAACTTGTCAGGCGTTTTTACTATGAGCAATATACACTGATAATAATATTTAAACACTCTTTTTATGCACAAGTTTATACTCATGAATATGTCTGTATTGTGTGAGAATTCAAGCCGCAACACAGTGTGGTGTGCTAAATCACTAAATCATCGAGACCGTAAATGTTCGTCATATCATTATTTTATCCACCTCTTGCTATTTGAATAACAAATTATTAAAAAGCGTTCTCACCGACACCAACGCGCGCGGCGGCAGCTCGAGCACGCGTGCTCAATTCGCGGAGATACTGTGCAGGCACCTCAGGACCCGCCCATACCGCCTGCCACTCCTCCGGCACCTGCGAACGTACATGTTATGTATACACATTGCAATTATAATCCAGAACCATAGTACAACAATAAACATCAGCGCGTGCAGCGCCGCACTCGCATTCACCTGGTGGTAGCCGCGGGAGCAGCGCCTGCAGCGCCACACTCGCACTCACCTGGTGGTAGCCGCGGGAGCAGCGCGTGCAGCGCCACACTCGCACTCACCTGGTGGTAGCCGCGGGCGCGGCCGCGCAGAGCAGCGCGTGCAGCGCCACACTCGCACTCACCTGGTGGTAGCCGCGAGAGCAGCGCGTGCAGCGCCACACTCGCACTCACCTGGTGGTAGCCGCGAGAGCAGCGCGTGCAGCGCCACACTCGCACTCACCTGGTGGTAGCCGCGGGAGCAGCGCGTGCAGCGCCACACTCGCACTCACCTGGTGGTAGCCGCGAGAGCAGCGCGTGCAGCGCCACACTCGCACTCACCTGGTGGTAGCCGCGGGAGCAGCGCGTGCAGCGCCACACTCGCACTCACCTGGTGGTAGCCGCGGGCGCGGCCGCGAGCTCGCGAGAGCAGCGCGTGCAGCGCCACACTCGCACTCACCTGGTGGTAGCCGCGGGAGCAGCGCGTGCAGCGCCACACTCGCACTCACCTGGTGGTAGCCGCGGCCGCGGCCGCGAGCTCGCGAGAGCAGCGCGTGCAGCGCCACACTCGCACTCACCTGGTGGTAGCCGCGGGAGCAGCGCGTGCAGCGCCACACTCGCACTCACCTGGTGGTAGCCGCGAGAGCAGCGCGTGCAGCGCCACACTCGCACTCACCTGGTGGTAGCCGCGGCCGCGGCCGCGAGCTCGCGAGAGCAGCGCGTGCAGCGCCACACTCGCACTCACCTGGTGGTAGCCGCGGGAGCAGCGCGTGCAGCGCCACACTCGCACTCACCTGGTGGTAGCCGCGGCCGCGGCCGCGAGCTCGCGAGAGCAGCGCGTGCAGCGCCACACTCGCACTCACCTGGTGGTAGCCGCGAGAGCAGCGCGTGCAGCGCCACACTCGCACTCACCTGGTGGTAGCCGCGGCCGCGGCCGCGAGCTCGCGAGAGCAGCGCGTGCAGCGCCACACTCGCACTCACCTGGTGGTAGCCGCGGGAGCAGCGCGTGCAGCGCCACACTCGCACTCACCTGGTGGTAGCCGCGGGAGCAGCGCGTGCAGCGCCACACTCGCACTCACCTGGTGGTAGCCGCGAGAGCAGCGCGTGCAGCGCCACACTCGCACTCACCTGGTGGTAGCCGCGGCCGCGGCCGCGAGCTCGCGAGAGCAGCGCGTGCAGCGCCACACTCGCACTCACCTGGTGGTAGCCGCGGGAGCAGCGCGTGCAGCGCCACACTCGCACTCACCTGGTGGTAGCCGCGGCCGCGGCCGCGAGCTCGCGAGAGCAGCGCGTGCAGCGCCACACTCGCACTCACCTGGTGGTAGCCGCGGGAGCAGCGCGTGCAGCGCCACACTCGCACTCACCTGGTGGTAGCCGCGGGCGCGGCCGCGAGCTCGCGAGAGCAGCGCGTGCAGCGCTACAACCGCGCGGGCCGCATCTCGCGCCTCCGCCGCCGCAGCACTGCGCCACCACCGCGCGCCCTCGTGCTGCTCGCTCGAACTCTACGCACACACAACGCCTTCAAATTGGGGTACGAGTTTTGCACGCGTTGTCTCAGTCTAGAGTCCAAGCTGTCCAAGGTAATTATTACATTACCTTTACTGAACCGTCGATTGACATTAGAGAAAGTATGAAAACTACTTCTGTTCGGATAATATTTCTACAAAGAATTAAGATGGAGGAGATTGCTACACGTTTTTACCACCCCCAATTTTTGTTTAGAGTTGATTTTCTAATCAGCTATAAACATTAGATATTTTCAATTTGTATTTTTTAGTTAATGCAGTAATACATAAGTCAGTAATATGGGCACACAACTCCTCGTTCCCGTTTGTACTGGTATCAATACCAAAATTTCAGTCTTACTTATCCCATGAACAAATGCATAAAAGATGATTGAAGTCAGGAAGAGGCCCGGTTGTAAAAATGTAAGTACGATGACGTAAGGCAAATTCCAGATTGATAAGAAAGAATAAGAATAGCGATAGAATATGAGCCCAAGTAATAAATGACTACTATGAACAAAGCAGGCAGCCATATTTATTTATTTACATTTAGCATTCTAATAACGGAATACTACTTACAGTTTCCTCGATATAGTCTCCTTTTAGAAGTGGATTACCAGCCATAGATTTCTTCCAAAGTGACAACAAAGTTTTCAATGACGATACATCTTCGGTGCTCTCTCGACTAGTGCTGTCTGTTGTACTGAGTTCTGTGTATTATATTTTTTATATTTACACGACTACGAACAAGTTCATAGTGATAAGGTTTACGCCTTATGGTAAAAACCATGACTAAATGTGGACTGTCCATTTCTTATATTCAGGTTAACAATTAATAATAATAATATAATAATAATATTTTATTGACACCAATTTAAGTAGTTACAGTTATTCTCCTTATAAACTATTACATTTTTGTTAAATACGCATCATACATATAATTTACCAGTAGCATCTATACTAGGCCGAGCCTGTATCATAGATACTACCTTCTTCCAGCAACAAATAGGTAAAAATTAAAATGTTGCAATTGCGTGGGTAGATTTACATTTCAACTTGTACAAAATATGAATAACTTGCATTGGCATCAATCCATTCGCAGCTCGTAAACAGGCGGGCCGCACAAGTGACTCAGCCGACCACAATAACCATGCGCGCCCTAAACAATATAATAACGTTAGTTAACAAACTAAAATAATATAGTTTTAATTTTATCTCTTTATATCTTAATGTACGCTTAATCTTAAATGTGTTTATAATAACAGTATATCGTAGATGTATATAAATTCGGATATATATATTGCTTGTTTAAGGTGTATATTTTTAATGTTACATTTTCATACTATTTAATAAAGAGATGTATATATAATGGTGTGTATAGTGTTTACGTGTGTGTGTATGTGTATGAGTGTGTGTGATGTTTGTGTATGTGTGCGGTTGTATGTGTATGTACTACATGTTATTTTACTGCTACAAGAAGATTTTCAATGTCATTGTAATTTAATGATTTTAGCCATATTGTTAGAATTTCTTTACATTTTAAGTAATTGAGGTGATATATATCGATAATTTTATTAATTTTATTATAAAGCATAGGACCGAAGGTACATTTGAAATTTATTAATAAAATATAAGAATAGCGATAGAATATGAGCCCAAAATCTTTTCTACGAAGTTTCATCAAATCCATGCTAAATGGAGTTTTTTAGGTTTGGGACAACACTGTATCTCTTACAAACATTTGTCTAATGGTTAGCACATCAGTATCTGCATATAATTCTATAGTGGGATATCAAAAGGTTTGAAGGTCATTACTTTTAGTATTGCTCTCTGTGCTCGCTCTATTTTTAATAAATGGGTTTTTCGTGCTCCACCCCAAGTAGTTATACATTTAATATTGACTGGACCAATGCAAAATAAACTTTTTTAATTAATTTAGAATCTGCTATATGTCGTAATGTTTTAAAAATATAAATAAGTCGTCGTGTTCGTGATGATTCAGGTCAATATATGAATTAAAAGACCAATCAAGAATAAAAATCGAGAATAGATAATATTTGCCTTAAACTATGCTTTTCTAATTCCACTCAATATTATTAAATTCTTTTGTATCTCTATATATCTAATTAAACAAAATACTTTATGACTGTGAAGTAAAAACATTTTAGTGTGGAGTGTATATATACATATGTTGGTACATAAGGACAAATTTGTCCAGATTTTTCTAAGAATACATACGGGGGAAACAAATTTCATACATAAATAAATATATCATTGGGTATATGCACCAGAAAATTTCTAAATATCGGAACAGAAAATTGCGATAGAAAAACGAGATATAGCAAGCAAGACCATAGTAGAGACCAAAGTTGGTCTTTGGAGTTCGATGGTTCTGATAATTTTTATAAATTTTAAGCCTCTAGTAATAATAATCAGTCAGCATTATTTTAAGCTAGTTTCTACAAGTTCGGGTTCGAGATAAATATATATATACCCAACTGGATCACTAACCTTTAAGTCCAGCTATAATATCGGTGGCGGCTTTATTTTCCCAAGCGATGCCGCAGTTAGCAGGCAGTCCGAGCAATTGCGGTGTGTCGATGTCGGGCAACGCTTCGAATGCCGGCACGTACGCCTTACCAATATGATGTTAATATTTAATACAAATACAAGCAAACAGTAATCACAACAGTAGTTTAACACAAAGTAGGTTTACGTGCAAACTCTGAAAGCTTTTTAAAAAATTGCGCAAGTTTTTAAAAAGCTTTTAGATATTAGTATCCAATTCTGAATAAGCTATTTTGTATAACCTCAAATGGCTGCTGCGAGAATGATTTTGGTTGAAACAGGGATGTGATGTAGATGTACCCGTATGAAGTGTATGTGCAGAGTGCCAACATCGGGCAGAATAATGCAAGATGTAAATGCAGTGTTTCGCTACTGGGGGAACTTAGATGAGACGAACGTGCTCGTGTTAGGTAGAATTTTGGTGAGACGTACCTCAGTGTCGACACTGGGCAGAAGAATGATAAGACTGCTCTGTGTGTTTATGTGCTCTAGAGAGAATTCTTATGAGACGAACCTGGAGCGTGCTCGTGATAGGTAGAACTTTAGTGAAACAAACCTGCAGCACGCCCGTGATAGGTAGAACTTAGTGAGACGTATCTGCAGCGTGCCGGTGCTCAACGGAACTTTGGTGAGACGTACCTGCAGCGTGCCGGTGCTCAACGGAACTTTGATAAGACGTACCTGCAGCGTGCCGGTGCTCAACGGAACTTTGATAAGACGTACCTGCAGCGTGCCGGTGCTCATCGGAACTTTGCCGGTGCACGCTGCGGATACGTGTCATCGGAACTTTGATGAGAGGTACCTGTAGGGTTCCAGCGCTGGGTAGCACGACGGCGGCGTCCCGCGGGCGGTAGTGGTGCGCGAAGGCGCGGTCGGCGAGGCACGTGCGCAGCAGCGCGGCCAGCAGCGCGCGGTCGGGCGCGGCGGCGGCCGGCACGCGCGCCGCGTACAGCGCGCCGCACAGCGCGCGCGCCGCCGCCTCCGCCCCGCGCGCCGCCGCCTCCGCGCACGCGCGCACCTCGCCCCACCCCCACGCGTACCACCGGCTCCAACCTGACACCCACCCCCATTACTTCTTCTAAACGATACTCGGTACATAACAGATACTATATGTATGTATACATTGTACAAAGGTGTCTTCGCAGGTATCTGTATCACTCATTTCATCCGCCAAGCAACTTACTAAGTTGCCGGTTGAAAAGTGAGATGTGTCTATGATCACAAGTTATATTTTGGTGTTCACTTTTACACGCGTCTTTGTTTCACGAATGCATTTTCAATTATAATTGTACATTTTATATACTATTAAAATTTTATTATTTGCTATGGTCATTGGTCATCTACCAACACTAAATTATTTATTACAAAAAGGCGCAATAGCAGGAATAATTGAAGTACGCGGGATTGCGAGCGCTCTCTTTGTCCTCTCTTTATCTGCCTTTATATGCACATTATTGCTCCCGTGAAAGTAGAATACCTAGTGTAAGAGCGTACCTACAGGTAAAAGCTGGTAAAAATAAACAGTACATTCTAAATATGAATAACTCGTTGAAGAAATTGGTCGTAGTAAACACTACAAGTTTTGAAGTTTTGACAGTATCGTTCATATTTAACCAGTGCCTCGCCGAGGTATATAGTAGCATAATTGTAGAGACGTAGAGCGGTACCTTGCGGGATGTAGGCGCGGCGTTCCTGCGCGAGCGCATGGAAGAACGCAAGCAGCGCGTGCAGTCGCACGGCGCGGGGCGGGCCCGCGTACTGCGCCCACGCGGCCAGCGTGCCCAGCACGTTGTGCTTCACGCCCGCCGGCGCCTGCGCACACGCACCCGACTCAACTATTTTATATATACTGACCGAGCTACGCTTACTACGGCTTGGATCCTTGGGATTTATATACTTTTAAAACAGACCATTTGTATATGATTTACGCGCTATATGATGCATTTATACTGAACCGATTACGATTTCATCTTAAATTAATAACTTGTGGATCCTATATTAATTTCGTTAATATATACACTGTTGTATATTTATTTAAATAAAAATCAACTTAAATTATAAACTGAACCTTATAATTGGCTAATCACACATTTTTTGTGCACACTACTTTATATCTCCTAGTCATTTTAACTATCACAGCAGATATATATAATACATCAGACATGTTGAATATAATCATAATGGAATATAAAAACATAAAAAAATCTATTACTACACCCATGACCCATTAGAAAATATAAATAGTTGTGAACATACCTCGAGAATAACATTTATGCAAGCATTAGATATGAGTGGCGGTATATCACGCTCCTCGGTGATTATCCATAACCGGAACTCATCGCTGAATTCCTCAGCCTGAAAGAATATATACACGTAATCATATTTTTGAAATAAAAACTATCATTTACTTAATAAAAAAATATAAGTACTAATCACAAACAAAACACCCCCTTCAACTACCTAATCGTGATTTTCGCAGTTCCGAGTTGGCTGTCTTATCAGTCGGCCACAAAAGTAAACAAGTTTTTGGTTCATCAATGCTGTACACATAACATATCACACCACATCGAACTACATCGCGTGTCTTGCCACCTCACTTCTTATCTTACTCTACAGAGAATTTCTGAAAAGTCTAGAAATAATTTATCTACTGTCAAAGAGTGGAGCGATTATTTTTTTATCTATACAAAATTAAATACGTAAAATAGTGACCAAACGAATACTGTCTGGCTGTCTATTTATCTGTTAAGCCTTCATGTCAATAGCTCAAGGTATTTATATGAAATTTTACAGCATGTGTTGTTTATATGAAGTTTTACATGAATCAATATAGGCTTATACTCCCACTCCCACATGTCTTATGTGGGAGTATAATTACGTTGATATAATTATACTTCCACTCCCAGTTGATAATAAGCAAATAGGTAGCACATTATAGATGCTTTATTTAGTGTCGTTTGTTTGTAGATGTAGGTACAAGCATGCGTACACCTTGCGGGCACAACTAGTATCTAAATTTATAAATTAAACGTGAATATATATTATATACATATGGTTAAATGTAGAAATTGCATTTATGTCGATTATAAAAATCGTAGTTAACTTTAAATCGTTATATTTGAAAACATACTCTTCTATACAAATAGGTATACGTAATTCTTTGTAATTTGATTAACACGTAAATAAAAAGAACGATAAAGACCGCTGATGATGATGATGAACGATGAAGATGCGTGCTTTAGTGCATTTTTTAATAATGAATTATATTTTTATTGCAAACTGGCTGACATCTGACTCCCATATCCATACAAACAATCGCATTCACGAATGGTTGCATCGTGCGAGGATCGAACCCGCGACCATCGTAATTAAAGCGGTATGTTAGACGACCGTGGACGTCGAAGATATAATTATAGAGTTATTCATAATTTAAAAATCTGAAATATCTCTCTGGAAAATAAAATCTCAGAAGAGACTGAACTGATACGAATTATACGAAAGAATAAAAAAAAATTGTTTAATGCTTTTAAAATGAATCATACGCACAAACACGCGTGAAACAGTTAACAATAAGAATAGTTAGACATTAACATTTTTTTTATACGAAAGAATACGTATGATTGTCATGACATGAATCATACGCGCAAATGTGCGCGAAAGAGTGGACAAAATAAAAAGTTAAATTCTATCGCTCGCATTATGCATGATGACTAATTTTTAAAAACATATAATGTTGTTAAAATTACAATATCTTCATAGAAATGTACTCATATATTTTTTAAAATTTAACAAATGGAGGTGAAAATGCCTTTTAAAAAATAAAATTTAGATTTCGCGGAAAAATGCTAGAATAGCAATGGCGTCGCCTATGACGTCAACCTTTTATAAATTATTTTTTATCAGGTTTTATCAACAATACGATGAGTTTTATTTAGAAATGGCGCGAAACAACTATGTGAGTACTTTGTACAACAGACAAAATACATGACTGGCATATGTTTACGAAAGGGTCACGTCATGCGCTCCTGATTGGTGTTCGATCTATCATGGTGGATTGATATGTTTTGCATTTTTAATTTGACTAAAATAAATATAATCTCGCAAGTAATCTAAAAACAAATATTGAAATTTGAATCAACCTATCATTGAAAATATCATAGAAATCGTGATTTCAGTCATTCTTAGTTAGTGTCATCATGCCTATTGCGCGCGTCGGTTTCAGTTATTTTGTAAGCATCGGTTTCAAATTCGAATGCGGAAACTGTGGTGATATTGTACATTGGTATTCTGTAAACTCGATAGCGACTGCAGTGCCACTCGAGAGCGGGATGGTGGTAAACAGGCACCAGTGATTGTTTTAGAAATATAAGCGAACTCGATAGCTCCGTAGGAACCGTATACTTGCAAACGGATACGAGTGCCTCGAGTGAAACGAGTCGATAAAACGCTTACGGAATATCAATGCCGATCGCGCGCGAAGCAATGTGTCGCGTAAAGGCAGCTACTGCAATAGTATACAATATATGGTTTACGCGGTACCGGGCGGTGCAGGAAGTCGTCGATGAACAGTTGTAGGTCCGGCGGGACGGGCGAGGCGCCGACGAGCAGCGCCAGCCAGCCGCCGCGCCGCGCGCGCCGCACGCCCGCCTCCCACGCCGCGCGGCCCTCCTCCACGCCCACCTTCCGACACCCATCAATATAACTACACATTCATTTCAAACCAATTGTCACTTATAAAACATTACTTTAAAAAAATGGCAATTATTTTATATTTGCCACGCCGTGTCCGCGGTTTTAGCCGCATGAAATCCATAGGTAATCATGATCAAAATCCGTTCAGGACTTTTAGCGTGAAAGAGTAATAAACATCCAAAAACAAAACAAAATAAAAAGGATGTATTTTGTATAACAAAAATAATTAATTATTACACATTATTAGTACACTAGTATAACTCGGCGATTTTTCCTTCACTTACAATTTATACTATTTTTAGCAAACTTCGAAAGATATTTTTTTAATTAGCGATACATTAAGGTTATATATACAAACAAAATTATATCTTTTATGTATATAGGTAATTTATACTAGGTTGTATATTATTTTATTAAGAAACCTAACATTCTTATTACAGATTATTATATGATTATGAATTATATATTAAAAACATCTGACGTATCGTAGGTACCTGAACTAAATCCTGCGCGCGTGCAGCGAGCATGTCTGTTATATGCGTGCCCAACACTAGTGCTGGTCGCGCTATTCCGCGTTTCGCTCGTACCACCGCCGATATGGGATCTACGTTTATTGCACCAATTCCTGCGTCAAAAGAAAACTATGTTAAACTATACAGTACTACATATTTTAATACTACATATATAATATCCTGGTGAATATATTAACAATTCGTCATATTATAGACCATATGATACGCCAAATCCATCCTGAGTTTGGAATAAAGTCTGAGCATTGAACTAAAAGGAACCAGCAGACCACCAGCAGCTACATTAGATTTATGTCATAAACAAAACAATTTGACACTTGTTAGTTAACAGTATATTTATTTACCAGGTAAATTAATAGTGTCTCAATAGATCATTATCTATATTATAACAAGTAAAAACTGCATGAAGTTAGTAACAATAAAGAAATAGAAGTGAGTATACATGTTTTAATTCTTTACAAAGTAATAGTGCCAAACTAAAACAAGCGAAAACATACACTATTGGTAATATAATTAGGAAGTCGATGGTTACCTAGGAAGTGGTCGACTACTGCAACTATAGCTCTATAAAGTGACTCGGGCCTCAGGGCAGACACTGCAACAGCTGTTTCGAATGGCGTAAGTTGCAGACGAGCTATCGTGGACGGATCGCCCGAACGCAAATATTCCCGCCAAAGGGACTCATCTTTCAGGTTCAATTTGTTAAACAATTCTTCACATGTTGCCTGGAACATGAGTATTATTCATTTGTTATCACGTAAAAAGGCGACATCAATCATTGAGTAGTTCAAGTGGACTATTCTAGTGACACGTAAATACGTATTCCACTTATTTTGTTTGCAATAATGACACTACTGAATCGTTATTTAAAGGAGTTAGTAGGAGTAAGCTGTATATTATATGTTATACTATCCTTTCAAATAAAATAGTGAACCTCTGAAAAAGAATCGTAATTTGTTTTAAATGACAGAGTATTAAGATAACAAATATAAAAAATATGTATATAACAAATTAGATATATATCTTTAAGTTAAAAAGTATAATTAATAGCAAATTAAATATAACATACCTTTAACTGTGCGATTTTGTCCACGTGTTCTTTAGGTATCCATGAATGATTCCTTTTGATCTCATCAATAGTAGCTTGATCTTCAATAACAAAATTTCCAATAAATACTTGCCATAACTGAAATACAATTATAAAAGTCATTCTCATAGATTATGTAGTTTCTCTAGATTATAATACCAAACGAATATACTTACACTAAAATATTAATACAAATAAGGGGCAACACGATACCCAATACATAGATATCTAAGATCATAAAACCTCGCAAACAGAAAGCACTATATGTATGAATGCAGAAGAATTGCCAAGAAGATAGACCAATTATCAAAATTTGTGCAACTTGGACAGAGAAAGCCTTCAATAATTTTAAAAAGTTTGTTCGTGACGTTCATATTTAAAGGGATCTACAAGGTTTATTGTAAGAAAGATACCAAACAATTTTATATGATATAGACTATTGCTAATAACCATAACATGTACCTTATGAGGTATTTCTTCATCGTACACTTCTTTTAGAAGATACAGTATCACAATATATTTGTCTTTCTTGTGCACGGCCAGCGACACTCTCTCTATGATTTTTTTCGTTACAAATTTGATGACTTCATCGTCATTAATGTTCTTCGGATCCTTGAAGTAGAATTAAATAATTATAATTAATACATTTTGAATTGATTGCAACTGTATTTTGAGTGACAACGGGAAGGAACATATTAGATTTATTTTTGTATATCCATTATTGCACTATAAAGAGTGTACAAGAGGCGAGCTTAATGCCATATGGCATTCTCTACCAGCTAACCTCTGAGTAGAACTAGAAAGCGTTGTAGGGCAGTGATGGTGAAAAATAATAATGAAAAATTATATTACAATATATATCCGACTCTATTTTCCGCGTTTAGTTGTTAGATATATTAACATTATAAGAGAATCTTATTACATTGCTGGCATTGAATACAATCTGTTCTATTAATTGATAATGTAGTTGTAGTTTCTATAGGTGAATTATTAATAAAATCATTCTAGTATTTTTGAAATTTATTCATTATAAATATATAAAAATATAAAAAAAAAAGAATTTAAGTTAAAAAACATATCAGTAGTGATGATGTCATACTATCGAATCTCAATTATATGTACTCATTATACCCTATGCATTGAAAGTTCAATGTTAGAGTTAGAGTTGTCACTATTGCAACGTCCAGTACTCTGCAAGCGTACACGTTTGTGAACATGTCTGGCAGATATTTTTTTTCCTGACCTACCGTCAGTTTTTAATAATTATCACTGCAAACTGGCGGACTATGGAGAAAAATAAATTCTTTAAAATAGAATAGTATTTTACAAGGAAGTGAAATGACATGAATCCTACACGCATTAACGAAAGATTGAATGAATGAATTTTTATTTGAAATAAAACTTGTGTACAAAACAACTGTTTCGGTGTTTTCTGAGCGGCTGAAGGCCAACTTCCGCCTGACGGATACGACTTTAGTCTGAGGGCACAGCTAGGGTTTCGAACCTCGGCTCAGGCCGTCATAATTTCGGTGTCGATCGGAGGGGGTCAATAATGTGTCGAGTAAAGGTAGCTATTTAAAGTTATGTTCGGTGTGGGGGTACCGCGTGTACAAGATTAGTGAACGGACCGGTCGAGTGCGCAGCGCGTCTGCATAGAGACGAAGCGCGTCGTCGAGCGGCAGCGCGAGCAGTGGGCGGCGCGCGGCCAGCCGCCGGACGGCGAGTGCCAGCAGCGCCACGCGGCGGGCGCTCCGCTCGAACGCGCGGCACGCGTCACGCGACGTCGCCTCGTGGTCGCGCGCCGCCTGTAACGCCGCCGCGATCGTGCCGCTCGTCGACCGCGTCTCGTTCAGCGACGCCAGCAAATTGGCGTCGTGTAAGATATCGCTCTTCGTGGACAGCTCGCGTAGTAGATTTTCCTAAGCATGTCGTTATTCGACATTACATACATAAATGTAATACGACTAGCGTTGAAGTACAAGCATAAGGAATAATAACTATCTTTAACATGAGTGCGTCAAAACATAATGGAAAACGATAATGTAAAGGTGTTCTAAATTTATTAATAATACATATTACGAAATAGAAATAGACATAATCTTTACCTTTATCTTTTTGTACTTGCTTCGGCAGTACATATACTAATATATAATATTTATTGATATAAACTCAATGCTAGTACTTTTGAATAGTCATATTTATTTATTCTACGTAGATAAATAGTTCATATTAGGTAATTATGATAACATCACAAGGCAACACTACATAGTGATGTCATATAGACAATTTCGGGCCAACCGGCATACTTATTATATCACACAATTTGATTTTTAGATAAGAATCAATCAAGGCCTGTGTAATATTACAATCTAAGTATTTATGCATAAACTATCATAATTTTTATATGATATATCCTCCATTATCTGAATTATACCATATATAGCGGAATCGTATCCTATGGATCAATACAAATAAGGCAATAGATATACCTGTAGTTCGTGTTGCTGCTTCTGCAAAACAGCTTTGGTCACCTTGATTTCTTTAGATTTTTCAGTTACTTCAGGATTTTGCTGCTGTAACGCGTAGTAAACTAATCGATCTAAAATTTAAAAAAGTATGTTTTATAAACAAAATAAGCTTATTACTTATTTGAGTATTTTAACAATCTAATAAATTACCAATTTATTTATGTTTGTATATATGTCTCGTACAAAAGGCAAAAGATTTTTGGATCTCTAAGACAAATTTATCAAGGATTTGACTTTATACAAATTTGTGAATAGATAAGGCTGCGAAATTACAGGGAATGGACGCGTTATATCACAATCCTTCTGAACGAATGGTAGGTAGAAGTTACATGACGACGTGATGTCCGTAATGCTGTTCTATCTACACCTATAGAAGGTACATGCGAAGATAAATAAAAAAAACTAATTTCTTGTGAGTTCTTCTCTATTGAAGCAGTTGGACAAGGATAGTGGTAAATAAATTAGAAAATGTTATAAAAATTAGATATGGCGGATTTCATGCCTGATTTCATTCTCTATCAGTCAGCTCGCGCTGATTAGATATAATAAGGTGGTGCAATAATAGATATTCAGACATATAAACAGATAAAAAAGTGTGGTGTGTTTATATTTATATAAAAATACTATTATAATATACCTATATAAAACATAAATAGATAAATATTTTTTACTATAAAGACATTAACGACTGCCACTGTTCATCAAGAATGTTTGGAATTCCAGTTAGATACAAAGTGATAATATAGATATATTTGAGCCTGGCACAAGCATTTTTATGCTTTAACAACTATATAAAACGAAATAAATATGTGTTAAAAAAATATTTTTTAATATTTTATACAGTCAAGTCAAGAGTAGTACAGGCACTATTCGAGTTTCCATGTAACAGCTTAGACGGCATCAGATGAGATTGCGGTCAAACGCGCTCAAAAGGAATAACAATAACGTGCGTAGGTACCGGTGAGGGGGTGTAGGCGCGCGGCGAAGTGTAGTACGGAGAGCGTTGCGGCGACGCGCGGCGGCATGCGGGGCGCGGCCGTCGCGCGCGACACCAGCACCAGCCGCGCGCGGCCCGCCGCCGCCGCCGCCGCCGCCGCCGCCCACGCGCGCGACCACCGCTCCGCCTCCGTCACCACGCGCGCACCACCATCACACTAACACCACCTCCGTCAAAACCTCTCACCAGGATGAATATGTATGTAAATGTAGACAAAGAGAACGAGAACGTGGCGCGCGCCGCCAGGTCGTATGTTCCTGAATCATCAATCGTGAATGCTCTAGCGCCTGTTTGTAATAATTAATTATCATTGCAAAATGGACAACATCTGACTGAGCAAAAACATAATTATAAAGTTATTGATAATTTATTAATCTCATTGAAAAATAGAATTTGTGTAAAAATCTAAATAGAAATAGAAATAGAAATAATCTTTATTCAAATAAACTCATTACAAGCACTTTTGAATAGTCATATTTTGATTCTACCACTCATTCGGAATGCAGATTCATCACAAGAAGAATGAGCAAGAAACTTGTGTGTTGCTCTTTTTAATAGATGTTTTTTTTTATATAAATAATTACAGTATAACAAGTAAGAGGCATGCGATAATCAACATAGAAGTCGCTACGCACTCATTATTAATGTAATCAGATAATATTGTCAGTGCTATGGATTTAAAGTTTTTCTATAAAAACATTATTATCGTTAACGAATTCTTCAATTTTATAGTAAGCTTTTTTGCAAAGGAACTGTTTTATTTGACATTTAAATCTTTTTTCTGGCAGATTTATAACATACTGTATTTTATTGTAAAACCTTACGCAATTGCCATAAAACGAATTACTATTTAGCCAAACGACATTTAGGTAAAATCAGTTTGTTATTGTTACGTAAGCTTTATTAGTACAATCACTAACTCTTTTGAAACTGTCTATATTCCTTCTGGCATAGATGATATTTTCATAAATGTATTGAGCGCCCATACCATAAATGGAGCGAATGGCCCTCTTTTGTAAAGTAAATATTGTATTTATATCAGCTGCTTTGCCCCATAACAAAATACCATACGACATAATGCTATGGAAATAGCTAAAATAGACAAGTTTAGCCGTTGCCACGTCTGTTAATTGTCTAATTCTTCTTACCGCATAAGCGGCAGAACTAAGTCGACTCGCCAATTTAGTAATATGAGCACCCCATTGCAACTTGGAATCTAAATACCTAGAAATACAGTATCGTCAACAAAATTAATAGATTTATTGTCCAATACGATTTTTGAATCTACCGGCCTTACATTGGGGAGAGTAAATTTGATACATTTAGTTTTATTTGCATTTAGTAGCATATTATTTGCCGTTTAACCGTAACCATTTTAAAACATAAGAGAGAGAACCGTTTACTTCGTCAATATCATCAATATGTCGATTGACTTTGAATTAATCATCAGCAAACAGAACTATGTAGCTATCTTTTCTACCATATAAGGAAGATCGTTTATGTAAACTAAAAAAAGAAAGGACCCAGAATAGAGCCCTGAGGAACACCCATTTTAATACTAGTTCCCTCAAACTTTACACCATTTATTTCAACAACTTGCATTCTATTATTTAGATAGGATTTCATCATGCATAGTGCTTCATATCTAATACCGTAATGTTCTAATTTGAGTAAGAGTGTTTCATGATCAACGCAATCAAATGCTTTTGAGAGGTCACAGAATACACCGATAGCATCCTGAGACCTCTCCCAACAGTCAAAAATGTTTTTTTTTATTAAAGCCAAATTTTAAAAGGAAGTTAAATAACTTGAAATATACCCACTAACTATTTTTATCCAAGACAATTATCAACGGCAAAAAAATCGTTTACTTTCAATGTATTAAATAAAACTCAAGTAGTTAATGCTATAGCTGACACTGTTGTAAAATCAAGTAAACAAATAAGTGGTCTATACCTGACTGCATACTGGACCGCAGTTTGTAGTTTATCGCTATTTTGCGATACAAACTCGCAAGAAGTATCGGCCAAAGTGTTCTTCAACCATGCGAGCGCATCGCCATCAGGGTCAACGATCAGTGGCGTAAACCCACAATTATGACCTTCTAGAATCTAATTCATAAAATCATATTAGAATTAATGAAATTACTACTACATTTATTATGATCACAATTTCGAATAAAGAATCACATATAACGAGTATTGTCTAGAAACGACGACTCTAAGTAACTCTTTCATCTCTTTCCCTCCCATTCCAAACTGTCGCAACCTGTAGGTAAATATACCTACAAGTTGCAAGTTGTAAGACTTTAATACCAGTATTGATTGCAGTACCTTCATAATTTACTGGGTACTACCCACGTTAAGGTAATTGTAAATTATTGGGTACTCTCATCTATATATATCTATTTATACATACATCTCTCAAATTAAAATAGTCAAATGTTTTCCTGTATTAACTCACTTCATCGATCAAGATTGCATTTTTGACAGCGGACATATCCGACGGCAACCCCTCCGCTTCCCATTTAAGTTGTTTTTCAGTCGTTGACAAAAAGTTTGGAACAGAAAATGTAGGATCATCAAACCCGATGAGAGCGCTCCATTTATTGATGTAATCCCTGCAAATTTCAGTATTGACATTGATAACATTTGCTATTTATTCTGTAAAACATTTGACGTAAATAACAGGTAGAATTAAACCCATTTATTAATTATTTTATAATATAATATACGACAGTCGTAAATAATTTTACCTGGCTTGTGGTTCTGTCATATGTGGCAAGTACACAATATAGGCAGCAGCCAGTAATGATCGTGGATTTAGTTCAGTTATTTCTTTCGAAATATGTTCCAGCTGAAATAAAATACATGATAAATTCAATACAGTGTCATAATATGTGTAAATATTAGTATGTCATTCCAAAGTCACATACAACTAGATAATCTATCAATAATATATTGAAAAATATATATACGATTATGAACCCATATACGATTACAACGCACTCTGTTTACAAGTTCGCGATAATCGGATTTTATTAACGAATTTTTATGATATTTTCATACGTGATTTCTGATGAAGGTGTAAACAATTCGGTGTTCTGTGGTAAATAACTGGAAATACCCGTGCAAAGCCGGGGAACTTAGTATTCGATAATACATTACGCATTTAGCTACGATATCTATGTAATTTAAATCAAAAATTAACACGTAAAGTATGTGCATGTTTATAACGACACTTACAGTGAATTTTGACATCCATCTACGCGAGGGATATTAACAAAAAGTATTGTTGTCATATAAACAAATAACAAATAAATCATAATTTATATTTGTATACAAAATCTTACTAACATCACAAATAAGATAATATTACATACTATCTTATTTGTGATGTATACAAATTTCGTTATACAGAATAACACATATGCTATAATTTAAATAAGATATTATTAATATCTATTTGTTCATTTACTCGGTGTTTGCAACTCCGTATATTCGTACGGCGTACGGCGTAACTCCGTAGGTATTCGCAAAATAATCAAGACTGCGTCACAGACTACAAGTTGTGCGGGTATGCACACTGCGTGTGTGTGTGTGTGTGTGCAGGTGGAGCGGCTGCGCGGGCAGCACGCGTGCACTGTGTGTGTGTGTGTGTGTGTGCAGGTGGAGCGGCTGCGCGGGCAGCACGCGTGCACTGTGTGTGTGTGTGTGTGCGTGTGTGTGTGTTGTGTGTGTGTGTGTGTGTTGTGTGTGCGTGTGTGTGTGTTCGCGCGCGCGCTTGTGTGTATATGTGTTTTGTGTGTTTGTGTGCGTGTGTTGGCGTACTGACGTCTCGCTGCCAGGCGTGGTACTCGTCGGCGAGGCGGTCGAGCAGGCCGGTGGCGGCGCGGATGGTGTCGTCGGCGGTGGTCAGCTTCAGCTCGAGTGCGGCCGCGTCGCGCGTGTGCTGCCCGAGCTGCTCCTTGAGGGCCGCCACCCGCGACTCCACACTCTCCAGCCCGCTCGACAGCGCGGCCAGTTGGGCCTCGGCGTCTTCTAAGTTCCTAACAAATGTTTCTACTATATTGTGACTTCTACCGGAGAGGTTGCAACTGGTTAAAACCGGTTATCACAAATAAATATAGAATTAATTAATAGAGGTTTCCATAGAAACATTCTCGCCGTCTTCAATCGTGCGTGCTTTTGGGCTTTTTTTTAAATAATTAATTATTATTGGAAATGGCGACATCTAACTATAGAGCAAAAACATACTTACTACAACTTATAAAATTATTGATAATATATAAAACCTTAAACATGTCTTTGATAAATAAATCTGATGAAATAAAATATAAATTTTAAAAGAAAATGAAATGACATGAATTTTCCGCACAAACACGCAGACAAATGAGAGGTTCTTAGAACTGCTCGCGCTAAATCGCGCGCTCCTGATCGCGTAAAATAATATATCATGTAAAGGCAGCTACTGATAAAGACGGCTGAGTTTATATTAATTATATGAAACTGTTATTAGCGTATATAGTGTGGTTGGTCTATACCGGACCGTAGCTATAGTTGTGTATGTATCTGCCGGCCGGCCATCTTTAAGTATGTTTTAATCAGTCGCTACAATACAACTATAGAGACACAACGTGGTTTTATTGAAATTTGAATACAAAATTCCACTTCTTCCAAAGCAAAATAAAAGCAGCCTTAACACAAATCAAGTTCAAATTCAAATTATCTTCATTCATGTAGGTCTATCACAGACTCTTATGATATGTCAAATCTACCGTCAGTTCGGAATGATTCGAGATGAGAAGAACTGACAAAAACTCAGCTCGTATTCTATTAAAAATAAATGTTATACATGTTTACAACAATGCAGATTCATTTTTTAATTAAAATTTGGGAGAATAGAGCGACCACCGGCACATGCTACTGCAAAAACAATAGTCTAATCGGCGTTCGTAACCCCACAAGCGGCACCCGTTCACGAGTATGCCGAATGAGTCACAATCAACATAGTGTCTTTTGAGTGATGATGTAGTGTCTTTTCTTCGAGTCGAGCGTGCGGTTATGGAGTATGTTTTAAGATGAAAGGTGTGTTAAGTGTACTTGTGCAGGTGTCGCTGCTGGTCCTGCAGCGGGCGGACGCGTGCGAGCGCGGCGCCGTAGTCGAGGTTGGCGCGCACCCACGCGGCCAGCGGCGCGCACGCGGCCGACGCGCGCCGCGCCGCCGCCGCCGAGAACGAGCCGCCGCGCGCCGCCACCAGCCGCTGCACCGACCCCAGCGCCTCGGGCCCGATCCGACTCGCGTCCAGGCATCTGCACCCGCACCCACCACACTTTATGGCTCACTGCCTGTGCCCGCGGTTCCATCCGCGTCAAATTCTACAGTTTAGCTAGCTAGCCTACTAGATTTTACCCGCGGCTTCGCTCGCATTGAATGCATTAAATATTTTTTTTTAATAAAAAGTATCCTATATTCATTCGAATACCTTATGTATATAATAATATACAGAAGTAAATAGTATATAATAATAATATGTGTACAAAATTTCATGATGATCGGTTCAGTAGGTTTTGAGTGAAAGCGTAATGAACATCCGTACTTTCACATTTATAATATTAGCAAGGATTAAAACTTATTCATTTTTGGTGTACGTGGCTTTTCTGCAGCTCCGGTGACGACCACCGAGTAGCTTGGTAGTTGTCATTGATACCGATCCAAGTTTCAATTACATAAAAGAAAAAATTGTCAATTATCATGATTATAAACGAATAAAATAAATTACCTGATATCTTCTTTAACTCCTCGTTTAGATAGGAAATTCTTCATAGAATGCCATGAAGTGTCAGCGATGCCCATTAGTCGTAATACGCCTTCCAGAACGTCCCGCACCACGTCAGGCGGCGCTCTCAGTGAACGAATCTATTAACATTAAAGATAAAATTTAACACAAAAATGTTCATTTCAAATAAAATCAATTAATGCTATTTTTAAACATAAATAATGGAATACTTTCAATACCCATTTTTTTAAATTTGCGTAACGGGTGTTAATAAATTAATAAATAAACAACGTATTATAACTGATTTTTTTTATGTTGGTATAAAAGTAGGTATACTTATTATACATTATATTATACATACTTCGCTTAGTGATTCTGGTCGTATATCGCCAACTGCTGCACGAGCCGCTGCTATAACAGGCTCTACAGAAGCTAATTCTGCCTCTATTTCTTTTTTCCTAATAAATAATTGAAACAAAAAACATCACATTTTAACAGAAAGTAACATATTTTAGTACAGACGTTTCGGCTGATTATTCCGATCAAAATAATGAAAATAATTTAATCTATATTTAAGGGAGGGTCGCATGAAAGCCCGGGTAAAAGCGTTCCGAACTGAAAACGGGACAATCAGGTAAAGTGGGCCAAATCATATAATAATGCTTATGAAGGGTTATTGAAGTGAGAAAGATAATTAGTGCTTAATTATTGATGAATTCATGAGGATGGCTTAAGTGACTTCTGTGCCTACATGTACTTTTCTGTCAACACTCGGCACTCCACCATTTGTTTATGCCTCCACATAACTTACATTTAAGTGAATAGTCAGTTCGCATTATGACTATCGAATAAATTTACTAATGTAGTACAACAATTTCATCTGCATACTTGCTACCCGGATACAACAAGAACAAATAAGTTAAGTAGCGACACCTCAACGCATCTTAGATTACGCTACAGTGGTGAGGAATATCGATCGCGCTAAAACTTAATAACAATTAAGTCAATCGACATACTCATGATTTAATCACTGCCTGTAAAAAAAAGTGATAGTGTACCTTATCTGCAGATTGTCGTTCTCCGTCTGTATGGTGCGCTTGAGTGCTTCCATCTCGTCCTTCTTGTCGGTGGTGGCGGTGACGGTGGCGGTGATCTGGTCGAGCGCGGCTGCGGCGGCGGCGCGGCGCTGCTGCAGCTCGTGGTGCTGGCCGGCCGCCGCGCGCTGCAGCGTCTCCACCGCACTACGCGCGCGCTGTAGCGCCTCCACGCCCGCCTGCACGCAACACACTCCGTGTACACCACACCGCACATGCTGCTTACGGTGCAATATACAATTGCCGACATATGTAAATTCACCTCGTAAAGCATTTCACTCATTATATTTCTTTTCAATGATCGAGTCGCATTCAACCGAGGTGATTTTAGGGAGGTGAGTGTAGATGGCACTCCGAATCTGAAGGACTTTTGGAACAGCTAAATACCAACTCTCGCCTGACGGAAACCACTTTAGTCTGAGAATTGCCGATCGATCCCCCGTCCAATTCAAACGGAGATTGAAATTCCGTAAGCCTAAGCCCAGGTTCGAATCCCTAGACTAAAGTGCCCTCAGACTAAAGTCGTATCCGTAAATTTTTCGATTTTTAAATCAATATACTGATTAGTTATTTTAGCTGAGTTTCTTGCCAGTTCTTCTCAATTGAATCTGTATACTGAACTGGATGGCAGGAAAAACATATTAATTCAAAAATATTAATAAAAATTACGTTCATAAGCGGCTAAAATGTACTACATGGATAAATGATTTTTGATTTGATTTGAGTATTACACAGAGTATTATGATATATACGTTTCGATCTGTAAAAACCTGTAAGTGACTGTTCTGATTTAATTTTGTTTACCACTATGTTTGTAAATAGCCTTGGTTTTCCAAAAAAAAAAACAAACCTGTAATATCCCCTGCCTCTGCAATAGAGCATCTCTCTTCCTGCTCAAGATGCGGTAGTAACTTTTGATAAAGTTGACATATCTGCAGGGCGCGCGCATCAGTTCGGATTCAATACTATAGTAGATACTGACGAACCCATCAACAGGAACTGGTTCAGATTCTTCTTTGTTCGATTGCGATAAACTCTCCTTTATCAGTCTGCAATAAAAATGTTAAATTGGATAATACCATTAATGTTCCACTGTTATTAATGTCTTTTATACAGTACCTAAATTAAATTGTTCGGGTATTAACGTATCCTACGTTAGTCAATGGGGTTAAACATCATTAGCAATATCAATTAGTTCATATCCACGTAGTTCCACATGGATTGTGATTATTTTCTGATGATTTTGCCATGATTGACTAAATGACCTGATTTCGTTCTAACTTTATTAGACTATACCTATACAACTTCACAGAACTAAAAAGGGAGGCGAGTATAGAGAACATTCAACCCGTGTAAGGATTTATAGCGGCTGACGACCAACTCCTGTCTGACGGATACGATTGAATTCCTTAATTTACCAAACTTATATATCCAACATAAAATTTACGAAAATAAAACAATACATATAGGTTTTTCCACTATATATATAAGAAAAAATAATACGCGACTACCTACCTGTCTTAGAAACAAGTGCATGGTGCATTTTAAACACTAAGTGCATACAAGTAGTGCGGCAGGCCGGGTACCTATTGATAATCAGCTGGGGTACTTCGTGCAAGGTCTCGGCTGACCAACTTTCAATCCATATTAGATGACTCTCTTCGTACAATAGTGGGTATTTTTCTAACAGTTCAGAAAGATTTTCTTGATTCTTGTCGATACATATCACTATGCCTAAGTTTTGTTTTATATCTGAAAAACAGTGAACATGAAATTCATTATTAAGTAAATGCACCTAGAGGCCATACATTATCACGTTAAGAGCAGTTATTAATTCCTAAATCATGTTTGCCTGCAATTTTATACATTTATGTATGCTTCTTCAATTCATAAAATATTATGTCGCATTAGTATTCGTCTAATATAATTATAATTACAATTATAATTATATATACATGATGAAATTTAATGGTTAAAGAAATGTATTCAAGTAGGTATAAGTTGAGGCGAGTGCAATACCATGCAACTGGTGGGTGGGAAGCTGGTGCGGTCGCAGGTGCGGCGGCAGCGCCAGCAGCGAGCGCGCACGCCGCAGCGTCTCCACCGCCGCCAGTTCCGCCTCCGCCTCCGCCTCCGCCTCTGCTCCTGCCTCGCTCCCCACCCGCACCACCAGCACCGTGCGACCCTCGCTCGCAGAACACAATGCCTAAGGTTCCGATTTCATATTAGTAACTAAAATAAGCTCTATAATAAATTTGAAGCTTGCATTCGGTTTAAGTAATAAGATTCGTATCTTGTCATTTCTATAAGTAATGGTCATACACTTTGGTTTGCAATATTTGCCATAAAAACTGATATACTTTTTATTTACAGTTGATTTTGCGATTTACGCAGGTGAGGAGGCGTATAAAAATTAGTAATTATATTATCAATATTGATTAGTTTGAACTCCGATTTAATTTACATAGATTTAAAACCAATTTACTGTTGTTATACATTTGCATTTGGATTATTACTCTCGTATAAAACAATGCAATTGAAGTGGATACAAAATCAAATTTGTGGCCAATTTTAAATATTAGAATAACTGTTTCTTCGAGAATAAACTTTAACAGCATTGGCAAAGAAATTAATTGTAATTGTCAAAATAATATATATAGATAATATAGGCATTACGTTTTTGAATACAGTGTTGAACTGGTGGTGGTGGTCCACGCAGTGACCGGTCGCGGGCAGTGCGGCGGCTACGAGCGCGGCGGCCGCGCCCGCGCCCGCGCCCGCGCCGCTCACGCACGCTACCAGCCCGCCGCCCGTCTGTAACAAACACCCATCCTCACGGCTATAATACCGCGGCAGACTGGCAACATTCACTTTACGGCAGGTACATAAACTAAAAGATAGAAGCAAGTAAATGTCGATTATGGATTCAATACATACATTTGGAATACTAATTTGTCTAATTTGTAGTTTCACATGATATGGATGGCGCCACCCTCGAGAACCCATCAATACGCATACGGTTTAAAGATGGAAAGGAGAAAGGGATAGGTTCTTTCCGTGCAAGGCTGAGACAACGATACGTGGAATCTATATTATTATCAGTTACGCAATTACTGTGTAGTATCATTTGAAAGTTGAATAATGATTAAGTGCCGCTGCATGAACGTATCATTTCTGAAACTTCCCAATACGATGTAGTGTTACAACAACTGTAGTTAATAACTCGACATTGATCTGTAATTTTACTGAACACTACGATATCCATTTTTTTTTAACGTTTTACTTTATATTTACCCTAGGAATAGTAACATACGGTTCACTAACGTTGAGAATATATGAGTAGAAACTCATATATTTTCAACGTTAGTGTACCATATTATACCGTATTCCTAGCTTTAACTAACTAGTTTATTATAGAAAAGAAACACTCACCGCTCGTGCTATAGCTGGACATAGCACAGATAGTTCAGAACAAACTTCTATACCAGTCTCGCCAAATGCATTCTCGTCATCGGTCACTGTGAAGCAAAACGTTAAAAAATGACTTGCTGCCTAAATAATATGGTCTATAATTATATCGACAAACTTTACTTGCTTATATACTTTGACAATCTCAGTGATCTAGCGGTAGCGATATATTCAATTCCATTTAGATTTCTAATTATAGGGTGCATTTTCAAGTACGATCTACGCTTTCTAAAAGGTTACTAACTTGTTAAAGGCAAATTTTGGAAATTAATACTTACGACATTGATTAATAAGCTTCTGTGTCCTCTGATACCATTCTTTTTTATCCACCATTTCCATATAAACGCCATCGCCACGTAGTTTAGCCGTGAAGTATGGCTTATCATTAGTCATGCTCTTCAAATATTTCCTACATATGGTAGTGAATTGGTCTTTCTCCACATTTGCCACCAATCTATCTCTGAATATTGCATCTGCTTCAGTACTTAAAGCCTTGAAAAGGGAAAACAATATTCAAATTAAAAAGCAATTCCTACATACTACATAACAAAATAAAAGACACTGTTACAATAAACTAATAAATAATCGAAATCGAAGTTTTCAAATACTTTTTTATTTTATATGTGTTTGTTGCAAACATAATATATAAAGTAGCAAAATTTAGATTGGGTTTAGTGAATGTTTGAAGTAATTATATGTTTACCATTATAATTTCTGCCATATTTGACGGTGAATACCACTTGACGTTCTCAGTCCAAGTGATTAGGTGAGATGTGTTCCATTTGTAATGAATTCTTGATTGAAAGCACTCCGTTACCTGAAATCATACAAATGTAGATACTGTATTTATAAATAAAAACAAAAGATTTTAATTTTGATCATTTCTCAAAAACAATCAGTAGTCAAATCCTCTTCTTTAAAAATAGTCGGTACGAGTGGATTAGAAGTAGTACCATGGCGTATATATCTTTTGAAAATAGTAAAAAATAACAATGATGTTTATAACATTCACTATATTATTTATCACATGTTAGTAAAATTAATATACCTCTTTGAATATTGAAACAAGATCATTTGCGAGGGCTACGACTTCATTCTCGGATATGTACTTGTCAACACAGTTTCTCAATGAATTTTTTGTTAGTTCAAGTAACTCCTCATCATCAGGTTCTCTGAAATGATTATTTATTTAACATTAACATTTTTAATACAGTTCAAGAGGTCTTATATTGTTTAATTATTACACTGAATTCGGGTTTTACTTTTATGGTATTATAATTGTGAATAAATAAATCAATAATGTATTAACATGTTCGGGATTTATTTTAACAGAATGTGAATATGCACTCATTAGTTGTGTGTAGCTGTGTTGTGATAAGTATGCTGAATGTAGTTCAGAGAATGATGAGCAGCGAGAGGTCATGGCATGGCGTATGTGCGCGTGTACACACACGCTTCCATTGAGCATTGAGTAGGGCGAGATAGGTCACCATATTTTTTTTTATTGGGGAGGTTTGGGATATTTTCAGTTGCTTGGACACTGCGACCTACATCTATTGTGCTCACCCTTTTTCAGAGTTCACTTCCTAGATCCGTTAGGGAATTGAAGGATATTCTTCGGATCCAGGATACAGTGTAAACTTTCCAAAGGTGATATTACAACTACATATACAGGCGTTTCCTCTTCAGTTTGGCAAAATCTGCAGATTTTTGCTGTGCATAGGCCGATGGTTTGCCATATGTTTGTTCAATTTGCAGTGTGCGAGGGTCCCGGTCATGATTAGGTACCCCACCGATGGTGCCTGCCCTACACCATTTACAGGGCGGCTCAACGCCGCCGGAGATACGGTAGAATGCGAGCACGCCACATACAATAGGGAGTTCAGAAGGTACACCAGGCAATGGTGAGTATATATCGTGGTGAGTGTGAGTACGCACGGTAGAGGGCAGGGCGCGAGTGCGAGCGCGAGGCGCGCGTCGGCGAGCGGCGCGCGGGCGGCGGCCAGCAGGCGCGCGCGCGCCGCCCACCCCCACCACGCGCCGCCCTCCTCGCCCTCCTCGCCCGCCGCCCAGAACCCGCCCTGCTGCACCACCTGCCGCACGCACACGCTATACCACACCTCGCGCACCTCTACACACTACTCTACTATATACCTATAAATTATAGGTATATGGGATTTATTATAGCCTATAATAAATCCCATACATCATCGTCTTCATCATCAGCCCACTGCTGGAAATAGGCCTCTCTCGAGGCACGTCACGGGGCACGATCTTCAGCCGTTCTCTTCCAGTTATTACCCGCAACCCTATATATGTCGTCGTTCCACCTAGTTGCGGGGCGTCCTACACTACGTTTGGCAACTACAATGCATCTACTTCAACGAGCATCGGTTCCGCCACAGATATGACCACATCACATACAACCCTCATAATAACAATGAATGCATGTAAATATATGTCACATTTATACTTCGAGCACTATCATGTCTGGCACGATTTACCTAGGCTTACTTTGTAAAATATTCTCTCCGTGATCTCATTTTCACCCCCCAAACAGCTTACACTATAGGCTGTGTTTCGTTTGTAATGTGAGTTTAGGAATGAATATATAATAAACAGATATAAATATCAGGTTATTTGCTATTACAATTACAAATAAATTAAGAAAAACGACGGATTTCACAGGATTAAATAATGGAACGCTGTTAACTTTTGTGAGACAATATTTTTCCAACTAATTATAACGAGAAGAAAATATATTTATCTATTCTATATATTTATATAGTCTATACATTCACTACCTTAGGAGATACACAAAAACGGAATGCAGTGATAATGTAAAGATGTCGTAATATCTGTTGATAGCCTCCTTGGGTAGTAGTCTAAAAAAATATATGTCACATTACCTGCAAAAGAAACTGTTGTACGGCACAACTACCCCAACTGTCGACTGGGGCGCGATGCAGCGATCGCACTACTAAAGTAACACGCATCTCTCCACCGGTAGTTCGTCCGCTAGTACCTGCACCCGCTCGCACTACATTATTCTGCGAGTATATATTTAAAAATGTCATTCTATATATATTTATATATACTACTAAGCTTCGACTTCGTATGCATTTTTTTTTAGTTTAAAATATTATGAATATCATTTATTACATTTTTGAAACACAATAGGAATATTACACAGATTTTGCATTTTTAACATCAAATTTAAGACTGTTATTACTTGAAGAGGTTTTTTAATAATTGTAAATTAATTACCCGTTTTAGTTCCTCAATGATATGCACTGGTTCCAATATAGGTGTACAGTCAATTGTTATGACGGTCGTATTAGTTTCCTTCAGCACGTGATCTATGAGTAAACTGTAGAGAAGATTAACTATTTATTGTCTGTTTTTAGACATTATAGTAATTCAATGTATGTTGTATGTAGGTTATTGAAATAATTATGATGACAATAAAACAGATATATAAGTAACGTAAAATTCAATAATTTAGGTTACGACTAATAACACTATACATTGTCGATACTTTCAATCTAAAGAAAATTGTTATTAAAGAGGAAAAAATATATTTTATATTATATACATTTCATTGTAATGAAAAAAGTCCATGAATACTTGTTTAATTCTTTAAACTCTTTCACGTATACAAAGTTACGTTACAAGTGAATAAGACTGTCTGTACGTGGATATTGCTGGAATAAAAACAGAAGACAAACTTTTTAGCGCAGGCGTCTGGTCCGAGTACGAGTAGGTGCGGGTGCAGGGCGGATGCGGCGTCGAGTGCGGCCCGCAGCACGTGGTGGCGGGCGGCCACGCGCGCAGACACGTGCAGCTCCCACGTGGCTGCTCCGCCCCACCACGGCTCCTCCGCCACCGGTGCCACCCGCAACGGCGACTGCAGCTACCGTTATCGATATCATTATGTTAATACATGTATCAAACACAAAATGAAACAAAATGAACTTAAGTTTTAAAAAAGAAAAATACTTGGTCTAATGACTGACAACAGGCATATATTTCCATGTTGTACAATTATTTCCTTAAAATTACATTAAGCTTAAACATAATTAAAAAGATAATATTATATGTGATCATTTTGGTAGTATAATATGCAAGTATTTGCAAATTTATGTAACACTTGAAATGTTACATGAAAATTCATGTAACATTTCAAGTGTTACATAAATTTGCAAATACTTGCATATTATACTATATTGTAAATACAAATACTAATAATTGAAAGTACCTATTATACGAAATATTATATTAATTGAGAGTAAAAGTGCAAATCCATATATGTATATCAATACCTCTTCAAACAAGTTGTCCATTGAATTTTCCTTTAATAATCCCGTAAGACTACGTTGTATAGCTAAATAGACAAGGTCTTCTGGAACGTGCGGCGTATTCGAATTTACATTTTGGGCAATGTACGTAAATTGTGTTAGAATCTGTTTGATCTGAAAACAATTTTGTAACTTTGTTAATACTAAATAATCCCAGGTATTTATGTATACTGAGGGTATCGTATTATCATTGATTATTGGGTTAGGTACTTATATACTTGCCATTGTTGTATTGGAGATTTTTATTACAATATCACTTCTGTGCGCATCAAGCCAGCGTAGGCATTTCTCTATTATATCTTCAAGTAGAGGTAACGCCATCTTCGTTGTTTCATTGTCAAATTGCAATTCTTTAATCGAGCAACTCAGTGCTTCTTTAGAGCAAATATTTTCATCGCTGTAAAGTATAATTAGATGAATCAATTTTTGTTAGTGTCTCCTCTGATTAAGTGTTAACTACTAATCAACTACTACTAATCTAGTACAGAATTAGAATATATAGTTAACATTATACTTTGTTATGAAAACAGTATTAGATCGAAATCGAGTAGTATTCATGAAATTATGTGTATGGGGTAGTTGTTTGGGTATGTGATTGGAAGTCCTCCGTCTTAACTATGAACCTTTTTTAAAATGTTGTTTTTTTTCAGTATTATGAAGGGAATTGCAATTTTGCTTGATGATCTAGGTATTCGCGGACTGAAAATAGTTGCGAAACGCTGCTTTAATGGTACAAGGGATGCAAAACATCCCTTGTACCATTAAAGCAGCACCCTGACTCCGGCAAAGACGCTTGTACATCGTGTGGCTTTTTAGTAGGTACAAATCCCACATACCACTTCGCCATCCCTCCGGCGCGATGACGGTCTTTGTGATGATTTTTCGTTACGTTAAAAAAAGGGGTATAAGGGAGAGAGCGGCGTGCACGCACCCGAAGAGTACGATCCCGAGCCGCGAGACCGTGGCGGGCGAGGCGAGCCGCAGCGAGTGCGTCTCGAAGATGAAGTTGGCGGCGCCGAGGTGCAGGCGCCCGCCCGTGGGCAGCGTCAGCAGCCGGTTGTCGTCCAGCACTGAGTTCAGCGCCTCCACCCACGACGGCTCCACGTCGCCGTCGCACACCACCCACGACCACACGCCTGCACCGCCATCGGATAAAACATATATATCTAAAGATTATATTTTTACGACGACGCGGGTTTACATAGTTAATCTAAACTTCTATACTAATATTATAGAAAGGCAAAGTTTGTATGTTATTTTTCACTGTTAGAAAGGTATATTATCCCCGAGTGCTATAGGCTATATGTCATCACGCTACGGCCATAGTTATACCTTATTATCTACCTTATTATTCGGAAAGCTGTGTCATTATAAGAAGAACAAGGAAGAAACTTGAGTGTTGTTCTTTTAAATACGAGTAATTGTTGTAACTTCATATTTTTAAGTTGAAATGTAAGCATCTAGCATTGTATGTGCATGTAACTATCTAGCATTAATTCATTATCAAAATATTAAACACACAATCAACTGGTGTACAAACCGGGTGGTTGATTTGATACTTCTTGGGCAATCGATGATATGACTCCGTCTGTCCACTGCCGAGTGTCAAGATCTATGTGGCCAAGCAGCCATTTACGACTCATTGCCTTAGGAGAAATCACATACTCTACGATTGTCTTGCCTTGCTGTATTAGTGCCTGATAAAAAAATGTATACATCTTGTAATATATCCTATTATTTGACTTTACTCAATGCTAACTTAGCTGATAAATAATAAATAGAGTGTGCTCTTATAGATATAGAAACTTTATATGTCTACTCTGTTAGATCGATCTATATGTTTTGTGAAAGTAATTATATTATCAGTTTTGACTTCGATATTCTAGTCTTCGAACACAAATAGCGGTGATCAAGGAAAAACAAAGTAATTCCTGAATTCCGCCGTATCCAATAGCGACACAGGGCCCTACAGGTTGCACACCATAAAAAGCCCGTAGACAAGAATTTGTACCTTCATTAAATTGAGTGGTATCCAAATTGGCTGATAATATAATTAAGCAAGTACGTACAGCTTTCAATATTTGCCTGACAGTCGTTTTACCGGAGGCGGGCGGGCCCACGATCGCAACGCCCATTCGCTGTTGCAACTGCTCGTATAACTCCGAACACTTTTGTAACTGTAAAAAGATGGGTATGTATGTCAATACTAACTGTCATTTTCCAACTCCAATACAAAGTAAAAGGTTGTTAATAGGTTTCATCAGTAATTATAATATATGTCTAAGACGTTAGGTGTTACTTATGAATAAATGTATGCAACCTCATTTTGCTATATTATATAATTTTTTAAAAAAGAACACAGAACACTAATTTTAAATTTGTCATTCTGAGCTAATTCATTGGAGGGAAAATACAAGATCCTTTACATGAGTACAAAATATTTGTTTTATTTTCAAAAGAACAAAAGGATAGTACAAACAATATAGGTACAGATTAAGAGTAACGGCGTTCGTGTAATGAAAACTCAATAAAATTAATTCTCTTTTTACAGTTCGTCTAATTACGTTCACTGTATGTCAGTTAGTGCAATAAAATAGAATAAACGTCTTTAAAACGTTCATGTTTATAATATTACATAATCCAACTAACAGTGTAATTTCAATATTTCTTATATTTTTCACCTGCAGTTCATTAGCGACGAGACCTAATGATTGCACACTGTTCTCTAGTGCGCTTTTCATTGGATTTTCACGTTCTTCTTCCGGAGAGTCACCGAAAACGAGAGATAAAATATCCTCGAATCTGCAAAAAGGTCAACAGATAGTTTCCTATTCCCGTCCTTAACAATAACTTTCCTTAGTACAGCCTTAATGTGTTATTACACCAACAGATACAACAATTATACATGAAAACATAAGTGTAACCGAGGGATTGATAGTAATGTGAACCGATACCCCTATTGCTAACACGATTTCCCTTGGAAGTCATCATGATAAATTCCTGTAGAATTTACCACGATGCACTGACTGACCTGATCTCATATTCAACTTATCACCCAAAAATAAAAAAAATTGTCGAAAAAATGAAACAAAATTTTTTGAGGTAAGCCACTCTTTATACTCAATAGTAGGAGGTATAAAAAGTAGTTCCTATTCTCAGACCTATAACATTTCATCAAAATCGACCAAAGCCGTTTATTTATTATAGAGTGGTAACCTGCGCGCGTCATGCGGCGTTAGCTTGGAGATGTTGTTGAGTGCGAGCACGGTGCGCACGGTGCGGAGCGCGCACTCGTGGTCGGCGGCCGGCCGCACCGCCAGCGCCGCGCTGCAGCTGCTCACGGCCGCCTTCAGCGCCCGCAGGCCCCAGTCGTAGTGCCGCTCGTTACTAAGCAGCGTGCTGCACACGGGGAAAACTATTTTTATACGACTGTACAATTATGCAAAGACACTAACTGTGGCGGTTATCAGAGTAGGTACCTATATACACCTGGTATATCAACGTGCGTATTTTCGACTTTCTTAACATAATGTATTAAAAATATAATGTGTCTAATCTGTAAATACTAATAAAGATAAAACATACCACGATGTTATTATGCTTGAAAATATAACATTTTTCGCAGTGAACCTCCCGTTACCTCCCGAGGTCGTGCAGGCGGCGGCGGCGGTCGCACCAACCTCGCGAGGTGGAACACGTCGTGCAGGCGGCGCGCGGCAGCAGGCGCGCGGCGAGCGGCGCGGGGCGGGGCGGGGCGGGGCGGGCGCACCTACCTCGCGAGGTGGAACACGTCGTGCAGGCGGCGGCCAGCAGGCGCGCGGCGAGCGGCGCGGGGCGGGGCGGGGCGGGGCGGGCGCACCTACCTCGCGAGGTGGAACACGTCGTGCAGGCGGCGCGCGAGGCCGGCGGCGCGCGGCACGCAGGCGGCGGCCAGCAGGCGCGCGGCGAGCGGCGCGGGGCGGGGCGGGGCGGGGCGGGCGCACCTACCTCGCGAGGTGGAACACGTCGTGCAGGCGGCGCGCGAGGCCGGCGGCGCGCGGCAGGCGCGCGGCGAGCGGCGCGGGGCGGGGCGGGGCGGGGCGGGGCGGGCGCACCTACCTCGCGAGGTGGAACACGTCGTGCAGGCGGCGCGCGAGGCCGGCGGCGCGCGGCACGCAGGCGGCGGCCAGCAGGCGCGCGGCGAGCGGCGCGGGGCGGGGCGGGGCGGGGCGGGCGCACCTACCTCGCGAGGTGGAACACGTCGTGCAGGCGGCGCGCGAGGCCGGCGGCGCGCGGCACGCAGGCGGCGGCCAGCAGGCGCGCGGCGAGCGGCGCGGGGCGGGGCGGGGCGGGGCGGGGCGGGCGCACCTACCTCGCGAGGTGGAACACGTCGTGCAGGCGGCGCGCGAGGCCGGCGGCGCGCGGCACGCAGGCGGCGGCCAGCAGGCGCGCGGCGAGCGGCGCGGGGCGGGGCGGGGCGGGGCGGGCGCACCTACCTCGCGAGGTGGAACACGTCGTGCAGGCGGCGCGCGAGGCCGGCGGCGCGCGGCACGCAGGCGGCGGCCAGCAGGCGCGCGGCGAGCGGCGCGGGGCGGGGCGGGGCGGGGCGGGCGCACCTACCTCGCGAGGTGGAACACGTCGTGCAGGCGGCGCGCGAGGCCGGCGGCGCGCGGCACGCAGGCGGCGGCCAGCAGGCGCGCGGCGAGCGGCGCGGGGCGGGGCGGGGCGGGGCGGGCGCACCTACCTCGCGAGGTGGAACACGTCGTGCAGGCGGCGGCCAGCAGGCGCGCGGCGAGCGGCGCGGGGCGGGGCGGGGCGGGCGCACCTACCTCGCGAGGTGGAACACGTCGTGCAGGCGGCGCGCGAGGCCGGCGGCGCGCGGCACGCAGGCGGCGGCCAGCAGGCGCGCGGCGAGCGGCGCGGGGCGGGGCGCGCGGCCGGCGGCGGGCCGCAGCACGCGCTCGAGGGCCGCGGGCAGCGCGCGACGTCCGCCGTACCCGCGCGCCGCCGGGTTCAGCGTCGCCATTACGCCGCACCACGCCGACACCGACACCTATGGCCTCATAATTTTACATCACTGCAACACACAATAGACATATAAAAGTATCCTTAAATTCTATATAAAAAAAAGCTAAGGTTTGAAATTGATTGTATTTCATAAACTAAACAGAAAGTCCACGTAAGCGTTTTGCACAAGAGTAGGGCGTAGGGACAATAATATAGAGTGTACCAAGTTTACACGGAATAACAGATCCAGTATGTCAGTCTAAATGTTTTTCAGTGCAGTCAGCATTCTTCGCTGTATGCAGCTCGACAAATCTAGTTTTAACCCGAATTGTTGAAATATATTCATTACGACTTGCTTTTTTCCCGTTGAGAATTGCAACAGGCACGCTCTCTGTGCTGGTGGGTGATGATGGGGTGCGGTGTTGTAGCAAGGCCGGCAGAAGCGAGGAGAGCTGGTGGGCGACGGCGGCAAGCGTTTCAGCAGACAACCGGTTGAATTCGTCGAAGCAACCCCATGAGCCGCTCAAGGCTAGCCCCGACAACAAGCGGCCCATGCATTCCGCATCCATTGCCTGTAATCAATACTGTAAAAATGAAACAAACGCCATATATAAAAGAACAACCCATTTTCAGGAAATAGGTCACCAATTTTCGCAAAATTAGTGATTTTAATATTGTATGTGAGCATCATTAAAAACAGTAAGTTCAAGTCATCGTTTATTTCTTCTTTTCTTCATCACTAAATAATAAAGTTGTATAAATTGTAATAAGTATTGGCCGTAACAGTTTACAGTATGAAATACTAGATGGCGCTGTGTCAATTCTAAAACGCGCTATAGTTTCGTTTTGATCATTACATGTATTCGTTGTAATGCAAAAATTAAATTGTCAATTAACCATAGTACGTCTTTTATTTGTATAAAACTTCTAGAGTGTTAAACATTGTGGTCCTTATCGAAGCGCAATTTTGAGTGGCTGGCAAGTTTTTGTGTTCGAGTACCGACGCAGTGGTGGATTGCCGCTTATGGTGCGTGGTGTCGCCGGTCTACGAGTGCATCGAGAGCGCCTGTCGGATATATCCGATAGGGGGCGCTGTAGCAGCCGGGAGAGAAACCACCAAGGAAAGTGAAGTTAAAGTATGAGTGAGTGCCATAATAGTGAGAAAATAAAAAATTGTAAGTACTGTGAAATTATTAACTTAGAAAAATTTCCAATAAAAGTAGTGAAATTGGACTTAGAATAATTCGAGAAAAAGTGAACATACGGGGAATCCATGCCGGTTTTCAATCAGAATTAATACAGTTTCAAACACTTAGAAAAATAATTGATATTTTGAACTTAGAAAATTAACGCAAAATTACTCAATCTACTGGACATAGAAGAATTTGTGCATCAGTGCTATTATAGACTTTAAATAGTTTTAGATAAGTATAATAGTTAAATAAAAATATTGTTTTTATTTCAAAGTTTGTTTATAAATTAATAGGTGTTTCAATAGAATATTTGGGTTGTTTATTCATTGTATTGGTAAGAGTTGGTAAACTTTGTTTCTTTATTATTTCTAAAATTGTATTCTTTTATAATGGAGTCGTTAATTAATATAAAGGATGATATTAAAACTAAAATTGTGTAAGCCAGAAGTAATTTTAAAAAATAGCCAAAGGAACGGTTAAAACAGGCGTATATCGAAACTAGGTTGGAAAATTTAGAAAGATCTTGGCTACAATTTACCAACACTCATTCAAAAATTATTAGTGACATACCTAAGTCTGAAATTGCAAAGTCTTCTTATACTCAAACTGATATGTATGAGCAAACTGAAGAGACTTATATAGATTACAAGACTGAATTAAAGGGGTTATTAACAAAATATTTAACTGGTACCGATACAGTGTCAAGTAAAGAAAAGGAAAGTCAGTCTCTCACAGTAAAATTATCTAGAATTTCCATTCCTGTATTCTCAGGACAATATTTAGAGTGGGTTAGTTTCAGAGATTTGTTTCTGTCTTTGGTACATAACAATAAGACGTTAGACGATGTACAACGTTTACATTATTTAAAAAGCCATCTCTCTGGAGAACCAGAACAATTACTACGTCACGTTCCTATCACACAGAGTAATTATAAAGTATGTTGGGATCTTATTGAGAAACGTTACAACAACAAAAGGTATCTTGCTAATTGTATTTTAAAGAGGTTCATGAGTCAAAAAAATGTAACGTCAGAGTCATCTACTGGTCTAAAAGAGCTTTTGGATACAACAAATGAGTGTATAAATGCATTAATAAATTTAGGCATTAATGTAACTTCGTGGGATATCATTGTAATTTATATAGTTAGTTTAAAATTGGATACTGAAACTAGAAAATTATGGGAAGTAAAAATTAGTGAAACTGGTGATGACTTACCTTCTCTAACACAATTTAAAAGTTTTCTTGAGAGTAGATTTAGATCGTTAGAATTTTTAGATAACAGATCTGTAAAAGTAAATTATTCTAATCGCACTCAATATAATACAAAATCACTTCATGTAACTACAGTATTTTCATGTGCTTATTGTAATGAAAACCATAAGATTTACAAATGTAAAAAATTTGCAAAAGCAGACATAGACACGCGGCGTAATTTTGCTCAAACCAACAGTTTATGTTATAATTGTCTAGGTTCTAAGCATTCGGTTTACTCATGCCAACAAACCAGTCGTTGTAAAATATGTAAGAAAAGACATCATTCATTACTACATCCTAGAAGTATAGTACAATCAGCCGATAATGAAGTAGGTAGTGATCAATCGGCTAATAGTGATGTCGTCGTACCAACGACATCAGCAACACAAGACGAAGCTAGAAATGTCGTAGCATGTTTTTCTAGGGTTGACACCCAAGTGTTATTGGCCACCGCTTTAGTTAAAATTGTTTCAAAGACTGGAAAGAATATCACCCTCAGGTCGTTGTTAGACCAAGGTTCGCAGGCTTCATTTATTACTGAAGCAGCAGTTCAGCTTCTTGGGTTAAAGAAATATTCAAGCAGAAGTCAAATATCAGGGCTAGGAAGTGATCAGGCTGGTTCTTTAACCTCTAAGTCTGTAGTGTTTTTTAAAAATTCAATCACTCCATGACCCCAACTTTGTTGTTGATGTAAAGGCTCATGTTTTAAAGAAGCTAACTACTTTTCTTCCAGAACGAAAAGTTGTCTTACCAGTATTAACAGAACTGTCTAAATCAGATTTAGCAGATCCTACGTACACCACACCCAACAAGATTGACTTGTTATTGGGTGCTAAAGTTTATGGAATGATCTTGGAAGAGGGTCTTATTAGGGGATCATCTCAATCATTAGTTGCTCAAAAAACCAAATTAGGTTGGATATTGTCAGGAGAGATAGAATCTTCTGGTAACAATGAGAAAGAGTGTTGTTACTCAATTGTTAGTTTGCATTCTCATTGTAATGAAAACGAACTCCTACGTAAATTTTGGGAGTTAGAATCAGACAATTCCAATCTGAATCGTAAACATCTCACGCCTGAAGAGCAGAGATGTGAGGAACTGTTCGTCGCCACTACCAAACGAGATTCATTCGGTAGGTATGTTGTCAAATTACCATTTCGTGATCAAAATCCAACTTGTATGTATGGTAATTCTCGAGATATAGCAGCTCGTAGGTTTTATTTGTTAGAAAAGAGATTATTAAAAAATCCTAAGTTAAAGATGGATTATTCAAATGTCATAAAGGACTATTTAGATTTGGGTCATATGGAGCTTGTACCTGATGATGAACGTGATAACAAAAACGCTGTTTATTTGCCACATCATCCGGTCATCAGAGAAGATAAAAGTACTACTCAAACCCGCGTTGTGTTTGATGCTTCGTGCAAAGATTGCAACGGTGTATCCTTGAACGATGATCTAATGGTTGGTCCGACTCTTCAGTCCGATCTGAGACATCTTATCATGCGCTGGCGATTGTATCCTATATGTCTAGTGGCAGACATAACTAAAATGTATAGACAGGTGAAGGTTTTTCCTGAAGATACAAACTTTCAGCGTATCTTGTGGCGTAATCCAGATAATCAAAAAGATGACTTACAACATTATAGGTTACTCACAGTTACTTTTGGGACTGCTGCCGCACCTCATCTAGCGGTAAAGGCCTTACAGCAGGTTGCTATTGATGAGGGTAATAAATATCCACACGTTTCTGAAAGAGTCCTCAGGGATTTTTATATGGATGACTTGTTGACCGGTTGTCAGAACGTTGAAGAAGGTCAAAGGGTCTATAAAGAAATGAAGATGTTACTAGGCTCAGCAGGATTTCAACTCAGGAAATGGTGTAGCAGTAGTGAACGTTTGCTAGAGAAAATAAAGGAAGGAAACGAGGATAAATTAGGTAATCTAGAACTAAAAATAGATTCAGTAATGAAGATACTTGGACTTGCATGGAATCGACGCTCTGATGTCTTCGAATATTCCGTTCAGTTGCCGCCACTGAGCGAACCTGTCACTAAAAGAAAGGTTATATCGGATGTTGCACGATTGTTTGATCCTCTTGGCTGGATCGCACCCACCATTATAACTGCTAAAGTATTCATACAGAAGCTTTGGCTTTCTGGAATCGATTGGGATGAAGAACTTCCATCTCAGTTATTAAAAGAGTGGATTATATACAGAAACGAATTATGTTTACTTACCAATTTACAAATTCCTAGATGGATTAACTCGAGGGCTGATGACAAGCTAGTTGAATTACATGGTTTTAGTGACGCGTCGAATGTGGCATACGCTGCTGTAGTTTATGCACGTATAGTTAGTAGAAATGGTGTAATACATGTAAATTTACTTACCTCTAAAACCAAAGTTGCTCCGGTTAAACAGATATCCATTCCCAAACTCGAACTGTGTGGCGCCGTCTTGCTCGCGAAACTGCTCCTGGAAGTGTCAACGGTTCTTACTGTACCTAAACAAAATATTCATGCTTGGACCGATTCAACGGTTGTACTCGCTTGGCTAAGAAGTCATCCGAGTAGGTGGAAGACTTTCATTGCTAATCGGGTTTCAGAAATACTAACGGTTCTTGATAGTAACCAGTGGTCACATGTCCAATCAAAGGACAACCCTGCGGATTGTGCCTCCAGAGGAGTCAAGCCTCAGGATTATCAAAATGATTTGTGGAGCACAGGACCACTTTGGCTGAAATCAGAAAATATTATTTATAAAAACAAAGAGGTAAATGATACAAACTTAGAAGAGAAAACAAACAAGGTATGCTATGCAACTACAACCGAGGAATTTAGTCTATGGAATAAATACTCATCATTGCTCAAACTTGTCAGAGTTGTTGCTCTATGTAGACGATTTCTTCTTTCACGAACTGCTCTCCAACCTGAAAAGAAAAACAAATATGTTAGTAATGAAGAATATACTGAAGCTTTGAATGTATGTATCCGACAACATCAATCTATATATTTTCAAGAAGATCTGTATAATTTAGAAAAATCTGGAAAACTTAATAATAAAAGCAAACTTACCTCTCTCAGTCCATTTGTTGATGATGTTGGTGTCTTGCGAGTTGGTGGACGATTACAGTATTCTCAAATGTCTGAAGAAATGAAACATCCTATCCTCATTGCTAAGAAATCTCATTTTACTCATTTATTAATTGCTGAGGCTCATTCCAGAACTCTTCATGGTGGACCTCAGCTCATGATAAATTACTTGCGAACCAAGTATTGGATTATAGACGTTAAAAATATGGTTAAATTGTACGTTCGTAAATGTGTTGTCTGTATTCGTCATGGATCTATTGTAAAACATCAGCTAATGGGTCAACTTCCTTCGGTAAGAGTTACAGCTTGCCGACCTTTTTTTCGTAGCGGTGTAGACTTTGCCGGTCCTATCAGCATTCGTACTAGTAAGGGTAGAGGTCATCACTCCTATAAAGGTTATATATGTCTTTTCATCTGCATGGCTACTAAAGCTGTTCACCTGGAGGCAGTGAGTGACTTAACCACTCAGGGTTTCTTGGCAGCTTTTAAGCGCTTTGTAGCAAGGCGAGGACATTGTGCCGATATATGGAGTGATAACGGTACGAATTTTATAGGTGCCGCTAGAGAACTTAAATCACTTTTTTCTACAGAAAGGTCTGCTATAGCGACAGAAATCGCAAATTCACTTGCTTGCAATGGCACTAAGTGGCATTTTATCCCTCCCCGCGCTCCAAACTTTGGTGGACTCTGGGAAGCAGGGATAAAGTCCACAAAATACCATCTTCAGCGCGTAATTGGAAACTCCACACTTACATATGAGGAAATGGCAACAGTCCTGACCCAAGTGGAAGCTTGTTTAAATTCCCGGCCACTCTCTCAGATTAGTAACAACCCTGGTGAACCATATGCACTTACCCCAGGGCATTTTTTAGTGGGAGAGCCCTTAGTTGTAGCTCCTGATTCAAATTATGAAGCTTGCAACCTTAGTAATCTCAAACGTTGGCAACTAACACAAAGGATGTTGCAGCATTTCTGGCGACGTTGGTCGCAAGATTACATTACTCAATTCTTTCATCGTCGTAAATGGAAACATCTCATTCAAGAACCAAATATTGGTGATGTAGTGTTGGTAAGGGAGGACGATTTACCACCTGCTAAATGGTTGTTTGGTATAATAATTGATAAACATGAAGGTTTGGACAAGATTACACGCGTTGTTAGTCTTAAATGTAAGGGTAATATTATTAAAAGACCATTATCTAAGATATGTTTACTGCCTGTAACAGAATAAGTTGATTTGCAATGGCAGTCTATTTTCTAAGTAAATCTGTCAATTTGTCAGAATTTGTTATTGTTTAATTAAGCTTAAAGTAATTTTGTTAAGTATGTAAATTTCTACTCATGTTTTGTAATATTTTTATAGCATTTTTGTTTGTCTATTCGCTCACCTTTAATATTGTTGATTTTGTATGTTAATTTTATTTTTTTTGTAGTGATGAACAACTAAAGTACTGTAGTTGTCCATGGTGGGCGGTATGTATAAATTGTAATAAGTATTGGCCGTAACAGTTTACAGTATGAAATACTAGATGGCGCTGTGTCAATTCTAAAACGCGCTATAGTTTCGTTTTGATCATTACATGTATTCGTTGTAATGCAAAAATTAAATTGTCAATTAACCTTGGTATGTCTTTTATTTGTATAATACTTCTAGAGTGTTAAACAAAAGTGTTAACAATATGTTGTCGAGATCCGTAAATGAGGTCATAAAAGGTGCGCAAAAAATAATTTAGGTTAATACAGTTTCTGTTCAATGAAATAAAATCGATATCTTACGTCATCATACACTTAGTCGTTAATCAATTCTGTTTGTTGATGTATCAGTCACCAAGCATATTGTACGTTTTTTCTATCAATATATTTCTAAGAGCAGTTTTGAATTGATGATTATTACTCAACATAATGCCTTAGGATGTTTATTATATGTATATTTTCGGGTCTTATCTAACCATACTATGTTTAAAATTTCTAAAAATAAAAATAAAAGTCCTATGTATTATAAATTGGTTAAAAATAGAACATTTAAGAAACAAAACACACAATATACAAAATATGAGAAGATTACCCACCTCATCACAGTTGAATATCAGCACTAAACGTCCAACTAAACCGCCGAGTGCTTTGACAGACTCCGTTTTGCCTGTTCCGGCGGGACCGAAAGGATTACCAACCAACCCAAGATGGAGTGACTGGAAATGTATATATATTTTTTTCAATATCAAAAACAAGTAAATGATACCATGACACGACTATAATACCAAAAGGGGAATTTCACAGGCATTGTCAGTTGGCATGCCTGCATTTTAGTATATTTGGAAACAACGTGGCGAGAGGAAACTTACTCTTTTTTATTTCATTTTATCTTTTGGATTACGTTGGTTTGTTAATGGTAATTTCTACATTGGATAGTAAATCAAACGTAAGTAACCACTACGCCATGACGCTTATAACACAAAACCAATCTCAAACTTAAATATATATTTTAAAATCACAAATATTGACCTGCGTTAATATCAAAAAGCACTCATCGGCGATATCCGTCCGTACAAACTGGCCAGTATTGACGCCGAGATATTCGTATGAGTAGGAAATTTCTGCCAGGCCCATTTTAGCTACAACTTCTTTGGTATTCAGCAAATAAAATCTGTACATAAACAAATGAAAAGTATAAGCACAGATAACATAATATTACATAGTATAAGCAAGTATGAACACCTTCAATCTATACATATTACTTCATTTTACGCCTATCTCTCTTGAACCATTGAAAAGTACTATTATCATCGAAACTATGGTTGAAGACAATACTAGTCAGCAAAATGATAATGGTAATACCTCAGCTGTTTCTGCCATACCCAGTCATTAGCGGATACCACGTTATTTTCTATCAATGTTTGTATAATATCTGCGTAATGACCACATTGTAGTATGAGAGCTTGTCTCTTCTGTCGTTCGCATTCATCCTCTGTTTCGGCGGCAGCATAATACGCATTCTCTTTTTCTATATCATCTTTTAGTTTATGCAATTCTTTCGACGCTATGGCCCTTTCTGCTTGCTCAGTGAACCGTAGGTTTTGAGCGAGGCAAAGTATTTGCATTGGCAACGAAAATGGATCTTGGTCTTGTAAGGAATTTGTCGCGACGCATTTTAGAGCCATACTTTTTAAGGAAGAGCGCATCTCAGTTTCAAGGTTTTTTAACCATACCTAAAATTCATATTTTTATTATTTATTATTTTATAACACATCATAACATATTACAGTAAAAATAAGTCTATGATACAACTTACACGAAACAAAAGTGTAAAAATAAAATTATAATTAAAAATATGCTAAATTATATGAGTGCTAATCACTCAATTGATCTCTTAACAAGTATAAAAGTGTTCTACATTTCAACTAAGTTTTTGTTCCTCTTATGCATTATCATTTCAGTTTGATATGACAAGATCGCTTGCGAAGTTGTCTGGTATTAAATAAACTGTTTATATTATATTACATCCATACAAAATCATTGTAACCTCCACTTCCAGTATACAAGTATAACAATAATATAAGATCTCTATACTTTTGTAACTAGAAGTCGATGAAAATGTGCCTATTAATTAAAATAATTACCAGTTCCTAAACATTGCTATTACAGTCTAATATTAAGATCTGTGAAATAAAGTACATTTATTATGGACCATCACCTCTACAGGGCAATCTATATCGACTGGATGATCCAATTGCAAATATTCATCATGATGACTGCATAGAGCCGTGATTGACATGCCACCAGGTCCCAGGCGCACCCCTGTGGTGCCGGGAAATAACTTCTTGAGGTGATTCTGCATCACCGCCTCCCTACCTTCCGCGCCAGCCCTCGCCTGACCCAATAATTCGAGTAGGTCGTCGTCACTCAAAAAATACAGTCTCGGGAATATGGAACGCTTCTCCTGAAAGAGAAAAGAGAAAGCGTCGGAATGCTTATATTATAATAACAATGAAATCAAACACATACTCATAGGATCATTGTAGCTATTATTTGTACTTCCAATTTCGAACAGATATTTGGAATAGATTATACAGTTATAATCGAATAAAATAACAAGGTACATATTTCTCAATAATATGCTTATTGTGAAAAATACCTTTTTGACATACACCTATTGATGATTTTAATCATTCTTTTTTCATTATATAGGTAGTATGTTTTTTTTTAATTTTGTGTTTATGCGGTGCCTAAGCACGGTAATATAGATTTTACACTTAACTGTAGTTGTTAATTGTGTTAACAGTTGTAGAATATCCTTCTATATGAGAAATACAGAGGCCATTTTAGCGGTAACTTTACAAATTTTATTTCAGAGATTTTTTTTATTATTTCTTCTTCTGGTCTAATATTTAATCTGGTCTAATTTCTTACCATCGATACTAATACTTCTGAAATAATACTCACATCTATGTACTGGTTCAGCGCTGATTGACAGACGAGTAGTTGATCTGATATAGAGTCGAGCATAGCCTGAAGCCTCGATGACTGCATTAGTACGGATAGGCGAGAATCAGCCTCTAAGATTCGAGATACTTGTCTGAATGCCTGATCCACCTTCCGAAACTTGACACCTAGCTCACCTTCGTCGTTTGAGAGAATGGCCTCCAAATATAACCATCTGGAATGTGTTTATATTTTTATAATTCACATTCTCTGCGATTTTCGTATTATCTATCTATTACGGAATACGATGGCAGTTCTGAAGTTCCTGAATAAATCAATTTGAAGGAAATAACAATGCCAAAATGGGATAGTACTCGTACCGATACATGTACATGTACTATGTGGGAAGGGAAGCATAGAAGACAGGTACCGGTAAAGATCTATCATCATCAGACAGCGTGTTTTATCAAAGTGTCAAAACACTGTGGCATCGCGTGTATGTATAAGAGAGTGACTGTGATTGAATCTGTATAGAGTTCGGTGTAACGATGGAAACTCCATAACTGTAATATGGAGTAATTATTATCAATAGAAATGAAATGAGACCCACGTCCATGGAATTTTATTGTTTTATTACAGAGTATTAATTTAACATTTATTATAGAGCTGAGGGATGACTACTTCAGCTCTATAATAAATACAGCATTACTCATTGTTATTTGATTTTCTAAATGTAATTAAAAAATAATAATTCAGGACAATCTACACAACGGCATCTAGCAAACTAAGCAGACTTTGTACTATGCTAAAATGCATTGCCAATGAACCGGAAAGAGCGCCCTTCGTCTTTGATCTCCCGTATTCTCACCTACCAAACCAAAAAGATTGCCGTTTTGGTAAGTGTGAATGAGCTGAATTATACATTCAACTTCCTACTACATACCTACAACTTCCACACATACTCGTACGGTTCATACCAACTGATATTACTGTAAGTAAAAATAAGTGGTCAGTATATGTATAACTTACAGACCATTTTTTTTGTTAGTGACGACTCTTTATGTCAGACATTTTTGCCCTAGCTAGGTACAAGAAGACAAACAACGAAAAGCGGGATGTATAGTATAGACATTATTGATACACTAGTTATTAAGTTAATAGAAATTCTAATAAACACTATTACACATTGTTGAAATCCTTTCAACTGTGATAAAAGGATATACCAAATATTAGCTGATTAAGATTCTCTTGCATAGGTTAAAACACCTATTTACATATGTAATTTTCGTCAACAAAATTTTCTTTTATAAGCAATATAGTTAGGGCCAGGATTTAATAAATTAAAAGCAATATATATATATAATAAAACATTTTTTTAATTTACGTACTGGTAAATAAAATATTAAAATAGCATACAAAAACACTATGGCAATTTTTTCAACCCGCGCAGGCGATACATCGGGTTATATGTTTATCAATAATCAATTGTAAAATATTATTGTTAATAATTTTGGATAAAAAAAAACTATGAAATGGGACACAACTTCAAAAGATATCATCAACAATTTTCAAATGAGGAAGTCACAACAACAAATAGGGAACTTCTGTAAAATAATGCGAATGGTCACTATAGTACGCCAGTTAATGTACCGAATACGAATGAAATATTTAAAGCTTTAGTCTATATTGATTATTTAGAGAAGTATTTTTTAACAGAAAAGAAAATACATTGATATTAATTAAAAATGTAACTCGCCTGCGAAGTTTTTGATAATCAGCGATTTAAAAATATATTCTTAGGTTTCTATTTACATCTTTGAATAAAATATAGGCATATACAAATGCCATGTTACATTTAACATAAAGGTATCAGTTTAGAAAACGGCTAACCCATGTCAAATTACAATTATAAAATGTTATTTAAATTTATTTTAAAATATAGATTTACATATAATATTTATTTACACAAACTGGATATAATATAGACACTTAAATGTTACAGTATCTTAAGTACTCACTATTTTTATAAATTATCTACAAATTGTTAAGTTATTACTAGAGTACAGACAATACCCATTGAGGTATTTGAATCAGCAAATCATAAGTTAGTTATTTAATGACTTTGCTTAGATATAAAGATTTAAAAAAGAGCTAAGAGTAATAAAATTCTTTGGAATAATAGTTTCAATAAGTATCTATTCTAAAGATTTGATAATGATAAAAATATTGTCCACAAAATAATACGAAGTATTAAAGATTAAATTTACTTTTAAATCGGGATTTGCCTTCGCACATTACATATTTGTTTAATGTGATTATACTATTTAAAAATATAGTTACATAAAGTTTATGAACTTTGTATAATTTTATAACGTTAAAGTTATATTTCCATTTCAAATTTATTTGTACTTCAATAAAACCTAAGGATGTAGCTTAAAATATACAGTAGCTTCTTTCACCTCCCAGTTCATTAACTTCATGACAAAAATACGATGTTTAAAAATCAGTGAGATTGCAATATGGATGCAAATCCATATTGCAACTAACACATTTTAGTTACACACTTCATATTTAGATATAATAATTAAAAATGCATAATGTTATGGCACTTATGGAAATTACAATTAGTAAAATTAACACAATATTTTACAATCTAAAATTCATATCGATCATGGATTCAACGTGGTCCAACGAAAAAAATGTATAATGCAATCGTTTAAGTAGTACAAGATCTGTAATAATTAGACCGTTTCGTTATCTCAGATAGATAGTATTTCATGTCATTATTGAGATTACCAATTTTTTTTTCTAATTCGTCTAACTGCATCTTATGGTCATTATACATATTTTCCATGCTTTCAAGTTTATTTAGTTGGTCGTGAGTAACCGCAGTTAGATTTGCAGCACGATCAAACAATCGTTGTGCTCGATCTCTCGAGTTTGATGTTTGTTTTGCACGTTCTGCTAGAGACATATTTGTTTTTTGAAAGTCCCGTCTCAGCTGACTCGCTTTCTGTTCAGCTCCTTCAGCCTTATTAACAACGTCGTTTGATTCATTTTTCACTTGTTCAGCATCCCTTTCAATAATCGATACATTTTTTTTTAATTTAGACAGGCGTTTTCTTAATCTATCTACTTCTTCTTTTGTTTCATTTGCTTTTTTCTGAGCTTGTTCTGTTTCCGTAGAAATAGGTATCAAGTCACTTTTAGCTGCATCGATATCACTCTTGGCTTTATTAATAGCGTTCTCAGCTGCGTCTTGGGCTGCTTGTGCCTCATCCAAAGCTTCTAAAACTTTATTTGCTGTTTTTAATGTGAAATTGGCTGACTGGTTTACAGCTGTAGCATTGCGCTTAAGAGCTTCAGCGATATCTAAGTCTGGTTTCGTTTCTTCTATAATCTTATCTATATTTTTAAGGTGCGAGACGGTTTCATTAATACGCTGTGATAGCTCTGTTATTTCTTTAGGTTCTGTGCTTATAGTTAAATTTAGTATATCATTCGCTAAGGTTCTCACATCTGCTGGAGTATTAGAAGTATTAGATAAGAAGTCTTTCAGTTCAGTAGTTAAATCTTGACTTTCATTAAGAATACGTTCCGCATTTATTTGAAATTGAGATGCTCGATCAAACAAATCTTTAGCTCTAGATCGAACAGCAATAGTATCATTTTTAACTAAAGAAACTTGTCGATACATATCATCAGCTGTGTGTTCGTGATCTTTTATTCTTTGCTCTGTTTTATTTGCAAAGTCTAATGCTTGTTGCGCTTTTGTTACTGCTCCTTTATCGCATGATATTCCACCACATTTGCCGCAACCAGCTCCACCACAAATATCACAACTATCACTTTCTTGACCACACATCTTTTCATTTAATTTGGGTAATCGAGAGTCTAATTCCGATAGTTGTCTTTGCATGTCACTTAATTTTTGGTCATTTTCATTTTGATTGCTATTAAAATGAGTATATTGCATTTCAATGAGGCGATCAGTATTCTTAATTTGTCTGTCAGTATTAGCAATTAAGATTTGTACAGATTCGGTTTCCTCTGCAGCTTTACTTGCTCTTTCTTTATATTCACGCGTTAAATTAAGCGCTCCTTCCAAATTCGCTTCCTGTAAATTAGTAACATTATTATTCAAGTTATCAGTTTCTGATTTTAGATCATCAATTCTTTTTCCCAGTGCACCTAGAGTAGCAGTCCCCATGTTTATTTTAACTGTAACATCATTCAAATGGCTTTTACTATCGTCAACCTTTTGTTTTATTCCAGTCAAATCATCTTGCAAGCTAGTAATTTCAGACTGCAAATCGTTTACCGTTGTTTGGCCTAACTTAGCAGTCTGAAGCATATTTTCTACATCAGCAATTTTTTTTGTCATTTCTTCAAAATCTCTAGTGTATGCTCCTGTTGCACCAACAACTTTTATTTTACTTGCATTGCCAATAGCATATTCCGTTTGGATTTGTAAATCATTTATAATGCGATCCCAGTTGTCGAAACATTCACCACATGTGTAACAATTCGGCGCCTGACCAAGATAACCTCTAGCACACTTGTCACAGTTGTATCCACCGATTCCTGGTTTACAGATACATGAACCGTTTTCTCTCGTACATTGTAATGTAACCGATCCGTGTAAATCACATTGACATGTATGACACTCTATATTAGGATTACCCCAGTAATTTTCCTGGCATTGATCACATTGTCTACCACCATGACCGGGTTTGCAATCGCATCTCCCGATATAAGGATTACACTGAGGTGAAAGCGAACCGATCGGATCGCAATCACAAGAGTCACAGCCAGTACCTAAAGCAATTCTCCAATGATTCTCAGTACATTGGTCACAATTAACTCCCATAACATTATTGAAACAAGGACATTGTCCAGTTATACCATCACAGTTACCTTTTGTAAAGTTAGTACCTAAAACAGAACAATTGCATTTATAACAAGCTTGTTCCAAAGCATTGCCATAATATCCATCTTCACATACTTCACAATGATCTCCAGCAGTATTAAAAAGACATTGCAAACATTTACCGGTATACGGATCACAGTTTCCTGGTTTAGTAATATCAATATTTCCATTACATTCACATTTTTCACAAGTGCTCTTAGCAGGATCGCCATAATAATTATCGGCACAAACGTCACACTGAGGTCCTGCATACCCTTCTTTACAATCACAAACTACATCTTTTGTTTCTGAATCTAATTCACAACGGTCAGCGTGACTATTCCTATTTGTATCACCTTTTACGCCAGGACAGGGGCAAGACCGACAAGGAATGTCTACACCAAGCCGTGGATCACCATAATAGCCCTCTATACATCTTTCACAACGATGACCTTCAGTATAATCGCTACACTCTCTGCAAGCTCCTGACTTGTCATCACATTCTACAGCATGTCCATTACAATCACATTGTCGACATTGCGGAAAATTGAAATATCCTGGCTGACATAAATCACAGGCACGGCCATAAGTATTCGCTCTGCACTTACATTGCCCACTTGTTGCATCGCAGAAATTGTCTAAAGATCCTATACTATTACAATCACAACGTTTGCAACCAAATTTACTGAAACCATATGTACCAGGAGCGCATCGATCACACCTCGCTCCTACAATATTTTCTACACACTGACAATACCCTGTGTATTGATCACATTGATAACTTTTGGATCCAGAAGGATCGCACTGACATGACTCTGAACCATTTCTTACATAAAAACCAATACTAGCATGATATTTTCTACAAATTTCAGGGACTGTATCTCTATTTAGATCATAATAATACATATCTCCACAATTAAATCGATCGAATTCTTCTTTCAGAACAGTTTCATTAGAAAAGAATGGCAAGTCTTCAAAAGATGGTATGAGAACAATAGAATCTATTAATACAGAAGCTCGAGGATTTGATTTACGTTTGTCTTGAAGGCCTAAATAAATACGAATTTCCGTTTCTTTATTTTTTTCTAAGCACACTGGTGGCTTTACCAAAACACTTCGTTGATTTGAGGGCAAATAAGTATTAATAATATCATCTTCTGGATTAATATTTGCACACGGTGAATCGAGGTCTACAGGCGTAAGTCTTTTTACGAGTACAGTAGCTTCTTCCCAATTCAAATTAGATTGAGGCTCATATCTAATTAACACATTATAATTCATACTTCTTTTTAGATTATCTATAATGAACACTAATGAACTACCTTCTTGAATTTTCATAAAACCAGGGCCAGTCCAAGTTTCTTTTCTGCCATCTGGGAAATTCTCCCGAATGACAACATGACACTGTGGACTTTGAATAGCATTGTCGTCTATTTGAGAATCACATAGACTAGATTCACCTTCAAATACGATTGAATCAAGAGCACCAACGAAAAAGTTTTGTATTGGTTGATCGCAACGACGACCCATCACATTTGGTCGACATTTACACTGTCCGGTTATGACATCACAGTCCCTGTCAATTGACCCCCCAACATCACAATCGCAAGGTGTACAACCATCGTCACTATCTGAGAGTCCATAAAATTCTGGTAAACATTGATCACAGTTCCTTCCAGTAACATGTCGTTTACAAAAGCAATTGCCAGACAAAGGATCACAACCTCTTTCATTAATAGTGCCCAAACCATTACATGTACATAATGTGCAACCTTCAACACTAAAAGCATCAAAATTCCAATAGCCGTCTTTACATCTATCACATCTAGCTCCGTCAACATTCAATTTACATAAACACCTACCAGCAGTTTTATTATTCACAATATCTGTTTCATCATCACATAGGATCTCATCATCAGTGGTTCCCTGCGGATCACAATCGCATGGTTTACATATATCTGCACTTTGTATATCTAAATTAGGGTCCTTATAAAACTTTGGTTTGCAACGTTCACAATTGACACCCATAGTATTATGTTGACAATTATCACATACACCGCCACTTATCTTTCCAGTTTTATTATAAACTGCAGCATCAAAGTGACACTTTGTTGCATGATTATTACAAGTGCATCTTTTACAAGCGTTAGATGTTTTTCCAACAGCTGGTTGCCACGGAAGGTCGTTAAAGAAATCTTCACAATATTCACAATTCAAACCACGAGTATTATGAGTGCATTCACACCGCCCATGCACCATGTCGTTTTTAGATTCCACTCCAGGCATAGGCAAGCACCGAGATGCGTGGCCGTAACATGAACAAGAACCACGTACGGTCATTTCGTATATAGCATAATAATATTTCTCTTGAATCTCGGCTCTATTATCTAACAAATCATCACCAAGAGTATGGAGTTTAGTAAAATTTATTCTCAAATTAGTCATGCGTAATAAATTTTGCACTTCTTCCGAGTATGGGTTGGTAACATTTATATTAGATGGTAAAATTCGTAGTATAACATCTCCCTCCGTAGATGGTGCGACGCCTGAATAACGAGATTCGCAAACAATTTCTGTCAAAGTACGTTGCGTATGCTTTGGAATTCCGGGGAAAGCTTCATCGCAGTTGTGTGCGAAGTATCTGTATACACGCCAGGTTTTGCCGAAGTCAAAAGACCTCTCGACTAACATAGCAGCTGGACGAAATGTTTTAAACTGTATTATCAAATGTGTTAGATGAAATTCAGCTTCCATATCCAACTGAACAGATACATTTTCTTTTCCATTTTCGGATTGCCACCAGGACTTATATCTCGTTCCTGGTGTAAATTTATAAATGATATTTTGAATTCGATGATTTAACATTGGGTCGTGTATTGTGTTATTAGTTGAATAGCACCAAAAGCATTTTTTTCGATCTTGAAGATGTGATACAATGCAGTACCGTTCACGTTCATAGGCGCCACATGTGGACGAGGCAAAGAGCCGTGCTTCGCGTCCAATAAGCAGGTTTCCGGTGGCAGGATAACAAGAACTTAGTTCACAAGCACGGTCCAGGATACGAGATTCAGCGCGAAGACGGTCGCGTTCTCTATTATACACTGCGTCCCCGGCGGCGATAAACACCACCACGATAAACAAAGCGCGTAGAGCCATGTCGAAACGCAGGCTCCCCGTGCGCCACTCACTGCACTGTACGCGCCTCGACTTGCTCCGAACAACTCTCGCGCTGCCTCGCGCTCCCCTCCGCCCCGCTGTCCTACATATACAGGGATGTATTTAAAATGTCTAATGTAGGCTATAAGTTCTAATCATACAAAAGATGATTTAGATGTTTCCTTATTGATCCATGCATAGTCTATATTATTTGTATTTAAGAGACGTCACATTAGAAATTAAATTAATTAGTTATTAAATTAAATTTATTAGTTTAGTTTGTAGAACTGCAAATATAAATTAATTTAGAAATCAGTGCAATATTTATTAATGTATTTATTACATAAATTACCTCATATTTACATAATAAAAAGTAAAGGTTAAGATAGATTAAAATACTACAATACATATAATAAATTAAATTATGTAAAAATTCTTAGTTCGTGTATAAAATTATGGACATTGTTAATAGTTAAATAATTTATTTCATATAAAGCTTATAATTAAACAGTTTCTGGAAATGTGGACTAAACATGAGATATCACTTTGATAATAACGTTTCTTTATATACATTGTTAGTCCAGATTTTTATTTCCTACTATAGGTAATAATTACAAATGTAATAATAATTATTACAATTTTTTTTCATACCTACCTATTTTACTTGTTAGTTATCTTACTAAGTGTTATTTCTTTTATAATGGGTCAACACAGGTGGATTGTAAGTAGAACGGACAAGTGGTGCCATTGTACGATGTCCAAACAACCTCCACGCAGTCTGCTCCAGGAAACCACTATGGTTAATTTAACTAATGAATTTTCCACGATGGGCTAACTGACTAGTACTCGTGCAAATCCCTATCATCCTCCACTAGTGCCTCACAAGCACACACCGTTAAAGCAGGTGGGTACACTATTCCATTATTACTCATCTATAATATAGGCAAAGATAAAAACCGTTACTTGGCTTTTAATTAAAATCTAATGATTATATTTTAAACCTATCTATATTATATCATCAGTATGAATAGTAGTAACATTGATTGTATTTTGTTGTAAGAAATTTTAGGTCTTACATCATTATTTACAACAGTGCGATGCGGCCATGGGGCAGTTTAAAATATAAAATCACAAAAGCTCAAGTGCGGCCCTGTTTGAGGCGACGACCGCTTCCGCCCGCACAGCCGCACACCCGCCTGCTCGTGTCGTTCTCCGAAATGGGCACTAGGCAACAAAAATAACACTGCATTTTCGGCGACTTTGGGATGCGCTTTTGTTTCAGCCTTTTAACATCGCAATCCCATTATGAGCTTCTTAACATCTGCTAAGTTCTATAAATCTTACTTATACATATCTTGTATAGAGTATATTTTATTTTAACCACGTGATTAATTAGTTTTATATCTTTTTTATATATGTCTTTATAAATTCTACCATGGAAATATTTGTTGTTCAAAATAAAGTTAAGTTTTTTAATTAATTAATTCCCTTATCAATTTTTAAAGCTGTACCTAGGTAGGTACTTATTGACTTTATTTTCAATCATTGAATCAAGTATTTATTTAATTAGTTTGAAAATATATTGTAGGTTGTATTATATTGTAGAATAGGTGTAATACAAGTTATTTGGGCTATATTTATCACAAACAAAAAAGTTGCGTTGGATTGGATCGTTTATTAACCATCTGCAGACCCAAACTATGTTGTATATGATACGTAATTGCAAATGGTCCATAATTAAATGCAATACTAAACCATAATAAATATCGCAGGAGATATGTAAGTTCTTGAAGGATAACTGCCAATATCATGCTGATCACTTCAAAAAAACTAAAGGTGCCCTTACTGTCTCAAAAATAAATAAGAATAAGGTTCCATCAACTCCTGTGGTTTTTTGTCCCTTGTCCTTTATCTCTCTCATACATACACGGCACCGGCCCCAAGTTGACCTTGAGGGTGGTCTGTGCTCTCGTGGGAATAATTTATACCTAATAGATTTCATTTTTAACAAGATGCTACTAGTAGCTTACAACGGGAAGTAAAGTAATGAAGATATTCCCCAGTGGCGTACCTTTGGAGTATGTTCAGCTGTGGGCTAAAGTGGGCTTGCTTATTTTAATTTTAAGGTTTAAATTATTTATATGAGACAGATTAAAGATACTTATTAGCTAAAGTAATTAATTATCGAATAGACGATTTCTAAGTCAAATATTTTCAGACTGAGTGACAACTCATTACAATCAATTATTATTTAAGACGATAAGTACTTTAGTTAATTAAATAAAAAAAACAGTAATCATGCGATAAAATATCTATCACTAAAATCCGATTTCGACAACAAAAACGTACAAACTTGGAAATTTTTGTATATTTAACGTATTAGTTCATTACAAGAGCACGATTTACGCTTACACAAACAAAATGTATTTCTACTCTTCACGAGTATCCGTCATACTCGTGAACGGGTGCTGCTTGTGGGGACTGGTCTGTTCGGGTTACAAACACTGATTAGACTATTTGCTTTAGCAATAGCATATGCTGGTGGTCACTCCATTCTCCTAAATTTGAATTTAAAAATGCATCTGTATTTGTACAACATTAATTTGAAAATAATACGAGCTGAGTTTCTTGTCGGTTCTTATCTCAAAATCATTCCGAACTAACGGTAGATTTGACATAGCATAAGAGTCTGTATTACAGACTACATGAAAAAAGATATTTTGAATTTGAATTTGCCTCATGAGAACATACATGGTGATTAGTGTAGTACTAGTACATAGATAATCTACACAGATTTACACATAATCAAATTTTTAATTTGTTTTTAAGAATTGCAGCCAGTATTTATTACTGACCAAAATTATTTCTAATTTGAAGATTGGTTAGGTTAGGATTGAATACACTATACTATACTAATAAACATTGGAAAAAAAGTATGTCAATTTTTATCAATAATTAATGAAAATTGACATATAACAGCTTGTATCAGTTTTAGCACAGATAACATAATATGTTTTAGTATGTTAGGCAATCTTTATACGATACGTTGTAAGACCGCTCGTATGTTCTCGGTCAATCATGATGTATCGACAGATTCCGATTGGCGAATCGCCTAAGTAATCGAAGTTTAGTAACCTAACTCATTCAGGCAACGTGACGACTTATCGACTGTATATTAGCAGCCTAAAAGCGAGAGTAACCAACATAGGGTGTCATATCAGTCACGCGGTACCCGGTGGATAGATACGACGACCGACGACTGCGAGCCGCAATGCGCTGGCTGGCCTTCCGCCCTACACATCCGGCTGTGATAAAACAGTCGCAATCCTAATGGACGTTCCATCTCTTGAAATAACTGTCTCACTAGCATTTTTAGGATTACCCATCAAAAATGCGATGCGAGTTGTGAATACGACAAAGGGTAGACCATTTGTCATATTCATGGTTTTATATTTCAGAAACTACTAATACAAGTTAATAAAAACGTTTGAAATAGATATTCATTAAGGTATTGTTTCAATATACATAATATATTGTCCCCATACCACAAAGTAATACACCTAACATATGACATAATACTATGAAAGGAGCTAAAATAAGCAAGTCTCGCTGTCGCTACATCTATAAACAGTACTATTATTCTATCTGGAGAAGCAACAGCGCCAAGTCTGTTTGCTAACTTAGAGATACGAATCCCATCTGTATTTTTAAAGCTATTGTTAGGTACATGAACAGAGTGTAATTTCTAATTTGGTCACATGCCATTATATTTTTATCTGTCCGTCTGTCAACATTTCACAAAGTGAACACAATACATTTTTTTTGCAGCATATGGTGGTTGATCTACGTCGTATTTTAAATCAATCTACTTTTTAAAACCATTTACTTAATAAGACAGAGGTAAGACAAATCTGGGTCCATAATTAAAGGTCTCTCAAATAGACTCAAATATCAAGAATTCTAATTTTTAAGGTGATAACACACTTTCGCAAGTGATTTTTAAACATTACTCACTTCACTTCACCGAAAAAAAGCCTTATTAAAGCTTGTAATTAAGCTTTAATAAGGCTTTTTTCCGTGAAGTTGCTTTATTTGTTTCCGTAGTTACTATGAGTAATGTTTAAAAATCACTTGCGAAAGTGTGACTCTTAAACATAGGTTCTATACAAAACAAAAAGAGGGTTCGTAAAGGGATAACAAAGGAGGGTTCCCTTTATTCTCTAATGAACTGTAGTCACAGATTTATGTTCTCAGATGTGAAATGAGTTCACTGAGTTCACTTCAATAGCAAACATAGACCTATTAACAGATAATTATCGAATATTCCCCCAAATGTTACAAGTAATAGGTGTGACCTTTAAAACTGGGGCGATAAACATTTTGTAGCCAAGAACTCATTGTTGGAACTGTTAGTAGCAAATTAAATTTCCTTTGAGGGAATTCAAATGTCAGCCTAAAAATATGGATAAATACAGACACGGTCGTAATTCACCCTACTCCAGGAACTTTTTTCACTACAATAATGTAGTGAAAAAACATCTTGTAAACAAAAATCAAAACAAAAATCGATCTTTCATGTCACTCACTGACCGTAGCTCTAATCCAGTACAAATACAAAAATAAAACCCTGTAGCATATTATACTCGCTAAGATAGATATAGTAGTATATTGTTGTTGATTTTGTTGTGGATTCCTTAATATAATAAAAAATGTATAAAGCTGTAACAAGCTCTTACTCTGACTCTTAATGCCCGGAGACATGAAAACAAAAGTTAGAGATACCTATGTATACAGTTACAATACAGTAATAATACATAGCATATTATGTTAATTCCGCAGTTCTTTTCTGTGTTCTTTCAGCATCAATGACATTATCATTAAACAAGAAATCGTATACCTACCACGGTATTTTATCGTCAAGTAAATATTAATGTATACCATATATACAATGCCAAAATTTGATATCCCGGCGGGTGTGTTTTATTTCAAAAGGGCTTAGCTTTTATAGCCATAGACGTGCCTATTATGTTTGCTAATTTCAACTAAAGGTGTGGTGATATACATGATGTCACTATTTGACGAGTTAAAACAATAATAGTGTGGCCTCTTTAGTGTTAGATAAATTGTTAAAATTTCGACAGTTCATAGATAACCCCTTATCAGTGTCAAGTTGACCAGAAGCTAACTGAAAATAGAACTGTAACTCTATTTGGTAGGTAAAGTTAACCCAATTAATGGTATAACAAGAACTGTACTTATAGGCTTAATTTAATCGGGCGATTCACACAAAACTTAATAATAAAACTGTCCGTTTACATAACATCCAATATCGTATGATTGCTTGTTAAAACACTCCCATCATTTAAACAATTGATGAAATTGCATTAGTATTACTTTATGCCAAATACAAACGTAGACAAAAGATATAGTAACATAAAATACATCCCATCCATACAAATATTATAATTGTGGAAGTGTGGACTGTGTTATATTTTCACGACATAACGACTGAAAGGAACAGACGGCAGTACCGAACTAGTGTTCGTCAATCAAAATAGAAGTTTACGTCTCCTCAGATCCAGTCGGGCCATTCGATGCAGTTACAGTCACGTAGGCTATTTTAGACCACCCTTCCTGTTTGCGTGCATGTACCTACGCCGATCGTGATATATTTGGGTATTTAGTTATTATTAACGCTGAATACTATGCCAGATTTATCTGAAACCCGTATTATTAGTCGCAATCTCGTCTGTTTTTATAGGTAATAGATCGTTTACGCGTTCTCCCGATATATCATACACATCACTCATCACGTTTCATTAAATCTGCAACTGTTTTGTCCTGAGAAGGTTACAAACAGACAGACAGACTGGCACACTTTCGTATTTTTAATATTACTATTAAAGACATATGCGTAAATTGGAAGGCTTTATCAATTTATAATATTATAATACAACCCAAAACAATAATGTTAACATTTTTTAATTTGTGTTCTGAATTTTGTTATTCGTATTTTGTTCGCACAGACATATATACATCGCAGAATCGGATAAACCGAAGTACGAGGTCACGGGCTCAGCTAGTATTGCATACAATTCTAATCACAAAAATAGGTTTAATTTCTGTCATATTTTTTCTGTAAGTATACAAGTACTATTACATTTAATATTAATGAACCTGCTAATAAACTATCATCATATTGTGTGTATTCTTGTAATTAAATATTACGTAACAGATGCTTTTTAATGAAATATATTTCAAACATCATCAACATCAACTACTACTAAACTATACCTATATTAACATGAGTGTTAATATAGATACAGTTTAGTAGTAGTTACTATCTTTATAGTTTCTTGCCTCATTTCAGATGATATAAAGTTTAAATCTCAGGTTAGTGAACCCGCGTTATCTACGAACTTAGATAGTTTACATGTTGTCACCATGTTATGAATAACCTTTATTCATCTTTTATTACTAACATACATCTATAATGGCCTGAGAATGGCCTATAAATTCTTGATAAAGAGTTGTAGGTATAGCAAAATGTTAAAAAACGATTAATCGGTAATTTTCATTAGTCTTACATGTTCTATTTGTTCTATCCATCTGTCACGGCATTATGAGATCATAAGTTTTTTTCGGACCTTCGAAGACGAATAATACATCATACGTTGGGATAAAAAAGTGCGACGGACATGTTCTACCAAATTAATTCCTCTATAATTTTAATGATCATCTTTCGTGTTTCAATTTAATCAATGACACACAAACAGAAAAAAGTGTATAACATAGTATTCAAAAATATTTGCTGATACTACGATGTTAATTTGATAGTTAATGAGGACACCATTTGAAGGTGATGGGATGAGTCTGAGATAACTAACTTGACCGCTTAGTTAGCATATATCGTACGACCTCATAGATTCCTAAGGAAACCGCGTGGAGGTCACCCTGACATGGTGCGCTATTTGCAATAGCTCCACTAGTCCACATTAATATGTAACAAACTTCACCCCACCCATAAAAATAGGTTTAAACCATACTTTTGTTACGGGATGATAATAATAAAATAAAGCGAAACAGTGGTATATTGCTGGCAGAGATAAGATAATAATATACCACCTACTGAGTATGTAACAAACTGTTAAGAGAGATCAACGTACTACAGAAGTTAAAAATCTAACAAAAGCGCGAAATGGGCCGAGCTACTAGGTATATCGAATAACCATTTTTGTCGTAATCAGTAAATGTATCCTGTTGTTATTGTATATCCGTATAATGAACATTCTTTTCAAATAGGTAGCTGAAGGAGTAGGTACCTATCGCGTTGAATACTGCCGACCACGTCATAGTGTGTCCATTATCTGGAGAGATCATTGTAATCAACCGTGACGTTTCTGTATATTCATTATGTTTATAATACACTAACTGTTTTTAACGTCTGCTTTTTTTGAGATAAAAGACAGCCGACACGAAGTCGGTTATAGGGCTTCGTGGTACAATCTATATTCATGTCAAATATCATTATTACCCGTGCAGTTTTCATAAAAAGGTAATAAACAGACAGAAAAACTTTCAACTTTATAATATTAATAATATGGATAATCGTACTATATTACGAAATACTGTATTACTAATTAATACTGTATCTAATTACATATTTGTTTGTCTTTTTTTAATTACTTAGCCTATCTGTTAGTAGGCGCTAGTCATAACGGTAACTTGAGCAGTGTTTTATAAAATAAATGAGGTAAACAAAATTAAATCATGACTGTTTCATTTTGTTACTCAAGTAACTATTTATTTACTTTTGTCAACTTTGGCAGTTTGTATTCAGACGAACGTAATTCTGAAGAACATTCATTTAAAAGAGTAGATATACTCTTTTAAAGGTAAAGTTTCTTGCTAATTCTTCTTGTGATAAGACTGTGTTTCGAATGAGAGATAGAATAAAAAAATATAGTATTCAAAAGTGCATAATATTAATTGCATATTTATTTCAATAAAGACTATTTCTATTTCAATACCACATTAGTCTTGTAGGCATATTATAATAAGACAGCCGTGTTTCTGTGGACTAAAGGCTTATTTATCGAAAATGTTTACTTTCATATAAACCAAGAAAAATAGGTGACAATACCTATAACACAACGGCGTGAACAAACAACTTTACTACTATGCCATAATAAAAAATTCGGCGTTTCTAAACATTTACAAACCGACTAAATAGATTGTTCTTGCGACAACGTACAAAAAGTATCTTATACAAATTTAAGACTAAAGAAATAATAAACTAAAGAGCACATTTAATATAGTATACGGATCCATACATCTGTGGCACATATGTATACCGTCATACTAATAACAATCCCTAAATACTCACTACACGTCTATTATAATACCAAATTAGTCAACATTAAAGATATAATGAAATGAATGAAGTAATAATAGGCCCCAGCAGAACACGCTAGCTTCGGATATTAAAATATTTCTTATACGCTATATAGTATATGTATAAGCATGTCCCTAATATCAATATTAATAGTCGAAGTGTATGCAACTACCTAAGTAAAAAAATTATATATAATACACACGAGTTTTATATAAGTCAATGGAGCGAAACTGGAGTTAAAACTTGATCTTTACCGTGTACGATTATCATGAAGAACACAGAGGTTTTGTTAATGATTATAATGAGCATTGTCTATTTCATTTTAAAGATAAAAAAGAAGAAAAAGAGAAAGAAGGATTTGAGGTACAAGTTCTTAGTATAATTTGCAATATATTTATACATGGCTCTATGTGATTTATTTATATGTAATATAATGATTAATATCTCTGACCAATTTACACGCCATCCAGCCCCAAGCTAAGCAGAGATTGTATTTTAGGTACTAGGTAACTGATATACATATTATTTTGTAAAGACATACACTTAGAAAAAATATACTTAGAAAACACACAGACCAATACAACCAATCATATTCATAAATACAAATGGATGTGCCATGCGAGGAATCGAATTCGCGACAATCAGAAGTAAAGCTATGTGCTATACCGTTATATCACCGAGGCCGTCAAGAGGCCGTTAATAAAAAGCTATACAGGTTTTTATTTCACACCACTTAAAAGACACTATATATTCTAATAGCAGTTTCAAATGATAAAGACTACTGTTTTATCATTCATTAGCTGACTACAAGGCACATGGTTTCACGCGCGATCAGGAGCTATCAAGATTGGGAGAGCTAACGCTCGTAATTATGAGTGATTGCATATTTTTAATACATCTGATTGCGCTTATGTGTCGTTTCAATTCAATTTATTTTAAATTCTTATTTTTTATTCCGCAGATTTTATTTTCCAAAAGACACGTATAAGATTTACAAGTTATAACAATAATTCTATAATTTAGTCTTTGCTCAAGAATTGCCATTTTGTTATTATAAAAATGCGCTAATTAGGCGCGTGGGTCTTTCTTGTTCTCTTTGTCTATATTTACATGCTCATTATTTTTTGCGAGAAAGCCGATTGAGGCACGAAAGAACGGACGTGTATAGGCAGATAATGTATGTGGTCGCGCACTATTACATAGGTACTAACTGACCTGCGTTGTACGTGATGCGCAGCACGCAGCAGCTGACGGGCAGCGCGTAGTCGAGCCTCCCAAGACGAGCTCGCGGAATTTGCAGACGTGCCCACCGACGACACCACCCACTGGTGTTCCTCCACCTAATGTTTATGTTGTACTACATATGTATTTGTTTATTTCTAGACCATTTACATATGTAATAAATATAGACACGGAAAATATAGTGAAAAATATATTATTTTAATTTAGACTATCAACGTAACTAAACTATGTTTGGACGTCATAACGATTGAATGGATTTTAATAAAATTTTACAAAAATAGAACTCAACAAATATACATCAGAACACAGGCATATAATTTACGTTGGTGAAACCGCGGGCACAGGTAGTCTACCATAGCCTTAGAAACGGCTTACTGACCTTGGTAAGTATCTCTTTGAAGTCCTTCACAATGGGCGTGGGTCGTTTAGATTTGTCACTGTAGTATATTATAGCAAGTTTGGCGCCAGCGTACCACAACTCTAACTCGTTGAGAGCGCTCCTGATGGCCGCCTCGCTTGAAGCACTCGTACTAATTTTCTATTAAAATATTTTTTAATTACAATATACGTCAAGACACAGAATAGTAGAGTTCACAGAATATCGTAAGAGACGAGTAACTGAATAAATCCTGTACTACCCTAGGGAAAGAGAATAAGCATATAGGTATTGCAATTACGCTATAACTATCGCAATATAATCTTAGTATTAGTAATATGCTATGCAGTAATGATTTGAATGATATATAAGTTACCATAACCAAATGTCGGCGCACGGTGGGAAGGGAATTATTATTAACCTGGACTGATGATCGCATTGCTAGCAATATACCATGTCATGTTAACTACGCGGTTTCTCTGAAAACCATTGTGATAAATTCCTGGTGAATTTAATAATGAAACCGCCTCAGGCCAGTTAACTGGCCTGACTTCATGCTCATCTTATCAACCTCCACTGGTTTCGCGCCAGCGTAAACCGTTAGCACAGGCGGGTAAACCTTACCATTATCATTTATAAAAAAAATGTCGCCATATACCTGTAAAGCTTTTATTTGTTTTTTAATGTTGTTTGCCACATTTAGGAAATCCTTCACTATTAGGGTGTCGGGTTTCTTGTACTCCATGTCCAGTAGGCCGTAAACTTCGCGCCAGTGTTGCTCAGTAAAGTCATTTCCCCGTAGATATTTCAGCAATATCGTTAGATCCTATTTATAATTAACTCAAGTCAGATAATTATTTCCATAGAATATAGAAAAGCAATCATATAGGTACATTTTACGGAAGCAATACTGAGTTGATGTGTAAAAAATATTTCTTAAATGGAGACTTTTGAAGATTTCTCATAAACAGCCGTGGTTAGAATTATTTCAATTTCATAATTGGGAATGGTATTTTCGTCATTATAAGTCAAAACGTACAGTTTTGTTTCATATTTTATGCGATACCGAACTTATAATATATACCACCCCCCAAAAGTGTAACCATTAACATTATATGGTCAACAGTATCTAATATATTTCAAACTTCTAATCAATAACTGTACTAGTTTCTGAAATATAGCACAGTGTAGCAAACAAATACACAAATCCACTGAGGTAGCCAAGTAAAAATTTTAATGTAATAATCCTAGTAAAAGTCTCTAATCCCAGTAAATAATACGCGATATTGTTTGCAACACACATCAATTTTTTATGACTTTAAAAATTACTACACAGGAGAATGAAAATATAAACAAGTTAATAGAAGATTAATGGAGACACGCGGAAATTCACAACATTCTTAACAAATGTGGTACCTATAACTATATCGCTCTGTATACCATCTCGTACGACGTATCCGGTTCTGTCGAGTGTGATATCATCTTAATGATAACAAGTAACTATACAAATAAATTTGCTTACGGAATACTTCTCTAGTTCTTGTTGTATATACAGAGTGATCATCGTATACGGCTCTAAACGTCCGTTCCAATTAGACACGAACTCATCTAAAATGTGTAGCTTTTTCTGGAACACTATCCATTCCTGCTCAGCAATCGAATCATATTCTAAAAATTACATATTTACATTATTAATTATGTACCTGTATGTAAACTTAATACTTCAGATGATTGAAATTAATATTATATGGTAATGTGTGGTAAATGTAGTAATCTAAAATTTTGTATTAATTCGTACAATAATTTCAATTACAACTACCGAAAGTACGAGTATGTACCTACATATTAGAGAATCTGTGATCACACAATAAATAAAGAAAAAATACCTTCATTGTATTCTTTCAGCGGAGTCCATAATTCAACAAGATTTTGAATAAGTTTTTCAGCATCATCCCAAACGTTACTTGGTTCAAGTTTCATATCGAATTTTTCACATTCTTTGCTGTTGAAAATAAAAAAGAAATAAATTGAATTAATAAACTACAAAAATCAATAATCACATAATAGATGTATATAATCTATTAGAGTATATTACAGTAACCAATATATATCTTTTCTATTAATTACCCAGGATAATAACTACTAGAATGTGGTATTATAGTATCTGTAATGGCTAGCTGTGAGTAAGCCAATTTTCAAACAAAAGTATCAACAATTTTCTAATAACAGTAAGTATGTAACTGTATGATGTCAATGTCGATTTATAATTGAAGGTTTAATCTAAACTAATTTACACTGAAATGGTTTGTTAAAGGTTCTAGGCTTACAGTAAACGATCTCGGTTGTCGCAGAGTGCGCTGTAGTGGTCACGTGCTGTGAACACGTCGCCGCACCTCTCGGCTGCAGCCGCGGCCCCCGCGATCCCAGAGCCCCCCGCGATCCCAGAGCCCCCCGCGATCCCAGAGCCCCCCGTGATCCCCGCGCCCCCCAGGCCACCCTCCGACCAGCGCGCCGTCGTCGCCTGCCACCGAGACACCCACGCTTCCACGCTACCTTCCAGGTTTTCCCACTCGCCCTTCAAACTCGATTTCACAATCTCTGCCTGAAACAAAGTTAGATCATTATTCATTTTATACAACATATTCAAAAACACAGCCCGCCTCACACTTATATGTGGAGCAGAATGTTGGTCTCTGAAAAGGATCCATGTCAACAAAATGTAAAGAGACGAAAAAAGTCATGTGATCACAAAAGTCTTCAACATTAACACCGGCCTAAAGAGACGAGGAGACCCCTACTTACTTAGCAATCCGTTATCAATAGCGTCCTAAAGAAAACTAAAGTACACGACTAGACGTTCCAAGATAGAGGATAGGATAGGATATATAGGCAAAGAGAAAACACAATAACAGAATATATTTACCTGCTGTTCAAACATCTGTTGTTGACTCTGTATTAAGTCTCTCAACTTGGCCCATTCTTTTATAGTTTCATCAACTGATGCATCTCCTCCCCATGTTCGCAGCATGTGCCCTTTATGTTTCAATTCCTGTACTGTAATTTCCATCTACGAAAGAAAATTAAGCCAGAGCCATTCGCACACCAACGATTTCAATAAAATAATGTTAAAAAGTTTACGCATGAAGAGATTAATTACATAAAAAAATAAAATGCTTATAAAGTAGATAAATAATTTCGTCAAAAAGTTTTAACTTCGATATTACCTCTGGCATACTTGACCGCAGTGCTTGCTGTTTAGCACTTATTTCGGCAAGTTCCTTTGCATTCTTGGGCAAGTATTTATTATCTAGAGCAAGCTTCGCACCAGCGATAAAAGTGTCTACAGTTTCAATGTCATTGCGGCAACTTGTTTGGAGCGACGACATAAGCATTGTCCATAAATTTCGCGCTTGGGCCTCGAGTTCACGTCGGAGAGTAGCTGTTCCAACTGTTATCCACTCGATTTTTTCATCCTCACTGTGATCAATCAGGTGCACATTTATAATCGAAAATATCGAAATAGCCGACTGTCAAATAAATACATTACCGAAATTTAAAGGTGTCAATTTGAATGACTATTAGGTGTTTATTTATTATGCCATATTTTCTCAATAGCTAACCAAAGTCATCTAGTTTAGGTGGTTACCAAATATATACCTAAAGTGATATTAGCTGCATAAACCGGATAATTGGATACGGAGCCGAAACTGACTGGTAAGAATCTCAATAATATAATAACCCAATATTCAATAGTGGTAACAGTACGCGTGTAATTACAATGTCCTCCACATTGTAATTACACGCGTACGGTTGCAGAGTGTGTAGAGCGAAAGAAGGCTTAGTGGTTAGGTGTGTGTACGTACAAGTCGATCTTGGCGACGGCCTGTCCGGCGGCCTTGCAGGCCTTAAAGTTGGCGTCGAAGTGTTCGGGGCGCGTGAGGCGCGCGCACAGCTGGTGCAGGTGCGGCGTGCAGGCGAGCGAGCCGCGCCGCGCCCAGCGCCCGCACGCGCCGCCCAGCGCCGCCAGCGCCGCCTCCACGCGCTGCGCCGCCCGCCCGCCCAGCCACCCGTGCCTGTACGCATTACCTACCTTTAAACGACACTTTCTTTTACGCGCGATCAGGAGCGCGCACAATCGTGAGCGATTTTTTTATACACTCATTGGCGCGTGTTTGCGCATATGATTTATTTTAATTTCTTTCTTTCTTAAAATGTTATTTATTATATCACAATTATTGTTATCTCTGGGTACGTTTAAGATGCATAAATTATCAATAAATCTGTAATTACGTTTTTGTTCCATTGTGGCGGATTTGTTCCAAAAATGGCGGTCATCTGCTGCCATTTTTCAATGATAATTACTTATAAAAAGGCGTCAAAAAATGCACGGTGAAACTGCCGTCGCTCGTGGTCATTCTCGTTCTTTTAGTCCACATTTACATGCTCAGAATATTACAGTACTTTACACATCGCACACCTATTCATGTCTCTACATATATACAATAGAATATAGTATAAAAAAATATTTCTTCAGCAAAAATCTTTCTACTCGCATTCCATTGTACTTCCAAGGTCAAAATCATCGCCTCTTACGTCAGATATTGCAAAGCTATAGTATAACGGTAAATAAATTTCCGTACTTGTCTACAATATCCGCAAATATAGGTCGTTGAAGATGTTTCTCGTCGCTGAGGCCAACAAAGTGTTGCGGCAACGCGACCAGCCTCCGCAACTGGTGGTAGTGCTGCACGCGTACCTCCTCGAGCGCTGGTTGCACGCACACCTTGTGACCGCTGTCATACACCATTTTATTACATTACGGCTTAGCACTGTTTCTTTTATATGAATAGAGCGACGAAAAATTAAACGGACCAGCAATGGAATAAAATTGAACGAATGGTCTCTTATCCTGCAATTTCACTATATCTTGCTGCCTGCTGCCTATATCTTCCTACAACCGAAACACAGTTTTTAAAGCTAGCTGGTTAGCGTCTATACTAGGATAGAATATGATACTAGGTACCCGCACAACATTTTAGTCTCCCTCAGTGGTGACAAAATTTCCTGTACGCGGCATTTTAAAGTCATAATACTCTAAATAAAAAAATGCAGTACTTTAATGTACTAGTCTTATAGCTTATATACATATGTACAAATTATATGTATAAAATAACCAACGATGTGTTTGTGTGTGACTGTTGCCACTTGGCTTTCACTTGTCTACCTCGTGCGGGACCTATCAAAAAGAAATAATAACCGGCTCATCTCGTTGAAAAGTTTTAAAAAGTATTTTTCAATTACTTACCGCAGTACTAAATCTACTTTTACTTGGGGGAAGTGTTTATGTAGTGAAAGCAATGTCTTTATGTACTGACACTCCAACACTTTGTACAGTTGCCAATCCCAATGCGATCTCCACAGTTCTGTATTCCTGTATCCGTTAGATTCAACCTATAAATATATTTACGGCAACGTTTAAACCTTGTCTGTGACAAATGACTAACTAAAAAAGTGATGTAATATATTTTGTATCTAATAGTTTAGTTGGATTTATATTGATAGATGAAAAATATATTGGTAAATATGCGATTACTTAAATTAACAGTCTTACAAATGTTATGATTAGTAAGACTTAAATTTTTAACAATATTAATAATAACATGTGTGTAACGTTCCGTTGCCTCCAAAGATCGATAAGACAAATAAATACTGCAATTGGAATTATATTTAAAAACTTATTAAGTTTATGTTTGCGCAACAACTAGTTTACTAGTAACAACTGGTTTAGAGTATTGACAAAAAAACCAAGATAATCAAGACTTTGTTATTTAATAGTGGTTTAAGTATAATTAGTAGATATATTTTTCAAGAATACATGCCTTGTCTATTATGTCTCTAATGTCCTTTATAGACTTCTTCCATTCGGATTGCTGCGACAAAAGTTCCGTATCTAGAAGCTTCTCGATAATGCTCCGTATAGCTACATGCTGACTTGTTAAATATGAATTCTGGAAATAAAATAAAGTTTTCAAATATCATTTTCTATTGTGAGATATCGCTTTCTCTGAATAGATCCCATACCTACCTGCGATTCGAGTTTTAGGACAATTTTCTTTAATTTATCTGTGTAACTTGCTAACTGATCGACGTCATTCCAGTAAACAGATTTTTGGTCTTGTACGAGTGCAGATAAGTCAAGTGCAGCCTGCAACATCATCGGTCGCGTCGACGGAATCATGCGCTCGCCCAGTGTATTGTGGAATGATGCCACCTTCAATCAATTATTATTAATTACTGAACGTGTTGCATCTATTACATACGTCATAAACTATACATGCAATAAAAATAATAGAAATGATTTTCCCCTATGAAAAAACTTTGTTCCAAACGTACTTTTGAGTGTGATGTAGTAAAGTATACAATGTGATGAAAGTAGATAGGTCGGTCACTTTTTAAACGAGGGCGACACGAGAACTTTAATGAATTGGTTAATCCACATTACAAACAATTCTATACTATTCTATACTGAGTTATAGACCGTATTGTCTCCTTCATTAGTTTTAAATTTTATTATTGTATGGGCAACAATTGTATTAGTTTTTGTTTGAGACAAATTAATATTATTATTATTATTGTTATTACTATAACCCCAAACAATCGTATTGGTATCCTGCAACAGCGTACCTGCTGGAGAGCGCGTGCGTGTACTAGGGCGGCTGCGAGCGCGTCGAGAGCGGCGGCGGCGGGCGGTGGCGGCAGTCCGCACGCAGCCAGCGCACGAGCCTCTTGCTCCGCCCACACCAGCCGCGGGTTGAAGTTTACGACCATGAGACGACTGCTACTACAAAACTCTACCACCGGCTTGTCCAGTGACAGCTGCAGTGACCCGCTCTTAACTTGGGCCTCAAAAGAAACATATAAAATAATTTTAATAGATACAGTAATAAAAAACGCTAGATGACCCGCGCAAATGCGTCTTCATCATACTTACTTGACGTTTATCATTATATTTAATCCAATTTACATAATATACATTACAATCATAGCCTATGTATAATTATAATGTATTAGGTTTATTACTGTAGTTTTATCAAAATGCGTTTAGTAGTTTTTCGTAACAGAGTAACAAACCTCCATCAATACTTCGCACGAATCTACTTTAATGCTTCATCAATAATATTACAATTTACTGACAGAAATAAAAAAGACATAAATTTATTCATCGGATACAATTTCTAGTATCATGCGTGAAGTTACAGGATATGGAGGTCTGGATGGCAATGTATGAGCGAGCATAACATAATAACGTCATGTTAATAGTAGATACTTTTCATGTATACAGTTGACAGTTACCACTTACCATCAGTCCTGTCTGAAGTCATGCCATTAAATTATACAAAAAAAATAGTAACACCTGAGCAACAATAATCCATATTCACAATTGATTATTTTTGGAATGTATAAAACAATATATCGTTAACATGCCCATAAATATATTTTTATTAAGAAAATATAGTATTTTATTAAGAAAATGTTATAAAAGAAATATTTTGTAAGTATAAATCTTACAATAAGTATAACGTATACTTGACCATTAGAGGACTATCAAAATACCTGTAAGTCTCTGCACCATTCTTCGTGTAGTTGTGTATACAAATCTTTGAGGTCTTTCAGCACGTGGACACATAGTTTAGACAATTCAATACTGTTTTCATAGTCATTTAGATAATTTTCAACGCATGCTTGAATATCTTTTACCTAAAATAATATTGAATGGTTTAAATATATTTTAGTCGTACGTACATTTATTTAGTATCCTTTCAAATTTAGATTATTACATCCACTTTTTGATAATAGAATTACTCACTACAAATCTACATATATTAATAGGGGAAGCAAAGACTTTGGAGGAGTATGAAATTTCGCATGTTTATAATTTGTATAGGGACAGAGTGTAGAATACTGTTTTTTTTTATTATGCATAAAGAATACATTAGATAAAAAAACACACTACCATGTATTTGACAAACATACGCATATATACTCTTTTATTTATTGTTAAAGTCTCTGGTCAAATTAAGAATAGATTAATATTGTTTATCTCTAAAACAATTTGTTTATTATATATATAGTATTCATAAGTTTCTTTACTTTAGACTCCATCTGTTTAGCCCACTGGACTTTTTGCACGATAGGTGACATTTCGGGAGGCTGGTACATTTTGACATCTGTTTCATCTGAGTCTAGTTGACTTTGTATTGTCTTCAGCATAGTGAATAGCGACGAAACAAATGTATCCAATTCATTGTTCAGGGCGCGTTTTACAAGAGGTCTTTCAATCAAAGCCTTATAACGCATAAATTCATACAGCATCTGAAAACACAGAACTTAATTAATTATAAATGTAATTACGTAGACATACAGATTACTCTGCACATATCAATTTTTTTTTTTCATCGTTAAATTTATAATGCAAATATAACCCTGAAGAAAGAATAAACAGAGGACTCTGTTGCTATCAATATTACTGGCCATTACTTGCATTTGAAATAAACATCACAATTATGTCATATCAATTATTTTTACACAATGTATTATTAAATATCAGCATGATAGTGATAAGCTCACCCAAGGACTTATATTATTTTAGTCTTTTTGTATTATTCGGGAGCATTGAGAAATTTCATCACAGTGCAAGTATTTTAAACAACAAACAAATAATTCATTATCTTCTTTAATTGATTGTATTCCCATTACAAAATAGATTAAAACTAAATGTCGTTTGTGAAAACTATTTTATTAGATCCGTCTAAATATATCTACCTGTTTAGTCGATGTATTATGAAGCCTGGGTTTCAACTTTTCAGCTATTTTGGATTCAGCTGGTCGCAACGCTGCCGAAAATTTTGCCATAGCAGATTCCCAAGCTTGATTTGGACCGTTACATAACCAGACATTGACACCTAAATGTGTAAATACATTTTTTATTGAAAGCTAGAAACTTGCTTTTAGAATAAAGTATAACAAAAAAGAAAACATATGCCCAATCATTGCCAACGAAGATTCATTGATAAATGTATTAAAGTTAATTTCTTAATGACAATTAATGATTCCGTTTTAATTCAATGGGTAGTTAGGTAGATATGAAAAAATTACTTACTTTCAAATGATTCAAATAATATGTGGGTTTTGAGATCATTTTTCTCATTATTGGTCAAAAGCTTATTTAATTGGGAATACGTAGATCGTACTTGATAAATCTGTAATAAAATACAAACATAACTTAATAATATAGATTAAATAAAATATAATATTAACTTTTTTATGAGTTTGTCTCACCTCTTTAAGTCTATTCAGAAAATTCAAACAAAATGGTGATACGTAAGCCTTTCCACTCCAAGTATGAAGTGCATAATTCGCCCAATAAGTTTCTGTTAGTGATTGACATGCACTAATCCAGGTTTGTATAATTTTAACACTTTCTGATAGATGTATCAAGATCTCATTTTCTTTAGATGCACACTGAATTTTCCATAATTCAAGATTGGTGCAACTCTTTTGAATAGTGGTGCAAAGTGTGTGACCTGTGAAAAACAAATAATTTGGACTAACAAATTTCATTACCAAAAGTATCAAAATTAAATGCCCGTTTTGTTTTGTTAAGTATTTATATATTTATATGTGAAGCAAAAATGTTGTACCCCTTTTGATGAAAATTGCACGGACGACGGAATATGAAATTTAACACACTCAGGTAATAGTTTACATAGAGAAGGACTTCAGAATGCTAATATTATTTTAAAATGATTATGACTTTTGAAAAATACGATTTTAAACATCGTTATCTAATAAACATACCAATAACATCAAATATATGCATCATTCTATCTTGTGGGTAGAGTAATGTTGTGAAGCGCCACACGTCGTCCAATAAACCACCAATATTTTCTGTGATTTCACGAATTTCGGTTGTAGCGCTGGATTGAATTGACCTGCAATATAAAATCGATTTAACAACACACAATTAAAAATCATTTAAAAAATATAGTCATAACGTTTTGAAATAAGAGAGACAAACTTCTTAGCATTCCATAGATTCACACGGTTGGAGCCGCCCATCGTGTGGCAGGGAGGGAAACTCTAAGCAGTTTCCTGAATTGGTGACCCGTGTGTAAGTTAGTTAAAGGACCACTTGCCGACGTACGTCAACTCTCATCTTCACAGTTCGTGTTTCTATCCCTGCCCAGCCAAATCTGCTAGGAGCTGATAGTGCTGCTTTAGATACGCATTTTAGTATAGAACTTACTGCAGTTCTAGACAGGCCAAGATCTTTTATAAGATTGTAAAAAGATATTCGCTGGTATACCTCATGATCCCGTTTCGATCGCAAATAAATTAACCTAACAGTTACGAGCAAGGTTTAGCACACCGCATTACGTCAAGTGGTGGTTCGATGGGTTATTGTGGGTTAATATTACTAGAATGATTTAGGATCTAGAGGCAGATCTTAATTAGGTAGATAATATTTTCATTGTAGACTTTTATATTATCTGTAGTTTTTTATACCAGTATCTATGTGGGAATGCAAATTCCTAATAGTTACCTTAATTCCTCTGAAATGTCCTCAAAGAACTCACAAATAGTCGATGCAGACTCTTTTTCCTTCTTTGAACTACCTTCCTTACGAGCAAGCATATTCCAGTATTCCACTTCATCCTCAATAGACACGATGACTAAAAATATTTATTTCTATAATAAGATATAATAAATCAATGTGTGGAGAACCTATTGGACAATATTCTTTTATAGTTTCTATGTAAAACCTTGTAGCAAAAGTGGGTTTAATTTAAAGTAGCGTAAGTGACATCATAATAGAGACGTATTTAGTTTTCAAACAAATTGTAGTAATTTTTACTACGACAAGCATCTCTGAACTTAGCAATTGGCAACACATTCATTAAAATAATTTAATAATCTAACTCACATTACCAAATTATTTGAATGAATTGCTGCTAAGTTGCTGGTTGGCTGATCGGTTTAATCGATTCTCCAACTCTAAAGAATTACTCAACAAATAGATACGTCAAGAGCGTGAATGTAGGTATTGCGGTAAGTTGAAATTGGACCAACTGCCGATTGTACACTGTGTGTGTGTGTGCTCGATCTAAATTTAACCTGAATGGATACCAAATAGTAAAATTTGTTAAGAATTGTATCAAAACTGCTTTTATTGAACAAACTATTACAATAGAAGAATATTACAAACATTTATCAGCATAATCGGCTATTTAGCAATATACCAACCATATACTTTTTTTATATCATTGGGTTGACATTTGTACCGATTGATTGAAATATTTGTTTCTTAAAATTAAATATGAGGCAATATTATTTTACTATTTAACATTTTATGAATTAAAATTATTCTGTTTTAATTATTTATTATCATGAATCATTTGAATCAAAATGTCTTCCAAAAAATATTTTGAAACCTAGTATTGTGAAGTTCAAAGGTGTATATTATTTACATACTTATTAGAATAAATACTCACAGTTCAGTGTTTTGTCATTTTTCCCATAAGAAAGTTGCCGCAGATTAAACTCCAGCTCTAAGAGTACCTTTTTTAGTTTATTAGAATAAAGGTCATTTTCCTAAAAAATATATTAGGTATTAAATATTATTTTCAAATCATTTTCATGGCCTTATTATAAAGTATTTTTCATCATTTTGAAATAATTTCTACTTACTAGATTTAATAATGGTGAAACTTGTTGTAAGATGTGATACAATGATTCAGGAACATTGTTTGTTAATGTTAAAATGTTGATATATTTTATGGATTCCTCATGCAGCAAATCTTGTGGATATGTTTTATAGAAAATTACAGACTTATTTTTGGTAATACATATCTGAAAAAATATTTGTTACAAAATACAACACAAAAAATATAATTATATAAATAACTGGCTGTTACCCTACTTCATTTGTTTTATTATAAAAGGTGCCCTATATCTGTTCTCGATACATAGTCTGCTACATACCAAAATTCATGAAAATCTGTTCAGCCATTTAGTTGTAAAAAGATTACAAATACTTTGCATTTATAATATTAGTTATACATTACTAATATTTGTATTTATATTAAACACTTTCTTTTAAAATTTCACTTAAATTAATCTTGCTATTTATAAGTATGATTTACCTTTGTATTAAATACCAAAGTATTTCCATCTGCAATCCCTTGCAGTAACAATGTATGTGAATTTTGCAAGAAATCTGCTAATTCCTGTTCATTATTTTCATTTACTATTAATTTGGATTTACTGTGATAGTGCTCTGTAAATATTACAATTTTATATTATGTGGTATAAGTAATTTAAAGTAATAATTTGAGTAACCATAATTTTTTGTGTTTATATGATAAAAAAAAAAATTGTAATCTATTTTCCTAGATACTCATCTAATATTCATTTTGTATTACATGGTGTTGGTGTCATACTATAGCCAAGACACTTTTTTATCCATAGCATTATCTATCAGGCCATAGAGATTAACAATTGTTTCTTTGAGTGGCTATTTCAGTCTACAAGGAATATTTTGGTTAGCTTTGCAAGCTGTATTTTGGTTAGAGGGGGAGATAAGGCAGTACACTAGTACTACAAGGTAAAACCATCAGGTGATCAGTAAGCTTGTATGCCATTAAAATTACTTAAAAAAAGTTAAATGTACATATTCATTTATACATGATCAAGTTATAACTTAATAATATATATACAGATATATATTCATAATAATACAGATTTAAATTCATTGATCTAAAGAGACAGTATTATGTTACTGAACACATATTATTGTCTGTTAATTTCTTAAACCACAAAACAAATTTGAATATTTTTCAATAAATACAGCTACCATAGTGAACTAAAATATTAATACTATAATAAGATTGACATTAAACTATCACTACAATTGTATTTTTTATTATAATAGTAAGAAAGTGTTTGTAGCTTCTACAGCAAAATATTAATTTATAAAACCTCTTATAAATTAATTATATAAATTTAGTAATTTCTTGCCAGCCCACAAAAGTAATTAATAATTCAGAAATATCAATGTTTTCTTCATAGACTTCAAGTAATAGAACTTAAATAAGTCATTAGTTTACAATTTTTTAAAAAATATACTCAAAGCCATAATCTCCGGGGTAGGTAGTAAGAAGTATATATATTAACGTTATACTGAAAGCACATTTCATTTGCCCATATTTAAAAATAGGCAAGTAAGAATAACTCCCTTGCAAAAATACATCAACGATAACATTTATTAAACATTGAGGTGGCAATACTCCATCTTATTCCCTTACCTGTAATATATATTATATATTCTCGTGCAGAAGACATATTTCAATATCATTGAATCTTTATTAGATGTGATAATATAAACTACAAGACTACAATTAGAAGTGAATCTACTTTAGTCTATCAAAGTGATGACCGTAATCTTTATTTCCATTTATTTTCTTTAGTGTACACATGCAGTTTATTAAAAGAAAATAACATACTTCATACTATAATTAATCAATAAATTAAGTTTCGGTGTTTTGGTTACTCGTTTAGTTAACTCACAATCACAACTGTCACAACAAACCCGTTACTATGGAAACCACAATTATTTTTATTTAATGATCTTGGAATCACATATTTTAAGCAGTTTCAAAATGCACTAATTGGGTATAATAGATATCTTGGAAAATATAAAATATTCAAAGGTAACAATACATAATACTTATATCATTATTAACAGTACATAATACTTTAATATATTACATGACATTGATGACACTAAAGTTAAAACGGACATTATCAAATGTTCATTTTAACTTTAGTGTCAAACGATCTAATAATTTTACCGTGATTTCAAATTGGTAATTTGTGAAACAGAATTTCATTCTTGTATATACTTTAACTTTAATACTTTTTAAAATGTATGTTCTTGCGTGAATAAATGATATTACATTTATCATGTAGGATATATTAATACCTTCCAGATGCATGTCTTATATAATTTCTAGGCTTTCTTCTACAAGATGTTAGTGACTAGGCATTTGGGTCGTGTCCTTCGCCTGTCCGAATAAGGCAAGCAAATTATAAAACAACAATATCAGTATAGATTTTTTGTACTAAAACTCATTCTTTTTTTTTAATATTTATTAATATTTTATGGTTCTGGATACAAGACAGACCCGACAAGTTTAGTTCTTTCAAACTATCAATGTCAGCACGTCAGTTAAATTAATATTGACGTACAATTTCTTAAAATATTATTATTTTTGTTCGTAATTAAATTGAGCTTATAAAAAACACTATTGCTCTAATTTATAGGATTATAAACAATATGTTGCGGCTACGATTAGTGAGTAGTTCAATAGAATTTGATGCCTTTGATTTTCTAATCCAACACATTAACACTCATGACATATACTTTAAAAATATTTTCAGGTTTCTACTAGCCTAATAAAAAAACTTGAAGGTATAGCATGTTATAGCGATACTACGAAACCTCTGGATACTACTTACTTAGAAATTCCTGTTTATGATATAGATAAACCCCAAACTTTGGAGAAACGTAAAGCTAGGTATGTAGAATTTGCATACTTTCCATCCAAAGTTTATTTTAGAAATATCTATTTATGCATATATCTATTTCTGCTGTTATTTCAAATATGAAAACGAAAAGTACACTGGATTATGGCATGGTCCTGATAACAATCATACAAGTCATTATAACAGGTAATTTAGATTTGAAGTCACCATCATTTTGTTGAACACACAAAATGATGGTGACGAAAGATCAGTTATATATAAACAACTCAGTTACGAAAAACGTCGAAATGAATTTTTTATTTTTATTATTACTATATGGATTGTGGCCAATAAACAAATAAAGTCTTTTAATTATATCCTTTCTTAATCAATTTAAATACAATGAAGTTTTTGTCTTGAATACAGATACCTATTTTAGATTTTACACTGATTCAGTTTCGGAGACAGTTGAAGTTGAACTGTGAAATTAAAATACTGTAAAATTATATTTAACATTGTATTATTTTTATGTAAATTTCAGTTAAAAAAATTATTATTTATTAAAAATCTAAAATTATTCATAGTACTTTATAATTTCTTACTTACTGTACTTGTTTTGCCTTATCTAGCATATATTGTGTGCATCTATAGAAGCTAGCTAAATTATTTTGCTTCTAAGTATACATAGAGTTAGTTTACAATCCATTTTTGTACCAATTACATGCTTTTAAACAAATGCTTGTACTGTATGGTAATCTGTTTTGGATGCTAATAAATTAATTAAAAGAAATACTCTCTTATTTCAGACTTCACTACCAGTCTCGCAAAAGAGGAATGTTGGAAAATGATCTTCTTTTGAGTACATTCGCTAAAAAATACTTGGATGGATTCAATGAGGAGCAAACCAAGATGTACGACCATCTTATCAATTCACCGACAAATGATTGGGATATATTTCATTGGATTGTTGAAAAGAAACCCACACCTCAAGAATTTGATAATGAAATTATGAATCTATTAAAGAAACACGCTAAAAATGAAGAAAGAGTGACTTTGCGTCAGCCTGAATTACTTTGAAGAGAAATATGCTTATTATTTATTTTACTGATAATATGCAGTCTTTCATATAAATATTGATAGATAAATTATTAGAAAATGGTATATTGTAAATTTCATTTATGTTTATATTATTAAAGTCTTTAATTTTGTATTACAAAATTTAATCATTTTTAATATCGTTCAAGTACTTCATTTGCAAAAATTTATAATTAAATTTGAATGGGGTTGTCAACATAGCATATTAACTAACAACAAATGTTTTGAAACATATTGTAATATGTGAATATATAGGGGATATTTATATATATATATATGTATGTTAATTTACATCTGTTGGCCATGTTCAATTAAATTGCAACACTGTAATGCTTACTTTGCGATATTTTCTTCTGAGATTATAGTGTGGATCCTCCAAAAAGATTTTATTAAGGTTTCTTCAGAGTCACCAACTGCATGTGACACTCCCTGGTTTTTCAGGCATCAATAGGTTATGGTAACCATATAACTGTTGAATAAGCTGTATGCTAGTTTACTACTATTGTGGTATTAAAAAAATCTGGTGCCCATAAGAACGAAAATATAATTTTATTTTGCTTTTTTTTTGTGTATATTGTAATATTTTTGGGTTGGCTTCATTAAAAGAAGAAAGAAAGAAAGAAAGAAAATTGTTTAATTGGTACCAAAATTAAATTCATATATTATATTATAAATTAGACAATTACATTCATTGACATCAATAGAAGTGTTATTGGTGCAGAATTAATTATTGCGTTATTCTAGCGCCTGAGTGAGATTGTCTGCAAGAGTGTTTAATGCCTCCAATACGTTAAAGGTGGTTTTGTCATCTCAGGAGATATATTATGTGAACCTACATTATGCCTAAGTTTTCAGTACCCTTTTTAAGTATTATTCTTGTGTTACGTATTAGTTAATTTGAAAACGGCAACGACATTGCGCGCAATGCTGACTTAGGGTAGAAATAGGTAAGACTCTATTAGTACCTACTTGTCTATACGTACAAATAATTAAATTGAAGTTTTTGTTTGGAATTTCAAATTAACAGCTTTTCACTAAATGCCTACGAAAATATTTAAGTCAATAAAAAATCTGTCTGTTCTTACTAATCTCTGTATGGCTGGAACTATTTTGATGAGATTTTCACCCGCAGATAGCTAATGTTATAAGAAATAACTGAAGCCACTTTTATTTTAGACATTTTAACAAAAATAACTTAAATTCCACGCAGACGAAATCGCGCGTAACATTTAGTAAGTTGTAAAAGTACAAACAGTCCCAGTACTATTTCATTTCTTACAATCTACTGGATAACAAACTGTAAAAACAACCTGTATGAGAACAACTGTTAGAATTATAATGGCTCTATTTATTAGTTATTTTGTAAGTATCTACCCGTCACCGTTACGTATTATCGTTTTCAAAAGAAAAACTAAGATGCCTAAAATAAACATGCTGGTTTTTGGGGAACCTACTCTTTTATCAGTCCAAATAACTAACCCATTATTATGCAGAATAAATCGTAATGTAAATTGTTCCCCATACCAGTGTGCGTAAATAAGCATTGAAACGCTTCTGGTATTACCATATTTATTTAAATGTGTATGAACAGTGGATGCTCAGCGACCTAATACAGACATTTCAGTCGACCTTACGGTGACACCACGAGTGACGAGGAACGACGCAGCAGAGCTCGCTGCCACTCGGTTGCGTCCAACACTCGTAGAACTGTACATCTACGTCGTATCTACGCACATCATTCCGCCCAATAAATAATTATCTATAAAAATATTTTGATCGATTTAATCAATATTTTATTTTGATTTGAATTAGATGTGCTACGTCATTCCCAATTAACACAGCAGCAGGGTCAGTCCGGCAATATCTTATCATATGTCGTTATATGTTTGTGCTTCAGATTCAGTGAAGCCAGTTGACGCTCTGCGACTTGTGAATGAAGTATCTACAATTGGAATAGTGGTCGATATTTTTTTATTATCGGATCTCATTATATATACCTACCTACAATTACATAGAAGAGACTTAAAAATTTGTAAAGTTAAATTTAAATATTTTTCGTAATTTCCGAAGTGAAATATAAGAAAGTGACATAAAAATGCCGATGTATCGTGGCCAGGTAAGTCTTAGTGGAATAATAATACAATAGTAAATATTAATTTTAAAAAAATGTCAAAGATTTTTAAAAGTAATCTTCGCCTTGAATTATTTTCTGTTTTTGCACTAAAATTCTAGAGCGATTTGCCTTGAATTTATTTACAACTATATGTACTTACCTATATAAATATTAAAAACAGGTATTATTATAGGATTATAGGTAATATACTAGTGACTCAATTGCTACCATTGTACCTGTATATAGGTAATGTTCCATGCGGTTCCCTTGGAAACCATCATAGTCACTTTCTGGTGAATTTACCATGATGGGCTAACTGATCCTTATTCATCATCTTCCACTGAGCAGGCATACCAATGTAGGTATATCAATTTGTTGACACTGTGTATACCACAATTCAGAACAGAAATCCTGTTCTGTGGTTTATACACGGTTTCTTATCTTGCTATAAAAGTAGTACATATACATATATCTTCCTAATACCTACCTTTTTAATAAAAATAAATTTATATCACATATCTATCACTGGTATAATCATTTTAGGTATATGCAATACTTGATACTACCTACGGTGTTAGTTACCAAATCTAACTTTGCAGCCAGGTAATAGAAAAATTCAATTGGTATGAGATATATATATTTAGGTATATTATAAAATAAACACGAATAAAATAATAATAAACACGAAATAAAAAGAAAAGATGGATGGATTGTATGAAAGATGATATGAATAAAAGAAGAGTATGTTTAGATATGACGACTGATAGAGAGCAGTGGAAGAGAATGACATACTGCGCCGACCCCAAATAATGGAATAAAGGCAAGGCAATGATGATGATGATGATGATGATAAAATAAACACCATATATTCATCATCTCATTCAATTTTAACTTTGGCCTTTTTCCACTTTTGTGAGCACACAAATTTACTCAATAAAAAAATGCCACAAAGCATAGTTTTTTACTTAATAAGTTTTTACCTGTTTTAATACTTATCTACATATGTGACTGTTTATCCCACATGCTAGGACGCTAGGAAGTTAAAATTTTGCTTATTATTTCTTTGGATACATATATCTAATAAAATGATTACTAAGCATTGTCTTCAAATGGAAAATATATGAAAAAAAAACTATTATTGGGAGCATTCATTAACTTAATATGACCCAAAATAATCGATTCTAAAGTTTCTGTCTGTGCGTTTGTAAGCTTTAATCCCAGAAACGGCTTAACTAGGTGCGGTATTGACTAAAATATTATAGTGAGTTTCAATTAAGTCCAGTGTTTGTTTTATTTAAATTTTATTTAATTTTTTTATACGGAATACCACTGCACTCGGGTACGTATGGGGTCGTGGTGTCAGCTAGTCTTAAAAGACATACATTAAGTATCTGTAATTATAATACCTTAAAAAGTAAGAATTATTAATATGATATTAACTACCAGTCAATTAAAGTACCAGATTAATTCTTAATAATAATTATAATTAAGATAACGAAATCATTTGCATTTGTATTTGTAAAAATCCAGAAATTTCTTAACGACAGTTTTCATAAAACAGGAAAAATACATCATACGTGAAATTTGTGCCACATTTTTCTTCTATTAATGCAGTCGTATGTGAGTCGTACGTGTAGTATAGAGCTGAATAAAATTCCTCTTTGGTTGATTTTTACTCGACTGACACCTTGAGTAATAAATAATACTGTATAATATTCAATATTTATTTCCTCTATCGATAAATTTATTTCCGTATAATTTATGTATGATTTTTATTCGGTTTGTTTTGTTTTTTTTTGGAATTAACATGTCTGAAATCTAAAATATGTTTTAACTATGATCACCTTATAATACACAAATCTCTATATACATAGGTAGGTACTTACATAATTATAGTTAAAGGCGACTCCATACAATACATAGTGTACAGAGGTCAGCTGTATTTAATGTTTCGCTCGTCGGATCCTGATAAAATAAGTTTTTAATTTGGCCTAATAGTTTTATTTATGTGTCTCCATTCTTGCCATCTCAGTTTAAAAATGTATGTAATGTATATCTTACTGTCAATAATTATCGGACTTCTAATTTTCTTAATTTTAGATAAGTAGACACATATTCTAATAGGTTTTATAATAATTTACATACTGACTATATGATGCACAAAACATCGTCTTTTTTTCATCAAAATTATAATTAGAGTAGTGTGCATAAAACAAATATAATCGGATTGAACTTCCTGATACGTTTTAAAGTGAGGTCACGGTTCACCTCAATTCTTCTCACTCGTAACATGGACAATCACAAATTAATATAACACGAAATAACTTCATAATGTATTTACAGATGTTCGTTAAATGGGTGTTCGAGAATCAGCACAAATTTCAAACAGTTCGTAGGTGTAGCTCCTCGCTACGTTACAAGGAGGTGGAAGAAAGTGCAACGCAAACACCACCTGAGCACGTGGCGTCCCCTGTGAACACAGCTACACCTTCCGTCAACCCACGTCCACAAATCACCCCAGAAATTTCTTTCAAGGTAACGCAAATAAACATTAATCCAAACATGTGAATGCGTTAAATGTTTATCTTCGTTGACTGATAGCTTCCAACATGTTTATTAGCTTTAAGTAGGTGGTAGGTACCCATAATTTTATATTATTATTACATCGTATTATGTGATCGACAATTTCACACGTTTATGTATATATATTATTATTCAGTAGTAACAATGATAAATATTTTTTATATATTGTTTTGAATTTTTGTTCACGCACTAGATAAAATGGACTATATATAAATGGCACCGGAGTAGTGATTTCATAATAACATTTCTGTTGCTGATAGGCATGCAAGTAGATTTATTGTAAGATGAAACGACAATAATCGAAAAATGGACCCTTACCGACAGTAATATTATTAATTATAACAAAATAAGCGTGCTTTCGATACAGGTCGTATTGAAAGTACTTTGTACCCACTGATTACAAAAAGCTCATTGAAATCCGTTTTACTACGAATAATAATAAACTTTTTTCGTTAGTAAGTTTGACTACATTAATATTGACTACCTAACCTGTCGTAATAATAATTGTATTTGCAAACAATTTAGAACTCATAGATTTATTTTAACAAACAAATGAGTTAAGTTGTTGTTTACAACCTAACTGCGTTTCGATCTCTGCGTCAGTTGCCACGCGTTTGATTTATTTGTATAGAACATGCTGATAAACACGTGATTAACGTCATACATAGACTTGAGATGTGAACAATTAGTTGTTACGATTGTTACAGTATGACGATCTGCAAGTTACGCTGGCCGCGCCCTATCAGCTTCAGCCCAAGCCTGAAGTGACCGACCTTGGCTTTGGACGATACTTCACCGACCACATGCTCAGAATACACTATCACAAAGATCTTGGTGGTTGGCAGAAACCAGAAATAACACCATTCGAAAATTTGAGCATTCATCCCGCTGCTAAAGCTCTACACTACGCCGTTCAAGTATGTTGAAATATCGTATTGTGACTGAGTATAGGGAACAATTATTTTTATGGACAAATAATTATTTAATAAGTTTAAGTTTATATCTGTGGTTTCCATAATCTTATTTAAATATAAATATAGACACTAACATTAACTTATTGATCTTAATACAGTGAGCTCACGTAGTCTTGTTATCAATATACTATAAACAAATTTATATCTTGGATTACAATATGAATGGCATAACACATTTCTATTCCTAGAGTTCTGGATCCAAAGGGCAAATCAGAGCCCAGCGTAGTTTTCTTTTACCGTAATTATTTACTGAAAGTTAATTTTACTGTTTAGGTAGCGACTTATCAACTAATTAAATTAAGGTATTTTTTAATGAAACTATATTGGTAATCTTTTTTTTATTAATGTACGTTTTAATTGCAGTTGTTCGAAGGATTAAAAGCATATAGAGGAGTAGACGACAAGATTCGATTGTTTCGACCAGACTTGAATATGGAAAGAATGAATTTGGCAGCACAAAGGTCCGGTCTCCCGATGTTCGACGGCGACGAGTTAGTGAAATGCATGTCGCGGCTAATCCAAATAGACCAGGAGTGGGTACCGCACTCTGAAACCTCTACACTTTATATACGACCGACATTAATAGGCACAGAGGTAAGATTATAATAATATTTACATTCGATAACCCTTTTTGTTCGCATGAGCATACTTTTTTCTCTGTAATGTGAATAATAACAGTGACGAATAAATTTTTTTGTAAGGAATGATAAGTAGTAGCAAATACTTATTATCTTCAAATTCTCAGATATCACATCATGGGTGGTGACTGTATTATAATTAGGTCTGTTGATATACTTCGACACGGTGCATAAAACATATATATATTATATGTTTTCGTGTTAATGTAGTAAACAACTTTGGTTTTATTCCTTAGGTCCTTCAATGCTCTACAGAGGTTGAGTGTAATCTCATCACTAGTCTCTAGATTAGGTATCTAGTTCGATATAAAACTTTCAAGATTAAATTTTAAATTTTACAGTTAAATGGGTGAGACAGAGGTACCAGGATGAAATGAGTGACGCAAATCTTTGTATAAAATTTATCACGGTTAAACTACATGTATTTGAAAAGAGCATTTTTTTCTTGTACAGCCAACATTTGGAATAATGGCTCCAGATTCGGCTATGCTTTTCATCATTTTGAGCCCTGTAAGCACGTATTACAAAACCAGCGGTGACGGTGCAGTATCAATTTTCGCCGATCCAAATGTTGTTCGGGCTTTCCCCGGTGGAGTGGGAAACAGAAAAGTTGGCTCCAACTATGGACCTACCATAGGTGAGCGAGCAATCTATAACATTTAAATTACCTATAATAATATTATAAGCAACCTTCGTATCTGTTATACATAAGCAACGAATTTTATGAGTTGGCGTCATCGTCAAAGGTTTAATTGATGGGTCATATCGAAATTGTTGTGGAGTTCCAGAGCGTTGCAACAACGATTTATTACAGCACGAATTAAATGTTTCCGTAGAAAACATATTACCTAATCATAATAGGAAGCAGGCAATGAATTTCAGCGAGTGAATCAAATAATGTATCAAGAGGGAAAGAATTATCTCTTTGTCTCTTGACATATTATACACCCTATCTCCACAATATGCATATTAAATAATAATCAAATACAGTTATTTATTATTATTATTTGTAATCAATCATAACCAAATAACTGTATTATCATTTATCTATTTCTTCTCTAAATATGTTTACTCAGTATGCCAGTGACGTAGGAGATGAGTTAATAATAATAATACTAATAATGTTATATACCATAGGCATACAATACTGCAATTACAATATATCATAATCGCAGAATAAGTTGTTCTAGTATTTACTTACTTAGTTAAGTGTTTAAATACTAGAACTACTACTTAGTTAACTAAGGGTTTATCTTTTAAGTTTCTAAAATTTTCTTACGTATTTTTATTGGCCATGGTATCTGTTTTATTACCATGAATTTATAATTAGAATATTTAGAATGGACGGGTAAATTTACTCTACTTTCTTCGGCAACGTGGTAAAAATGGTATTGTATATATTTGCAGAGGCAACGGCTCGTGCAGCAAAATTGGGCCATCACCAAGTACTGTGGTTATTCGGACCCGAGCACGAGCTTACTGAAGTCGGCGCTATGAACATATTTTGTGTCTACGTTAATGAACATGGAGGTAAACATTTTAAAATTATTTTAATTTACTTATCCAAATATTCTACTCATATTTTCGACACGCCGCTTGAGACAACCGATTTTCTTCTCAACATAAGCGTCGTATCTTATAATGCGGTATAACAATTATTCAATATGTATTATCAATATCATGTTAAAGCAAGCATATTTTTAATGCCTATTGATAGCTACATGCCATTGTTTATTATCCCTACATTTACCACTATTAAGTACCTACATAGTCTTATAAAATAATATTATAAACGAGAAAGTTTGTGAGTATACACGAATGTTTGATACTCTTTCATGCAATAACTACTGAACGGATTTTAAAGAACATTTACAGTAATATAGCTTATACATCAGAATAAAACAAGCTATAAATTTCATGCGGGTGAAACCGCGGGCACAACTAGTATTTAATCTTCAAGCAATATTTAAAAAAATAGAATAACCAAATCTGTGTTAATTTAGAAGACTATCTCTTTAAAGACTACTCACATTTACCTTAAGAAGAAATAAGAATCAATCTCAGAAAATATAGATATTTGACTTACTGCTATAAATATCGATAACTTGATGCAAGAAGTTACGTTTATTAAAACATTGATATTACTATCGTGACTACACATTTTATAAAATGTTAATTGGTTTGCGTTGGAATCATACGGTTTATAACATGATATCCATGTAGCGGCCGATATTGTTATAACACGTTATCTGGCGCGACGTTGTCTTTTGACCCTGTGACCGGTAAATTCTCGATTATATCTGAAGCAACAATTAGGGTCAGTAACATCACAGCTTTTTAATCATAGTCATGTTATATATTAGGTATGTAGTTAAATGGAATTTAAAAAAAACATGTATGTGTAACATTTCAGATAAACAACTGAGTACACCGCCATTAAACGGGCTCATTTTACCGGGTGTGACGCGTCGATCGATTCTCGAGCTCGCAAGCCAGTGGGAGGATCTCACTGTCAAAGAAGAAGTGCTGACCATGAATCGTATTATAGAACTTAATAATAGTGGACGGGTAAGTTTACATTAAATAAATATTTAGGATCTTATATTAAAACTGCGAAATGTAATGAACAGAATGAGTAGACATTATGCCGTAGTCGACAACAATTCGGTAGTGACAAATAGTGTTCATGATATAACTACATTCCGATACTAAATACAACATACAATACAAATAAATTAGTGCTTTCCATTTACAGAGATAATTCACACAGATACTTTACCTGCGTTCTCAAACTAGGATACTCAAACAACTAGATTCGATCAAGTTTATTAAATAGAGTCTATAATTAGGAAAGATGATTCCTACCTGGGATCTCAGAATAATTGCAAAGCAAATCCTTTTCATCGCGCCCCGAAACTAGTGAATTTTACCGTCAATCAAAACAAAAATGAAGACATTTCATACAAATACCCCATTAAAAATGCATAATTTCTTTTTTACTAAATTTTCTGTTTTCGAAGCTTGTATATTATCTCAGAGTAATCTGTGCTATTGCATACTCTCCCAGCGACAGCTAGTTTTTGAGATCTGTTTTAAAATAAGCAGAGTTGCTACCTATTGCCAGTATAAAAAAGCGTTTGACCACATATAATTAGGTAATAATAAGCAAACACGCTTTATCAAACATCTATTATGTATAGTTTAAACATTTGGGACTGTCAATATGATTGTAGAAAAGTACCTATCAACAAGTAAAATGTTTACAAACATTGTACACGCACCAATAAGATGTTACTTAGTCGAAAGTACATCTATAGCGATATATATATATACTTACTTAAGAATCAGTCGAGATAAGCTATATTTTATATTATTATTCATAATTCACAAATTTTTATTTCTCGATATTCACTATTATATCGAAATAAAAAAAATGGAAACAAAGAAGTTAACATTGTGCGCAGAGTATGCAATAAGAAATATTTTTTTTATTTTAAAGTGAAACAATTAGCATAATGATAGACCGCAAACTATTTGTGATTAAGATTACGCCCTTGCGATTCATAGGCATTTGATATTAATTCTCCAAAAGACGTAGGTAATAATAATATAATATATATAATAATATAATATATATATGTTAAAATCTTAGTCATTATAAATGCAATTATACTGCGGTACATCTTAGGGGGAAGTAGGTTTTGTTGCGTAATCATGTTTTGAATCTAAATCGTCTTTACAACAGATAAGAGACAATAGACGTATTTGTTAGGAAAGTAATTCTATTGTGTGTATTGCTAACAATGAAAGTACTAAACAAATATCGATATATCCTCACACATATCGTCACGATGGTTATCCTAGATGTGGAGGTCAGAGTCAAATGAGGTAATGAACACCTGACATGCCTGCATTTTGTTGGAATTAAGCCCAACATGGCAGAGGTCAAGTCTACCGGCACCGGGTTAAATTTCGGATTTAATATCAGTGTTTCCTTAACCGAAGTGCCATATATAAATTGACAGACAAAGTTTTTATTTAATTTAAATATTTTCAGGATAAGCGTACGATATGATCACTATTATTTATTTATATAGAATGGACAAAATGTACATTTCATAATTATTTTCCTCATGTATTTCATAAATATTTTTTATCCCCTTTATATTTATTGAATTAATCTTATTTTCAGTTGCTGGAGATGTTCGGGGCAGGTACAGCCGTAGTGATTAGTCCAATTAGCAGAGTTGGATATCTAGACCATGACATCCGGATCCCAACTATGAAACAATCTCAACCAGTGTTCCAGCGAGTGAAAGACACATTGCTAGCGATACAGTATGGCCACATTGAGCACCCATATGCGACAGTCATCTCATAGTGCTCGCTCCTTATTTAAGAAAAATACACTGCGAACGCTTTTTTCCATAAGTGACATAAGTGATTCTGTGTGCTGTGAACAATAATGTCACCCCACGAACGGATTACAAGAATTTCTGTGGCTAAAACGTTGTGTATGAACAGTAAGTTATATGAACTGATAACATTTGATGATATAAGGTTACATATAATGATGGAGCAAATAATTGTATGTATATACAATTAATTTTATATATGGAGCACTTAATTTTAAAATTTTATATTGTTATCATGTTAACATTATTATTTATTTTGATATCGCTATGTAAATGTTTAATTTATGAATTATCTATTGTCGTAACCAAATGTTTGTACTTTGATGCATAAGCTTAATTATTTAAAACCACGGTACAACCAAAATTATTTGGCATATCAAATTAAATAATTCTGCGTATACATAATTATGTATATAGGTACGAGTAGTTTAAAATTATTGTGGATGAAACGACGCTTGCAATTGTTATGTTGTTGCATTGTTTCATTTATTATAGGTAGGTATAACAGGTTGTGTCGTATCTATCATAGTTTAACATTCATCTTAAATATTTTTTAGTTATTGTCTGTGATTGTAATCATATTTTTAGCATAAGGAAATAAAATAAATCCGTTCTACTCGAACATATTCCTAAAATTTGAAGACAGTGTATGATGACATACGTATGTATCTTGTCATGTTTTATCTCAGCGCTTACGGATATTGATACTTGGTGTATCTATTTGATAACTTATGGACAAAGTATAATTATATAATAAAATAGGTGGTTTTTGAATTAATAAATATATAAATAAATATGCATATATCAAAAGCAAAAATAAATAAAATCAGCTTTGCACAATGCTGTACATTGGTTCTGCCGTCATAGAACTTGTATGTGTATGTACTCATGTTATTTTACTGCTACAAGAAGATTTTCAATGTCATTGTAATTTAATGATTTTAGCCATTCGAGAGTATTACTTTAACAGTGAGCTTTATGGTGATTTGTTGTGAAGTAGGTATAATTTTTAGTCTAATTAAGAAAATATTCAAACCAAAGAAATCTTGGCCTGATTTATCTCAGATAATTAAATAATTCTGCGTATACATAATTCTGTATATAGATACGAGTATGTTGCCTTAGTTGTAAAATTATTGTTAGGAAAAAGAAAATGAAACGACGCTTGCAATTGTTATGTTGTTGCATTGTTTCATTTATTATAGGTAGGTATAACAGGTTGTGTCGTATCTATCATAGGATTTAACATTCATCTTAAATATTTTTTAGTTATTGTCTGTGATTGTAATCATATTTTTACACATTTGTTTCATATCAGACTGTAAAATATTTTAAATAATATTAGGTATCTATGTATACTCAGTAAGTAGGCACCCTACTACTTAGCCACTATAGGAATTAAATATATACATTGTAAATATTGACAAATATATTTTATAGGCATAGTTATTGACATAGATAACTATGTTTTTACGTTAGTTAGTTAGGTTTACACTATCACTATTAGTAAAAAGTAGTCTATTCAAATTAACGTAGATCTTTGTCAACTACCTATAGAAATAAGTAATGTCAAATGATGTTCAAATTGTTATACAACCGCACAGTCTTCCATGAACAGAAATATTGAATCGACCCATGAATATCTGCTCTAGGCCCTCTATAGACGCTGTTATTAAAGCATTTCTACCTTTTAATAATTAAAATAATTAATTCCTTAAAATGTTGTTTTAGAATACAATAGTGTGCTGATTTTGTATAATGTATTTGATAGTCAATAATTCTAATAATATATATTCTTATTAAAATAAATTTACATAAGGAAGAGAAAATTTCAAGTTGTATACGTATTTAACGTTAATAAGACAAGCATATAGGTAAATGTTTTATTTAAACATGCATAAAAAGTGTATACAAATACATTCCAATCATCACAGGTTGTAATTCATTGATGAGATCGGTATGTGATCCTAACTCGAAATTAGTTTAAAGTTATGCTATATAATTTGAACTTACTACTATCTATATCGTTAATATATGCCTTTCTAGACAGAGTTTTAATGGTTTGGTTATTGTAATAATATCATACGATTAGTTACCATGATATAAAAAATAGTGTTTGCATTGTTGTAGCACTCTCTAATAACAACAATTTATAATATGTACAAATTATTATTATTTGTACATATTAGTTTGCTATATTTTATTTTTTACTTGTATGAGATTTAGAGAATGGCTCTAAGAGGACATAATTTGGCCTACTTTACTGTATTAAGTTTTTCTAGTCTAAGCATGTAATATAATTGTAGTATTTATAAATAATATTGTTCATTGTGATAGTTGTTTTTGATATCAGCGATTATCACTGTCAGAAAACATATCATAGTGTAATATTTATTTTACATGTAAGTAACGATTAGGGAAAAAATCAGTGGTTGAATTAAAACAAATATTCTGTTTTCTGGACTATTATTTTATTCATAAAAAGTATTTAAAAACAACTTATTTCCTCTAATATATAATAAAATTAGTGTTATTCCGGTGGCAGAGGTAGATCATCGTATTCTTCCACGGTTTTCCTCCTACTTTCACCGCGGTGATACGATTGGCTCGTCGATGTTGTGCTGTGTTGCAGTGTACCGTCACCAGAAAATCTTGGAGATACAATTATAAAGTCAAATTTACTATAGTTAATAAAGTACTATAGATACTAAATAAAGTACTACATACATAGGTTCATGGGTTTACAATATGTGTACGTAGTTTAATTGACAATATTGCAAAATGGAACCCTCACTTTAGAAATGTTTGAACATACGATAAAATTAATTTCATTTTCGGCTGGTACGGCACTTAACTTCCGTTAAAATTACAATCGCGTGGAATAGTAATTTAGAGCATGTCTTTAGTGACATTATTCGGGGTTTATTTTAAAGTTTGATTCAATTATCAGTGGTGTAAGAATACTATTTGATATATTTTCCACTTCGTTCGATTGTATAAAAAATCTGTTTCTATTTCGTGAATATATTGCATGCACCAAGTAAAAAAATGTAATTTATATAAATAAAATTAATACCTACCACAAACCTACATAGTTTCATTATGTTAATCAGTTTTCAGTGAATAAGATATTTACTGCGCATTTAACGGTAATATTTGGATATGCATGAAGAATTAATCGATGAATGAAATCTAATAAATATTCAGATGTTTGACCCGTCGACACAAATGACGCCACAGTCTTGACTTTTTTCGATAACTATCCACTGTCTGGTAAGTAATGCGTAATAAGTAAGTTCATTAGCCATGTTAATGACACCCACGACCTGAAAAGTCGCTGATTACAAACGCTGGTCACTGTATAACTAGCTATGATGATTTATTCAAATACATTGTAGGAATACTCACACAAATGGGATCAACTCAAATGTGCCACTTGTAAATCTATTTCTGTTAATTTTTAAATATAGACTTATAAACTTAATCCTATCTTATATCTTTATCCTATAATAACATGTACTACATAAAATTAAACGTTAATTGTCAGCGTTAAAACTCAAGATTCTCAATTTTACTTTATGTATTTTTTTGTTATGTTCGCTATAACTAAAATAAGGATATTACAAGATTAGAAGTTTTTTTTTAAGTTTCAGGCAGTAAATACTTTAAAGATTACAGTTTAAAAGTTGATTAGGATTTATAATCGCTAATCAGTTGTAATAAAATATGTAGTAGTTGATACGAAGTTCACTGGGTCACCTAGTAGTAGATAAATTAGACGCGTATATACTATATAATAATATAAATTGTATCTTTGCAAAATAACCTTTCAGAATCGACCGCAATGTAGGTTTTTTAAACAAACTTCAAAACTGAGGAGGCTCTTAAATCAATCAATGTGCATATACTACGTAATATCTTCATTCTGAGGCAATACTATATTTATCAGGCTAGAGTAGGATAAATAAACAATGTTAGTAAAGTTACCAGAGGAAATACAGAATCTGTCCTCAAGCAAGCTTTACAAACTGTATTCGATTTGAAGAATAACATTTGTAATTATTTGACACGGTATCTTAGTATGGTATCTTAGTCTCACAAAAGAAAATACTTACGTATTCCGTGTGAGGGCGCTGTCGACTCGCCCATCGCTGGCACTAGGTCGCCGCGCGCCGCTCCCCCCGCGAGAACCTGCAAGTTACATATTCATAATTACTAGTGGTCGAAATCGACCTTAATTTAAATTATGAGTTTGACCATTAATAAGGTTCTATTGTTAAAAATTATACTTCTATCACAGACATTGGCAGTCGCATTTCATACTCCTCCCTCCGAGCATTTTTGTTAAAAATTGGTACAAAGTTTTTGCCTCACGTATTATGTTAGATAATAAGTAATTATCCTTGGTAATATTATAAATGTGAAAGTAGGGATGTTTGTTACGCTCTCACGCAAAAACTACTGAATCGAACATCTTGAAGTTTTGTACACATGTTCTTAGAGATATAATAATAAAAATAGAATATTTTTTCTTTAATTTAAAAAAATATATAACAGACAATAAAATATCAATACTTTGCTACATCAGCGCCATCTAGCAGCCAGTAATGAAGTTATACGAGCGAAGCCTCGGGTAAAAGCTAGTATAAAGTAATTGTTTAAGAAGTTTTAGGCAGACTGCAAAAAGTCGTCAGCGACTTACCTATGTCACCCGCAAAGCAGCTTGCTTTGTAAGCGGTGAAAATGACATTTAAACGTAGATAACGGCTTAATTAATTCTTTTAAGAAAGAAAAGAAAAGAATAAATTAAGCTATTATTTTTTAAGTAGACAATAATAAAAATATATTATCTATTTTGCTGTAAATATACATATATTGTTTTAATTTTATTATTCGTCGTATTGCCATCATGTAATTTTTTTCGCTGTCGTATCTTCGAAAATACTCACCTATTGTAGTGCTTCGAATTTGGTCTGCTATAGGCGACTGGCTGGCACCGGATGAGCCACTGCCTGCGGATGCTACTGCAACTGGAAAAAAGTAAAATAATGATCCATTAATTAACAAAATGTTATATTTAATATGATGTAAAGATTAATATTATATATAGGGGATACAGTATAAAATTGCCGATTTGTACTGAAAAATTGATACCCGTTTTTTTTTTAAGATATTCATTTAATAAAAATATTTACCCTCATTATCTATACATAGCTGCCATCTAATCGGAAGTTCATTTATGCCTTTACTTTGGGCATCCAGATTCAACAAACTGTGTGTATTATTATCTACATGTCATGTGATATAAAGGGAATTAATTTCAATAGCAGTGAAATTATAGTCAAATTCACAATAGCGTATATTAATTAATTTTCTAAACCGCGAAGACAGTCGTTACTCAAACAAGATTCTAATCAAAACATATACAAATACAAATGTAATTAACCTGTTCGAATTTAAAAAGAAACATAACATTTGATATTTGTTCTATTAAATAAATAGTGTTGATGTTCTTACCGCGCTCAATTTGTTTGATCCTAGCCTGAGCACGTTGCAGCTCACGAGTCCAGGCATTCGTTTCTGACAGCCCTTGGTCGCCGCACAATTTTACTATCAGTTTTAAACCTGAAAGAACCAATATTTGAACAGGGATTATAAAAGAAAATATTTTTTTTATTGCATAATTTTTTAGAAAAGGTGAGCTTCATGACGTATGTCATTTTCTACCAGATGATCTTTAGGTCTAAACAAAAATAGTTATGACACAGTACTGGCGACTGTACTGGTGTGTGTTGTGCCAAATTTATAAATATACATAAATAACATATATAAATGCATAAAAAATAATTTACTTTAGTAAATAAATCTTGATATAATGGTAAATATTGCTGAACATTTCAAATAAGATCCACTTTGTTCAAATATCAATATTCTGTAATTATAAACATTTATTCATTTCGTTTTAGTATATACAGAAAATACAGAAGGCGGAATATTTTTCTCCTACATTTGTATCGTTGAATATAAATTATTATTGTTTATACCTCTCTCTCCTCACATAACAATGGCTTTTTTAAAATAATATTAATGTATCAGATGTATAAGTGCATAGAACTCACATTGAACGTTGTCAGGAAACCTGGCATTCATTTTCTTATAGAGAGCGAGCGCCTCTTGGTAACGTCCGCTACCACGCAAACACCCGCCCATCAGCAAACCCCACCGTGGCTGTTTAAAAGTTTCATAATTTGATTTTTTGTTCTCTTTATCCTCTAAAGGAAAGGCAAGGGAATTGCGCCCATACAGCCATGTCTGCATGTTTTAGAGTTTTCTTAATTTATTTTATATGTCCTAAATAATGCGATAAAGGCAAGGCAATGATAATTTTATGTCTTGAATTTTTGACATAATTTAGTCGTATCATTACATAACTTAAAATTTTCATTTATATGTCGTGTCCATGTCCACCATAGTTATGTAATCAGCAAGCACAAGGAAAAAATAGGGAAATAGGTAGTTTTACTTTACTGACATTGGTGGGTTGCAGACGGGCGGCGCGCGCGTAGTATGAGAGCGCGCGGTCGGGCGGCGCGTCTGCCGCCAACCACTCCAGTGCGGACACCTCGCACGGCCACACCGCCTCCACCTGCACAAAAACAGCTACGCTAAGACTCGATCTTTTAAGCACGATCAGAAGCGCGGGAAAGCCAGCACGCACAATCGTGGGGGATTGCATTAAAACTATTTTTTGTGTACACTCTTCTGTGCGAGATAGTGCGTATGTCATATTATTTCACTTTCTTTTAAAACTTTACTCAATATTTAATAATTCATTATTAAAAAGGCGTGCTTTAGCACGCACGAAGAAGAATTATTTAATAAGCTCTCCTTTCCTTTATAATTCAATTATAAATATGTATGCAGTCTTACATCTTGATAGTGGTGTTTGGCAGTTTGAGTATCACCCATTTCACTGTGCAGTTCCGCGAGCGCACATGTGACACCGACATCCCAGTTGCCAATCATGCTGTACCTATTTTGAAAGTATGGATATATAAATATTACGTCACAAAAATAACTATTATAATACATTCGTATATTACATAGGGTTGTAACTCAAAACAAATAAAACAGGGCCATAATATAAAAAAACATGTAGAAATTGGCGGGCTGTATGGCCATCCCCGTCGCCAGAAAGTGCAGGCTGGCACCGACACGGCTCTGTACACCTACTCGGTTAGTTCGGAAGACCGTTCCCATAGATAAACAAAGTAAACAAGTTCGTATATTTTTCGTTCTTAATTTCGTTTGATAAAATACCATACCATATCTTGGTAAATAAAAATAGAATAGCTACCTAGAGAGGTTAACTAACCAACAGTCATTTTTTAGATTGAATTTGATACGAACTTGCGAGCGCCACGGCCCGGCCACCAGCGAGCGCAGACACCCCCGCCCGCGCCGCCCGCCGCCCCCGCAGCGCTCCGAGCCGTGCACCGTGGGCTGTACTAGTGGTGGGCACTGACCAGTGGTCGGCGGCGGCGGGGTCGGCCGGGCGCGCGCGTGCGAGCCGCGCGAGCGCCGCGGCCGCCAGCGAGCGCAGACACCCCCCGCCCGCGCCGCCCGCCGCCCCCGCAGCGCTCCGAGCCGTGCACCGTGGGCTGTACTAGTGGTGGGCACTGACCAGTGGTCGGCGGCGGCGGGGTCGGCCGGGCGCGCGCGTGCGAGCCGCGCGAGCGCCGCGGCCGCCAGCGAGCGCAGACACCCCCCGCCCGCGCCGCCCGCCGCCCCCGCAGAGCTCCGCAGCCGCGACCACCGCGCCTCCGCCGCCGTCACGCTATCCTCGGACTCGCTTTTCTCTAGTGCTAACGCTGGATACCATAAAAGTAATCTCATTTACACCACTGATAGATGAATAATAAATAATCCAGGACTCATCAATTAAGATCCATCCAAGACTTATTAATACGCAGAGCCAACTAACTACTACAAAGAACATATGACGACTGCTAGAAATACTAATATAATGTATAAGCGGTTGTATGTAAATAATGTAGGTTCGTCGGTCGGCTCGGTCAACTTGTTCACCTTTACAGTTACAAATTTAGATAAAAAATTCCGTTGTGAAGAAAAATTATCTAGCTAGATTAACAAATTTATAAGTACCTAAGTCATGCATGGCTACGAGGTCAGCAGGGTCGAGATGCGTGGCGGCGGCCAGTTCCTGGGCTGCGTGGGCCCAGGCCCGGCCGCCCCCTCCCCCCGCCCCCGGCCCGCCCCCGCGAGTGAGTGCGTCCGCCCCCGCGGCCCTCGCGGCCGCCAGCGCGGCGGTGACGCGCGCCGCGCACGAGTACGGGTCGTCTCGGGACGCCGCCTCGCCCAGCGCACGCGCCTCTGACCAGTTCCCTAGCTACAAGTTTTACACATATTTATTTAAAAAACATTGTGATATTCACACTTAAGCGAAGTTTAGACCATCGTTAGCAGAAATCATGACAAAAGATTGGCGATGATGGAAGAAACGATGATTACGGACGCTATACGTTAGCGTCCGTAATCATTATTTTTTACATCATCAACGATTTGTGGACAATTACATCCGAAACATACATTAATAGGTATTAATTGCAACCTTAACAATATATAATCTGCAAAAATCGTTGACTACACAAGTTGATCACACACTTTCACGTAAAATTGGATGTAAAAATTAGTTTGAAATTTACACAGAATAAGTTTATAGTTATGAGTCAACATATAGGCTTAAGAAAGCTGATAAGAGACCTAATATGTATGAAATTATTAATTAAATGAATAGTTTCAATACGCCACAAATACAACACACTCCAATTTTATTAAATAGCTTATTAATAAAATAATAGGTTAGACAATAGACAGACAAGCGCATGAATTTGTTCATACCACATATAAATAAAAATACTAACTGCATAAGCGACGAAGGCTGCGTCAGCGTTGGCCTCTGCTCGAAGCACGCGGTCGTTGGGGTGCGCGCGCGCTACTGCCTTCAGCCGCTGCAGCGCTCGCAGGCCGGCGGTAGCCACGGGCGCCCGCGCTGCACGCAGCGCTGCCAGCGCTCCGCCTAGTTCCAGCCGTGCGCCGGCCCCGCCACCGCTGTAGCCGCGCAATGCCTCCACGCACCACGACATACCGCTACCACAGACATTATTTGTGAGACTTAGATAATCAATGCCGGGCGTATGTATTTACACTTTGGTATGCGCTATAACGTATTAAAATATGTTTCGAATGGACAGCTATTCTAGTTATCTAGTGTATTAAACATTTGAATACTTTTTAAATAATACCGTAGCATACTTCATACAATCATGGCATACTTGCCGTAATTGCATAAAGCGACGTTACTCTTTTCATCGATCTGTTTCTCTGCTTACATCGTACACACCACCACAACGTATTTTGTTAGGATTTTCATTATCAATCTGAGGTTTCTTCCGGAAGATTTATAAGTATAACACAAGCTGTTTAATTCAGGATGGATTATAATTTACTTGAAAAATGGTTCTAGTACGTGATACTCGTTAAAAGGAGCAACCCTAAGAGGGACTCATAAAAATTCTATTTAGTAATATGCGTCACCCCGAGTCGTCGTCGCGGGAGGCGGGCCGCACGAGCGCGGCGGCGGCGAGCGCGAGGCTGCGCTCCGCGTCGGCGGCGGCGCGCCGCGACCACCGCGACAGGCGGTCGCCGCGCACCACGTCGCGCACCACGCACTCGTACGCGTCGTTCTCCTATTTTTTAATGTCATTAACTTTTTACTACTATGGTGGCAAACAAGCATACGTCCATATGATGGTAAACGGTTTCCGTAGCCCACGGACGCCTGTGACACCAGGGGTGTCACGTGCCCGTTGTCAACCCTAAACTTATGCTGCCTTTACACGACACATTCATCAATGTATGATCAGCAGCGCGCGCGACTTAGCGCGGGAAAATCAACGCGCGCAATCGTGAGGTATTGCATTTAACTATTTATTTTATTAACTCTTACGCGCGTTAATTTCACTAGCTTTAATTTATTTTTTAATTCACAAAAATTATCGAAGTCGCTATTGACGCAGGAACGCACATTGAAGGGTATAGAAGTGCTCGAGCTGGCGCGCGCACGGTCTTTCGCTCTCTCTTCGTCTACATTCTTGCGAAGAAAATGAAATGCTCTTTTGTCAAAGCCTATTCACGCGTCAAAGAGTGTACGTATAAAAGCAGGCATTGGAATGGCAAATAAGCTGACGTAAAGAACATTACAGACTTCACGTTAAACAGTAATGCGTGATACCGCTCGTTTGTAGCCATTTCGGATAATGCCTCTTATCTTGGAATTTGTTACACGTTACAATTACACTACCATGAAGGAAAACGGATGCTTACTTCATCTATAGTGATGTCTTGGTGATAACTAGGAGGTTCTACATCGAGCATGGCATGGAACGCTGCTTTGCCGCCCTCAGCATCATTCAGTGCGGCCGAACACAGTACAAGGTGCAGACCTTGTAAACAAGTTAAACACTTTTTATATAAATCGCAATTTACTGTTGACGATATAAAGTGGTAAATTCAGAACTTTAATATAATGTTAATTGGAATATACTCGTCACTCAAGGATATAATTTTAAAAAAATCATGTAGGAACTTTGGGCCTCCTATGCACATCACATTATTATCAGAACTGAAGTAGTCGTCCGAACTAGACTGTAAGTACCATCTAGTTCGGCTAACCCCTTCAGTTGAGGAAAACTGATACGAAACTCAACCAACTAAGAAGCCAACTAAGTTATTTTCTCTAGATAGTTGACTTTAATAATAATTATTAGTTACTAACAATATTTTTAATTATTATTATATTTGTGAACTTTAAAGTATTTTTAAAAATTTAATAGCACAATCCATAGGAATAGATGAAAAGAAACCTGTTTGGAAATCTCCTTGTTCGTGCATAATATGCTGAAAATTGGTGACAGCATCACGAAATTTCCCCATGCGAACAAGAAGTAGACCGATGTTGTGCATCACTTTCATTCTATAAACAAAATAAATCTTATTCATCGAAGAGGTTTTTTATTATGTATTTAATGAATATATACATGTATATGACTATGAGTAGTTATAGTGGTGAAGGGTAGGTAACTATGAGTAGTGACACGGTGATTAGTCAGTCAAGTCAGTCAGAATAAATCAGTGCATAACCAATCGTCTCTCTGTTTGTTTCTTCTACTCCAGTATACGCTATTAGATAGAATAGAATAGAAAATCATTTGTTCAAATAAACTTACATTGAAGCACTTTTGAATAGTTATCATAAGAATAAGGAGCAATAAACTTGCGTGTTGCTCTTTTAAATATTTGTTGTTACTTTTTTATTTTTAAGTGAAGTGTATTAATATAAACTACCAACTAGCACTAGTTCAATTAAATACTCAAATAGAGATCATATTAAATATATAACCAGCTGGTTGGGTAAATCAGTCATAATGATTAGAGCAGACTAGTTCCTACAAGTAGGACTCGTACACGAGTATGACGTATGAGCCAGCCATCACTGCGCTCGACCATATTTTAGGGAGCCCAATGACCCGGCCCACCACGCCGTCACACACAGATAATAATAAAGTATTAATTTATTTATTAATTATAATAATATATTTATTCACATGTTTTGATTATCATTGATTCCTACACTAGGCTGGGCCTGTACTGCATGAACCAGAATATGAAATTTCGTGTACTACAAAAATCGTGTGATTCTATTCAATGAAGGTAGTTACATTATATTCTTAACTGATGATAATTTAAACCAAAATCACCTTAAATCTTTTTCCGCTGTTGGCGTTTGGTCGAGAGCCATTCTGTACAATTTCAAAGCTTTCGGATGTTCACCCATTTTGAAATAAATGTTACCCATGTTGACCTGTAAATATAAAATAACCAATATAAAATTAATTGATACTTAGAAATTGTAAAAGTATTATAAAATATATTTACCTTGAGTCGGTTGGCATGAGGAAACAACTTATTTCTGGTAAGTAATTGATAAGTGTTCAAAGCTTCTGTGTACATTTCATTTAATGCATACTGTCCGGCTAAATTGCACAGGACCTACAAATAAAATTATATCATTAATATATTTTATGATGATTAAGTAAGTGGAGAGGGCTTGTTGGTAAAAGAGATTATTGGCGACGTAAATTGCCAAAACTGTACCCCAAAAAAATGACCTCACACGGTCTTAAGCGAAACCATCGTGATAAATTCCTGGTGAATTCACCAAACTGAGCTAACTGATAACGGGCGCTAAGGTTGGAGCAGCCAACGATGGTAGTAAATAAGGGCGTAGTAGAAGCTGTAACAGAATATTATAAAAATATAAGCTAAACAAACTATATCAATCGTAGAATAAGGCTAGGCTGATAAACAACACCATGGTTGAATAAAAATATTATGAAAACATAATTCGGTATGTCGTCTGTCGTATGTTGTCGGCCAGATAACGGCCCAGATGCAATGCATCTATATATATACATGTACCTATAAGTAAGTAAAAAATAGAAATAAATCGATTAAATAAAGAAGTCAACAACTTACAGCAAACGTGAGGTCCAAGTTATGCGTGTCACCAAGGTTGGCTTGCTCTTGCATTCTAATCAACTGACGCTCTAAAGTCGAAGCTTCCTGGGCTTTTGCCAGTGCCTGTCGAAAATATAATTTAGTCATTTAATAGTAATAATTGATCAGTCGCACGGTAGAAACATTTGTATTCATAATCGTGAATACAAAATTTTCTACAGCACATGCCATACGTGCCTTTTAAGTTGTGTCGTTTGAAATAAGTATAGATAATCTAATAGATCATTATCATTTATTGTTTTTCAAAATATTCTCCGCGATATTTAATACACTTTTGCATACGTTCAAACCAGTTTTTAAAACATTTATTCCACTCCGAAGTTGGGGTAGTCAAAATAGCCGATTTGTACGCGTCAACAGCTTCTTCGGGTGAGCTGAAACGTTGACCACGAAGACTTTTCTTAATTTTGGGGAACGTAAAAAAATCGTTAGGGCTGTAAGGCGGATGATCCAAAATTTCGACATTTTGGGTGCTCAAAAACATCTTTGTTTGACGGGCGGTGTGCGAACTTGCATTGTCATGGTGCAGTATCATACGACGTCTTGAATTGTTTTTTCGAATTTCGGTAACAACTTGTGGCAAACAACCAGTGGTATACCAGTCAGCGGTAACCGTCTTGCAATCTAGTACAATAGTGGCGACATGACCACCCTTTGCCACAAACGAGGCAACCATTTTTTTTATTGCTCCGTGAGCGAATGATTTTGGTCGGTTTTGGCTCCTCCTGGAAAACCCAAACAGTTGACTGCTGCTTAGAATCTGGATCGTAAGCATATATCCAAGATTCGTCACCACTAACCATATCATAAACATGCTTTGACTCTCCTCGGTTGAATCGCTGCAGAGTTTTGCGACACCAACTAACACGGGCTATTTTTTGGTCGTCGCTAAGCAAATGTGGTATCCAACGAGAGATCAACTTTCTTACGCCAAGTTCTCCATGCAGGATTTTTTGGACAGTGGTCACTTATGTATGTCACATGACGATCTTCGAGGATTAGTTGCCGCACGGCTTCAATATTCTCTTGCGTCATGGCGGTTTTTGGACGACCTTCACGTGGCTTGTCACTGAGGCTAGAGTGCCCACGTTGAAATTCTAAATACCATCGTTCTATAGTCCTAAGACATGGTGCTACATCAGCAAACACAGAAGTGATTTCCTCAAAGCACTGAAGTCGCGATAATCCCCATTGATAGTTGTAAAAAATTATCGCATTTTTACAACTGACTTGTCACCTTTGAATAGACGATACAATAAAACTATTCGACCAATCTGAAAACATTCTTTTGTTTTCGAATTCTAAATTCAAAAAGATGTAAATGCCATATGCCTTTTTTTTAATAATCGGGAGGTTGGCAAACGACAAGACTTAAAAGGCAGCCTAGGTACAAACTCTATCTACGTGCGAAGAATTGAACTCGCGAACACCGAAAGTAAAGCGATGTGCTAAACCGCTAGACCACCGAGGGCGCCATGAATAATAATGGTAGATAGAAATCATACATACATAGCAGTAGTAATGTACACTAACTTGTCCCAAATCAAAGTCTCGTTTGATATTGGAGTCATCATCAGGATCGGGTCGGACACTCAGCATGCATGACTCCTCTACAAGCGTCATTATTTTTGCTTCCACCTGCTTGATCCTGTCCTCCACACTAAAACATTGTTAAGAATATTTTTTTCTATTCCTCGTAAGGTCTTAATGTACTTTATAATGCACAATAGAACATTTAGCATTCGCCTCAGACTAAAGCCTTTCCTCTTCCAAAAAATTCTGTAAAATAACTCGAGTTGAAGTTGGTAAAAAAATCGACAGATCGTCGTAGGTCGGAACTATATTAAAAGATATTATACATTATCTTGTTTATTGGGCGTTTCGCTTGTTTTAACTTAAAATAACTGAGCTTAGCTACCTACCTCAGCTTATTATATCATCGTCCACTAGTGCGCTACAGCGTAAACCTTACTTCATATCCTCAAAAAACTCTTTAAAGCACATTTTTTAATGCTGCAGACTCACCTATCCTCCTTTTTATCCTCCCTACTGGGCGTGTCTCTGGCTGTGGAGGTGTATCCTGCGGCGCGGACGGCGGTCACGGGCCGGGCTGCAGCCGTGCCTGCGCGCGAGCTGCCACCGCGCATGCTCACCGTGCCCACACGAAACATCTGTAAGAAGCGTACGAAACCGAAATATGTGTCAACCGTAACGTGGATTTTCCGAAAATATGTGACGAATTTGTTGAATGCCATACGTACCGTATCTTTTTTATACTACGATATTTATTTTTTTCATACAACGATAAACGATTACCGTAGTCTATGAGACCTGAAACACCAGGCGTCAGTTACGCGTTGCCGACTCTTAAGAAACCTTAAATTTGTGGTAAGCGTCCGATGACACCATGTTCGCCACTGTTTCGCCAATTAAAGATACTCACGGTCCCTTCAATGTACATACTTGAATGCTGCCTTTTTGTTAAAATGCATTCATATCTATTTATAAAAAAGGGTGACTTCTATAAATTTTCTGTGAGAGATCCTGGAAAACTTGTGTTACCAAAAATGAGAACACGTTTGTATCACAGTAATAGTTATACCTGTTGCATAAATATATATAATAAATTGCCAACTACAATTACAAATCTTTGTTTAAAATGGTTCAAAGACAAATTAATGAAATGGCTGATTATAGTGTTTTTACTCAGTGAAAGATTATGTTACATGCAAAATAGATGACATTATATAATTTTTATTAATAACTATAAATATTGACATTAATTAATTAATATAGATATTTAAATATATTTGTGGATATTCGTAATGTAATGACATAATTTTATATTAAATTGAATATGATTTAATTTGATTATTTGCATACCTCTAAGGGGTGCTGCATGTCATGTACTTTTATTAGTTAATAAGATCCGAAACTACCATGTAGCAAGCAAATAAATAAATTATTATTATTAATATACCCTTCTTGAAAAACCACAGATAAGAGTATATAGTACCTAACAAACGATCTGCGTTGTGATTGTTTTAATATGATCTTTTTTTTAAGTAATTGTTATTTCCTGATAGGTCATTATTTCACCATTAATTCTTATTTCTATTAAACATATGACCAATATAATATGATTGTAATAATTGACAAAATATCGTAATCAGCAATACTATTGAGACAAGTTTGTGTATACATACCCCAGTTCCCATGCGACTTGGTACTTTTCTTCCTATGCCAGCGGTTTTGAGAGTCTCTTGAAAAGCTTGATCTTCACGCAGGTTACGCGTGTCCAAGGCGGGAGCCACTTCATTGAAACCAGTATAAAGTTCATCGTCATCATCCACTACGATTGCAGTACGAGGTTTGGCATCTGTTCCGAGACGAGATGCACTATAATAGCGTGAACTTATCATTACTTATAATTTTGTAACGTACACAATTTATGCAATTGCGTTTTAGTATGATTTGTTGTGACGCTGTTTCTATAGCAACCATAATGTCACGTACGTCAACCCTATATACTTAACTAAATCAATAAATTGAGATGATTTACATCGGCATTATTATATATTAAATACTTTTTATTTTGAGTGTTTAAACATTTTTTTTTCTTGGATGCTCTGCTCTGTATGTAGCCTTTTAGAACCGCAATCGTAATAATGCAATTTTGTCTACCTATTAGAGATAGAACTTTATATTTGAGAAACTATTCATGCTATGAATTAGAATGGTTTAAGATAGCAACTTTGGTTCTAAAAAAAATCGTATTTTCACTATTTCGAGAGATTCTGCACAGTTTGCGATAATATTCAATTTTAATCTACCAGACATTGTACAATAATACGCCAATAATCACGATCAATATCTTTATTTTATGATCTCTAAAATCAATACAATCAAAGTCCCTCTCATAAACGTCACACCAATGAAACAACTAAAATAAAACAACTGACTGGATCTGACATCACAATTAAAAGATCACGTATTCCGTTTTACAGGACAGTGCTACTGGAAGACACTGAATTGTCGTGGATAATTTGTTCATATTAACATAATATGTCAAACACTAACTTAAAAATACAGTTTACGTCTACAAATTCATAATATAAATGAATGCTTACAACTTCAATGAAGCCCACTCCTCGAGTCAATAGTATCATTCTTATAAACATTCAAAATGGATATAAAAATAAATGTTTGTCAAAAATATTAATTTTCGTCAAAAGCAATAGCAATAACAATGGTATTATTTTATGTACAATTCATGCTTTTTTTAGTATGCCATGATTTACTAGAACACTTTAATCCTGAAAAAAAAAACAATATTCGTGACCCTAAAAGACTAGTAAGAAATGCAAGTATTTATATTTTTGTACATTTTCACTTATCAATAAGATAACACCAGATAAAAATAATAGAAAAATCTCTATTAACGGAGATATGACTTAGATGTTAATATTTTATATGATAGTTATATAAATTTACTTGTTACTCAGATATAATTTTATATACATTTAACATGTCACAGACACAAATATTCTTTCACTCTTATACCAAGACAAAAGTAAGCCAGGTCCATATGTATGATAATTTTTAAAATTCGTTTATGTCTTAGTAGAGCTATTGTTGATTGGCACGTAACTATATTAGTACTAATTATAATAATGATAGTCAAACCATAACAAAAAAGGTATAAATTGAGCGTGGTACAATAGTATCTCTATATGTCGTGGTCAGATCGCAGAATTAATCATACAGTGTGTAGTATAATTTCAAGAAACATGTAATTGAAAGATTAACGTAATTAATATAGATAGTTTCAAGATATAAACAAATAGATAGTTTTTTAAATTATTATAACAAGATATAAACAAATGAGTTTATACCAACATTATATGTAAATACCTGTTTTTTAAATTATTATAACGTTATTTCTGAAGATAAATTAATTTATATCGTAAAGAAATATTAATACTATTCGAAAATGACTTAATGATTGCAGAAGATTTCAATTTACGGTTGCACAAACTAATAAATCGTCTACAAGAAACTAGTTATTCATTCACACGAGCTTAGCAAATTAGAATCTACCATTAAAAAAGAAATGGATTTGTTTGAGTAGAAACAATATTTTTGCAATATTATATGCGCGATACAGATTATATCGTTTTTCCTAATTCCCTTGAAATAAGCTTATTGTTTTGATTACCTAATTTAACGTTAATTTCCTTACAACCTGATTATTATTTAGTTGGTAAGATTAAAGAATAAAGGTTTTTATTTTCTTTCGAGTAATATGTTATTTTAGTTAACATTTTTCAGTCATCTGAATTCAACATTTTTTTTAAATTTAGACGGGATATTGATATTTCTAATCCCGACGATCCCGAAGTATTCCCTAAATAAGTTATAGTAAAATGTCAATAAATAAGTTCCTGATGAATTCATAAATTTAGAAACATTTTTTTGTATACATCTTAGGACTGTCTAAAGTAATGATATGGCTAAATATCGATAAATAAATTTACAACTTGGACGTTAAAAATCAATAAAAATGTTATAGAATTCCACAGTTTTACGAAACGGTCGAATAGGTACTTTATGGTATGATGGATTTTGCCATTTGGCCATTACAGACATTTATTATGGATTGCCAACAAATTGTAGTGTGGATCCGACTTCCAATTCTCAGCGTTATTTATATAATTGATTATACTCACCTGACTTATTGTATTTAGATACATTATAACAATTTCGGTTATCTACATAAATTAGGTACTCTCTTATTGTAACATTTCATAGCCTCTTTGTTATAGTCTTATTTTTCTATTAAATTGGTAGTATCAGTGAAACAAACTGAATCAGCAGGCATAAGTATAACTTATTAATTTGAAATAGTAAATTATTTTGATTTTTATAGAAATTAGTAGATTGTAAACTTTATATAATTGATTACATCATTCTGATATTTCATTCATTTAATTAACACTGCATTTCTATGAAATTTGTTAGCTACGAGAAACCGATTTCTTTTCATAATGTTCAATTAATTAAACTATATCATACATATATATTATTCAGCTGCTTTATGTTTATATCTTAACTACTAAATCATGCGACATGACAATACAAAAAATATGGCTTCTTATCAAGTCAAACTTAACTACATCATTTAACTTTTTCGATTCATTCATACATATTATCATGGTATCAGTTTCATACGACCACATACAAATGTCATTGTCTGTTTTAAAACAAGAAGTAGACTGACACGATCATTAACTGTATCAGACGTTATTCGGCAACATGGAGTTGGCTCATTGTAATCACAAACTAAAGCACCAGTGTGGGCCCGAGCTCACTTCGATACGCAAGCACACTCAAATTTACACAACTCGATGAGATATTCTAATTTCAACACTATTTTTGAAGATCAGGACTTATCGTTACAGAGTTAACGAAGTTTAACATAGGTAAGGCGAGAGGTCTGAGCAAGAAGTGCCGACTGTAGCTAGATCTGAGTAGAGAAACGTGGGCGCGGTAGTTCGAACACGTCGCCGTGTACAGACCGGGCCAATGCTTTGATGCTAGCAGCTATGTCCTGCGGCTCCTCCTGAAGAATTTAATGTATTACATTATATATATGTAGGATATCTGGATGAAGATAAATTGATTGAATATTGATTCTATGTCAAGGTGAAGTTCTTAATTTCAACATATTTTAGGGTAGCTAGAAACCAGTATTTCTTGGATTAATTCCATTTAAATAATACACATGCATTTTATACAGGGTTTGCAAACTGATGAAAAAGTAAATAAATTCGATTTCATTCCCGACTGCGGAATGTTATACAGGCTTAGTTGAAATGATATATACTAAGATGATATATACGAAATCCAACAATAAATTTTATTAGACTGAATAACTTTCTTTCCAAAGAAGGAAAGTGGTAAATTTTTTACCAACTTCATATGAACTATTTATTTTACTGCGATCGTCGAAAAAAGTCGAGTAAAAGAAAAAATCAGAATCAACGTAAAGTAATAACGAAAATATAACACCAGTATGAAAAACTTAAAAGTTATTTTGAGATATGGACCTATTCCTTTATGAAAGTTGTTCATATTCATGAGTAACTTACCATTTCTTTATGTAATTGGAATGGCAAACTAGGTGCCGGTTAACCTGATGATAAGCTGTGATCTATGTCGTCATACCTCTTATCCTGTAATTTTACTGCATAATCTGCACCCTATAAACGTAACACAGCTTACAAAGTAAGCTACTTGGCTGCTGTCCAATAGGTCCAATGGGGTACTGACACATACTACTTTTTACAGTCTACCTCTAGTGAACCTAACTTCCGCTGACCCTTTATAAGTAACGCTGTTTAATTAACCGCCAAATAGTAAATAATTCATAATACTTACATCGTCATCGATTTCTCTGCGTGTGGTACGGTCGTCGGGGAATTTTGGCATATCGATTGGCAGCGAGTGGGCAATGTCTCCTCCAGCGGCGTAGGGGCGGCGACGTGCGATATGGATACCCTCGTCGTTGCTGCCTTCTATAGAAACTAAATACGTTTAAGATGAAATAAAACTATTTAAGTACAACTTAGATATTATCAATTTCATAATTAAAATGAAGCATTTTGTTTTCTGCGCATTATAATTTCGTTTTATGTGTCCAAAATAAAGCATTGGAATAAATATCTCGGTTTTGACGTAATAGCTTATTTTATTTACCCACCTTGTCCGTGGGTGTTCACAATTAAAGAACCTCTGTGATACTAGACTCACTCACTTCGGGTCGTCCGCTGGTCCTTTTGAGGACCGCTGGGTACGGGCTCCGAGCTTGCGCTCCTTGCCCGGGCATTCTGCTGGGGTGAACCACCCCAGCGTCGTTCTTTTACCGGCCGGCCGGAGGGCGGCTGCTTCTTGGTAACCGCCTGTGGGCGTCGTCTGGCGGGAATCATTCTTTCGCTCGCCGAGCCGATTTAACGCCGCCACGTCACGTAAAAAACGAGGACGCGCAAGTGCGCTTCGCGCCCGCTGTCCGCGCGCGAGTCAGATATCGCGCGCGTCAACCGAACGACGAACTGCGCGCGGGACCTTGAGGTCGGCGTCACGTCATGGGCGCGCTTGGAGGGAGGGGGCGGCGTTTTGTTGTACGCGCAGTCTCCGCCGCTGTGACGCCGAGCACAGTGCGTACCATGCGGGGGCCGCGCGCGAATATAGTCAGACATCCTGCAGTCTAGATTGTAAGACCGGTCGCAGCATAGCACGGGCTGCCTTGGCTTGGGTAACAGCCCGGTCCACCTGCGGCGTCATACGCAGCGACCGGTCGATTTCTACCCCTAGGTAACGCACTGTGCGTTCCCACTGTATGGGCTGGCCTCTCAGTAGAAGGGGCGGCGGGTATTTGCACCCGGGGCGGGTAAGCAGTGCCACCATTTTACCCACATTAACGGTGGTGCGCCATGATACTAGATCACAGAGGTTGTTTAGCTGTTGTTTAATACTTCCCATAGGGAAAATTTATCACGCACATTATATAATAGATATAAACATTTATGTTGAAGAATATGATTGTTTACATAATCTACTAATCTTTTACTATAAAAAAAATATAATCAATGCTTAATGCTTATTTTTTACGTCAACTAAACTATAGCTTAGTATTTTAGTTGACTATGATTAATAATAATGAACTAATTGTAACCAATTATTGTGCGGGATGTTTTTTTATTTTAATAATAATAATATTACTTTATTTATACATATTTTTTTGTATAAATAAAGTAGTGGAAAGTAGTATAGTACCTGGAAATTAATATTTTCTTTTAAATTGTGCTGGATGTTGGATGGCATGCTGTTTGTTGTGCGGGGGGAAATTATTAAAGCAACCATTGCCATTTGTACATGTTTATCTAACACTTTCTGGACAATAACAAATGATTGGACATCGTCGGCCGCGCAACTGGGGTCTGCGAGCAAGCCTGCGGCTACTGCTACTTAAGGGGGCATGAATGGCATCAGACTGGCCCCACTTCACATCTCGCCACCGAGAAACGACTCGCGCGTCCTTCACTTGTATTTTACATCTCGTTATTTGTACAATATAATATATGTTAAAGTATACAAAAATACAGTACTTGAAAATCCATTAGTGTAGAACCCTACTATAAGACTGACGTAATAGAGAAACAAATATAGTGGCTGGCGCTTTAATTAGTTTTCTATTACTATTAGTAATATAAATGAACTACTTACGGTCTGAATCATAATCGTCATGGTCCGATATCATGTTGTTGCGTGAGTCCATGCCTTCTAAATCGAAAAGATCTTCAGCGTCCAAAGAATCTTCCTCTTGAGGGACGTTTCTAGCCTGTTAACAGTAAAATAACGATTATTTTACAATTTTTATTGATATACGTATAATTTGTAAATATATATAAGTAGGTACGTAAACATAAATTGGTAATGTTTAAATACATATTAATTCTTTAATTAATGAAGGCCAATAATTCGATGGATCTGTAGCCTTTATTCCGCACAAGGGTGGTTCTCTATGCATACGGAAATTACCGATAGGAATATAAAAACGCGAAAAAGCATTCCGTCTGAGACACAGCATATCTAGTATGCTGTGTCTGGTCGTAATTATATTAGCATAACCTATCAGTTTTAGAATGAGCCGTGATCTATAAGCCTGATATGTAGTTCGTTTAGCCACAGACGGTTCAGTAAGCTCAATGGCTCTTAATTTCTGATATTCTCATTGGAGAATGAGCGGTGAATGATGTTGAACATTCACCGCACATTCTACAATGCCATTTTTGCCCTTTCTAAAGTAGTAAAATAGTAAGATATGTCGAAAATGCTGCTTATCTCTCCATATTTAAAAGGGCACCAACCAAAAACTATTGCGTAGAATTAATTGATATTTTTCACACACAAGCCTTGCTATATAAGCTCTCAAACCATATAAAAATGATACGGCTTAAGTCTGAAGTGGGTGCAAAAAAATACAATTAAATCCTCTGCCAGGAAAAAACGAACTTATTTTTTTAACACCCTAATAGTTATAATTTTTTAAATTGTAACTATTAGGGTGTTAAACCTTTAAAATGTTATTTTAAAGATAGTTAAAACGATAAAAAGCGTTATAATAATAATTATTTTATTCATTTGTAATCCTACTGTAAAATCACTATGCAAAAAAGGAAATTCCAAATTTTAATGTCTATAAAAATGGCTTATTTAGTTACATAATACTAGATAATTAATATATTTAATAATTATTTTAATGCATTTGTAGTAATTTGTATAGACATTTTTTGACGCAGACTGAAAAAGAAAATCAATGTTCTGTTTTGAATATTCAAGCTATCACAAATATAACTTGTACTTTTACCTTAACAATATTTTGTGAAACTTTTTTGGCATCTTTGAAGGAGGACAGTCTTCTTCTCTGGAGTGGAGGTAGCTGTGGTGATGGCGGACCATTGTCGAGACTTGTGTCCACTCTCCAGCCATCACTGTCCACAGTAGATGCGCGCGCCTTGCATACAATGCTGTAAGCATAAATTTTCTTTTTAATGATCATAATAAAAACATTAATAATTATTCCTCAAGATATAAACACTATTAAATGTAATTAAAGAAATATCTACAATTATGTTTATAATTATATAGAAGTAAAAATAAAACTATAATAAACAAAAGTCACCTAGCTAAAATCTTGTGATCTCTTTGAGCTCTATCTTTGTATGCTTCATATTCTGCATATTTCTGATCTCTAAATTGTCGTACTGAATCCTCGATAGCTTCTAGTTGAGACTCCAGGGTCTGGTTGAGCTGCTTGTTAAGGCTACCTATCATGTTCTGTGTTGGCAACACTTTGTTATCACTAAACATGCGATTATTTGTATCTATGTTCTCTTTCATTTCAATATCATTGGTTACTTCAGGGACCAACAAATTGAAGACTGGTGAGAAGTTATTTGATTTCCTCAGAGCATTTACACGTTCTATAGTAGTCTGGAAACAAAAAGACAATATATGATCCTAATGTAAAGAAACTCTTATTTAAAACAATAAGATATATGCTAGAATATTGTGGTATATAAATATACAAAAGATTGAAGAAATAAAATGCACTACCACTTCTTAAATAGCCAAAATTATACACTATGGTTCAGAAAGACCAATTCAGACATTGTAGACTAAAGGTCTTCAAAGGGTCTCCTATCTAATGTATAGTTTGCCATTAAGTCTATTTGTAAACATACAATAACAAATCAAGTTTTGTTAATAAAAGTACTGCCTTCATATATTATGTACTTGTAAAGTTGAGTTAAATATTATGAATTATAAAATCTGCATCAAATTTCTAATTTATAATGTATTCATCATTAATATCTGGAATAACTTATACAGAAACAGCTACTATTTATAGTAGCATTGTAAGATAAGATCTTTGTCGTCACATGTAACCAATAAAGACTTTAACTTATAGAGGTCATTTCTAATGTTACAATACAATTGAAGTATCAGGGAGAGTAGATTATTGGTAATAGGAATTAATTAAATAAAAAATTAATGCCAATTTGAAAGCAAAATACCATCATAGGTAGGTAGTACTTCCATGAGATCATCCTTGAATCTTATTTATTTCTAGTAAATTTGCCATGATAAGCCAACGAATTTGCATCATTTTACACTTGGCATTGATATAGGCAGGTGCAGTATTACATTATGTTTTTAAATGACTCTAAAAATATGAAAAATCTATTTTAATACTTACAAGAGTAGACTTGGCAATGAGAGCAACACAAGGCCCATTAGATTTGTCCTTTAATACAGCATAAGTACTTTGATTGCAAGCCAGGCATGTATGAATATCCCAGCGACCCACAGTGCGAAGACCTAACAATGCTTGCTGTGTGCTTTTTATCTTTAAAGAACTAATAGGACATGACAGAATTTTCTGAAATAATAATATAAAAAACCTATTATGTATCAGTTAGATAAACTCAGATATTTAACTAATCTTTGTTAACCTTCAGAGATAGACAACATGGAATAATATAGAGGTAATTAGTATAAGATAGCTGAGCCTGCAACTTAATATATGTATAATTTTTTGTTTGAAAACCAATTGAAATAAAACACACAGAATTTTAGGTGAAGCTTATAATACTGATTATGTATATTTTAAATGCATTTCAGGCTAACATATATCATATATGTATATTACAGTTACATGACCATCATTAAGAAGTAAAAACAGAAACAGTCACCTTAAATCTGTAGACACAAATACTCAGATATAATAAATATAATTTAAAAAGCAGCAAGAGTGGTTATCTCTGCTTATTCAGAAAGAGCCCAGGAGTGAATATAAGGTATATATTCATGATGTGGCAACAATTGTGTAATATTCAAATTATTGCAATAGTCAATACCATAACGTATGGGAAATGAATGCAATACACAGACAAACAATACACCTGCAAGTCTACTCTGCAAACTAATTTGAATCCAATGTCATTGGATTTCATTGTTTCATACTTTTAAATTCCAGAATCAATCACTATTACTTAAGTGTTTTATTTAATTGACATTGATCTGAATTTATTTTTTACTCTTGATTACGTTTAAAAAAAAGAAATTGGATTAAATTGAAATCAAAACTATTATTATACTCCAGAGTGGGCCTTCTGTATGCTATTTCAGTTGTATAAAAATAAAACACTGCACTAGATCTGTCTGAACAGACAATTTAAATTGATTATCTTTATTTAATATGAATTGCAAAATTATAACATCTGTTATTCAGTTGAGGGATAGATGATCTAGAAAAACAAAACAAACATGTATCCATATATATTATGAATGCTAATTAGTGCTGAATATGTATTATTAGCACAAGTTATTACAATAGGTCTGTTTTGTTTTATCTAATGGACGTTCATGGATCAAATATCAAACAATATGTACCTATTTATTGTTTGAAATAAAGCAAATGTGAACAGAGAAAACTTAAAAAATAACCTGTAATCATATTTAAGTGTGTATGTAGAAGCCGAATCCACATGTACCCAATATTATTATGTACAAAGACAATAATATACACTACAAAAAAATCGAGCATCCATTAAATAAACAATAGCCCTTTTACAAGTCAAGGTCAAGACATGTTTACTGATGGTAGGTACCTCACTGAAAAAAATATCCCTTTGTTCGGAAGTTGATAATTCCAGCTTCTCAATATCGACATTATCTTGAAATTTATCACTTTCCAGAGTTACATTCAAACACTTACAAACGTAAAGAGCCATTACCACAATAATGAACTGTTTTGTTGATAAAACACAAGAAAAATAACGAGATGAAAAATGTTAAAATTGTCCAATACCAATACATACAATAGTTTCAGTAAAAGCGTATTTATATCTTCAATGGTACAATAAAATACAAATCGTCTAGAAATAAGTTTGTGTTGGTATATTTTTACTCTTTCTAATACACGATATATAAAAAAGATAGACAATAAAGTAAAAATGAAGTAGTCGTGAGTTTTTTATTATTGTACCACAGTCTGCTTGATAGCAGTGTTGTCCATTTACCGGTTTCCTTTCCACCTGATTTTACTCATTTTTCTGTTCCACTAAAATTTAGGTTATGATATATGACTTTGTACCCACGTTTTTAATAAATTCGCTTTATTATTCTTGTACTAAGGACTTTGTTTTTTGTACTTCAATGACTCTTATTTCTCTTTTAGTACACTGTAGGTACATGACACTACACATTGTGCTCTTATTTATTATTCCTGCATTAACGACTGAAAATTCATAACTGTTTCATCATAGCTTCAATTAACTACCCATTAAACTTTTTACTAAGGTTTTTAGGTCGCTGTCGCCATATAATGTTCCTTCATTTGGGGAGAGTACCTCCCATATGACATCACTGTCTCACAATGTTGCCAAGTCACAATGCAGAAATTAAAGAATATCTCTGTTCAGAGGTACAGATTGTCTCTTCAAAAATCAGAATATCTTACATACTTGCTATTGTCAAAGCCATTGACAATTGACAAATTGACAAGAAAATTTGAATTCGTACTTCGTATGTTCGTACGTAATCGTAGTTTTTGATTTTGATTCTAAAGTTTTGTGTCGTGGCTGCTTAAAGTTTACGCATTGAATTTTTCCAAATAGATGTAATTGCAATACACTTTTGTTTAAATTGTAACCTTATTTTACTTATAATTATTTTGTGGCTTATTTCATTATCGTATAGATATTTCTATTAGTGGTTTTCTTGAATCGTGAATAATTGAGTACCAGTGAGTGTGAGGTTAGCGGTCATTAGATGTCCAAAAAGTTTTATGATGTCCAAAAGAACACAGCCTAATTGGTCACCACCCGCAAAATCTGAAAAGCGTCCTGTTTTAAAGCTATACAATAGCTTGACACGCCAGAAAGAGGAGTTTGTGTGCAATAATGGAAACCATGTTAACTGGTACAGTTGTGGCCCAACTGTGTACGATGCTTCGCATATGGGACATGCTAGGTAATTCTATAATTGTTTACAAATAGTGTGGTAAAGAAGCATATGGAACCCCTTATATTAATTTACAGCCTATAAATACCTCTTATACGGGAGGAATCCCTTGAGACCATTATTTCAGATACCAATCTTACGGCATAATCACCTAATAATTTGTTTGTAACATAGTTTCTATCTTTAGATGAAAGACAGAATAAGATTAGAATTATTATACACTGTATACCATCTGCTGTTGTGTATAAATTCTTTATCCCACTTTAATCCTGGTTTAATACATTTTCTGTAATTCATTATTATATCTATAATTCTCAAAACTACCCATTGTCAAAATGTCTCTAAAAAAGTTTTATTATGATTTCAGATCCTACATATCGTTTGATATCTTGAGGCGCGTAATGTCTAATTATTTTGGTTATGATATACTTTATGTTATGAATATCACTGATATTGATGACAAAATTATAAAAAGAGCAAGACAGAACTATTTGTATGAAAAATATGTGAAAGAACCTCAAGATTTAAATAATACAATAGATGATGCAACAACTGTAGTGGATTACTATGAAGGTGTGGTCCAGAAAACTACTGATCCAGACAAAAAGAATACAATGCAAAAAATGTTAGATAAGTAAGTATAGTAATATACAAAACCTTTGATGATTTTTATAATAATTTCTATTTTTATTTATATCACATAACTTTGTTTACTGTGAGGTATAAATGTGGCATAGCAATGTGTAGCTACTCGATTTGATTGATATTTATAGACAAAAAAATACTTTTTTATTTGGAAGAAGGCTATTTCGTTATTTAAACTTGGTAATAAATATAATGCTGTAATATTATTTGACAATTAATAAAAACATAATAGTTTACTATAAATTTTTAAGACATAGTCATCCTATCCTACCTTTATGTATATATATATTTCTAATATTTTTAGTGTTGCATTAGCTGTCAAAGAGCTAAAATTAGCAGTAGAAACTAATGATGTTGAAAAAATTAGGATAGCAAAATGTGAATTACTGAAGTCTGCAAAGGATCCTATATCAGACTGGCTGGATAGTAAGTATGGGTCAACAGTGACTGATAATGCAATATTTGAATCACTGCCTAGATATTGGGAAAATGAGTTTCATAAAGATATGAAAGCACTTAATGTGAGTACAATTGTTTTTTTAACACAATATTTCTAAAAGGTGTATTAGTTTTTTTCCACTGTCACTACACAAGTTGTATAACACTTAATATATATCATTCACATATAAAATCACTGATTTTGACAAACATGAAATTAATTCCAAATATTTTATAATGTAAAAACAACTTATTTCGCATTGCCAGCAGAATTTTCTAAAAATTTAACTACATATTAGATTAAATCTGAACAGCATTTAAAATACTTAATATATTATTTTCCAGGTTCTACCTCCAGATGTATTAACAAGAGTGAGTGAATATGTACCTCAAATTGTAAAGTTTATTGAGAAAATATTGGAAAACAACTTGGCCTATGAATCTAATGGCTCAGTTTACTTCAATGTCGGTGAATTTGACACCAGAGATAAACATCATTATGCTAGATTGGTTCCAGAAGCTTATGGCGACACAAAGTCGTTACAAGAAGGAGAAGGTAATTTTTATGCATTAACTTTAAAACTTTGTGTAATTTGGATAGGTGTTGCATAATGTTTATGGCCATAAGTTACATTAACCTTCCTCTCTCTCTGGTCTAAAATAAAATCTGACATGACTCCCCTGTGGTAGAACCACAGGGCAGGTATACAGTTCTAAGCCATTTAACAGGCTGAGGATGGGATACTAACTGATGGGATTATAACTGAGAGTAGTTATTATATTGAGCATAATGTATAACTATAAATATGTATATACCTATAAAATATTCAGGTGATCTGAGTGATGATACAGCTGAGAAGAGATCGCCGAATGATTTTGCTCTGTGGAAACGGAGTAAGGCCGGTGAACCTTCATGGCCATCTCCATGGGGTGCTGGTCGCCCAGGTTGGCATATTGAGTGCTCGGCTATGGCATCTGATGTGTGTGGATCTCAACTAGATATACATACTGGAGGTGTAGATCTTAAGTTTCCTCATCATGATAATGAGCTAGCTCAGAGTGAGGTAAGTGGACATTTAAGTTTTATTTAAATTTTTATTTTAAATCCTGCATTTGGTTCTGTCCTTAATCACATAATGTATTCGTGCTGAGGGGTAAGACCTACTCCATAAATCATCTTTTTAGTACCTCAAAGATTTTTAATATTGTGTATTATATTTAAATATATAGGTATAAATTATAATATAATTTTATTCTAGTAAAGACAAGGTTTCTACATGCTGTTTCTTGGTTTAGTAATTGCATATTTGACAATAAATTAAATACATGATATCTTACTACACCCCCTCCTCACTTGTGATATTTCGCAATTTTTTGCCGAACCCACCCCCAAGTCTCATATGATTATTAGACGACCCTTATTAAAACTGTAATAAATTTCGGTAAGTGTTAAAAATAATATTATAAATGGTCTACAGGCTCATTTTGATCAGCCGGGTTGGGTGAAATACTTCCTACACACGGGTCACCTGACGATCGCTGGCTGCAAGATGTCTAAGTCACTGAAGAATTTCGTAACAATTAACGAAGCATTACAACGACACACTGCTCGACAACTGCGCTTCGCATTCCTACTACATGGCTGGAAGGATACACTCGACTATTCTGATAATACTATGGAAATGGCAATACAAACTGAAAGACAGTTTAATGTACGTGTATTATATTTATTATTAAAACGTCCTCGATGGTCTAGCAGTTTAGCTTACCACTTTATTACCGATGATGGCGCATTTAATTCCTCCCACTCAATATATTCATGTTATATATGTGATGCAAAAAAGTTCTTATACAATTCTATCAGTTCTTTAGTACAAGTTTTGATAAGTTCACATTTGTCTTGGATTAAAAAAAATCCAAGTACCTTGGCTTTGCGCGGGCCGAAACCTACAGTATATCCCATATATATATATATATATGTGTCAAAGGCTTCTCATGGATTGTGTACATAAACATTAATTAAGAAATTATCGAAATTTTGTGAAAAACTTATATCAAAATTCATTATGCGATTTAGAAGAAGTAAGCTAAAAACAGCCTGTGGTGAACAATGATATTACTTTACTATTTATGAATATTCTTAGTATTCCACTTCGAAAATAAACACCAATAACAAACTTAAAAAGTTACTTCGAGAGATTGTGATGCCATGTTGGATTCTGATATACATAGCGATAAATCTTTATAATTAGGATATTCTATCTTTCAAAAAGCAGACTAGTTTAAGTAGAAGCTAGTATTATCTATTCGTTATTATTGTAGGAGTTCTTCCTGACTGTGAAAGATGCATTGCGTAGTGGATACGCTGAAGGCAGCGGCGGCTGCTGGGGACCAGAAGAACAACAGCTATCCACTAAATTCACCCAGGTCCAAGAACAGGTGCATGCTGCTCTCTGTGGTTAGTACGTTTTTCAAAATTTACTATTTTACCTTTATTTCTGTGTCATTTATGCCATATATACTATATACAAAGGCTTGTATGTCTGCGTGACTACCTCTGGCTCACGTATTTTAGCCGCTAAGCAGCTTATTATTTTGTACTGTGTTTCACTTAGAGGGTGAAATATGGCAGTCAAATTACTGAATATGAGGCATAACATCTTAACACGGCTACATGGTACCTCGGGCGTATATGATGACGTGGATGTTCATGGTACAGTGTTTAATTATATTGCACGGTTTCTACTTACAAGCTAAGTACTATTAATCCAAGTACTATTTTTTATTCTTAGCTTCTAACAAACTAAGATGTTAATCATAAAACAAGTTCCTTATTATTACATCTATTGTATAATTTGCTATCGAAGATGCTTAGGAAAATAAGAACTATTAAATCTTTTAAGAATTTACTGACAATCACTCATATATACTCATAACACCTTTTAAGGAGTCCATTTTATTAGAGATAGGCTGTAAAACGTCATATGTGATCTATATCATATCTGTGGTGGTTCGTCAGCCTGTTTGCCATTCCAATTACATAATAAAAAGTACATAAGTATAATGTTCGATGGGTGTGCGCGCGCAGACAACATAGATACGCGTGGGGCGCTGGAGGCGCTGCGCGAGCTGGTGGGCGCGGTGCACGTGTACTTGGGCTCGTCGGGGCCGCGGCCGTCGCCGCTGCTGGCGTCGGCCGCGCGCTACGTGACCGACGTGCTGCACGTGTTCGGCGCCGTCGCCGGGCCCCGCGGCGGCATCGGCTTCCCAGTGTCCGACGACGACAGTGTTTGCGTAAGTGCACCTTTCATTTTGAATTGTAATTTATCCAGTATATTGTCATATACTGTCTTCATAGGTGGTGGTCGAAGACGTCATTGTAATTTAGGCCCATTTTATTTAGTCATGACACATATTTTCCGTTTGGTAGTTTTCAACACGGGGCCTTAGTCCGCCCCTGATTTATGAAGGACCTATGATTTTTTTTCTTCATTATAATTTATTATGCCCGTTAATTTATACATATATAATTAAATATAATTAAAATAACAGGATCATTAAAAATAAACCTTGGTAAGATCCCGTAATTTACTAATTATAAGTATATACCCGATAAATTGCAGAAAGATAATTTAGACTTCGATTAAGCAATATAGATGATGATAAGATAGGATTTGGCTGGGCAGGGAGAGAAACACGAGCGGTAAAGGTGAGTTTGACGTACGTCACCTATATACGTATAACGAGTAACATGTAACAGTACATCGAGCGTCACAAAGCATTGCTATATGTTGTAACTTGTTATGCTTCCGTACTATGTAACTGCCAGATATCTGTACAGAATAAGGTGGGATGATACGAATCATCATGAAATTAAGTCAGTTATACAATCGTCACTCAACAGGAATTAATCACAAGAATTTCCAGGGGAGGTTGCGTGGAGGCAATTTCTATATATATTTTTTAATAGATGTTAATAGAATATTGCAACCGCCTGCGGTTTACGCTGACGGGGCCAGTAGAAGATGATAAGAGCATGAGGTCAGGTCAGTGAGGCCGTCGTTACAAATTGACAAGGAATTTATCACGATGGCCTAATAACCTAAGCTAACCTGAAATCGTACATTGCTAGCAAGGGGATCCATATAATTAACAATTCCCTTCACTCCTACATTTTCTATATTTGAGGAACATGGTTCCTTAGATTCCTCACGTTCGTTTAAGGAACAGGTTAGATGATATGGTGCAGGTGGAGGAGAAGGTGATGCCATATCTGGAGGCGCTGAGCTTGTTCCGCGGGCGCGTACGCGAGGAAGCGCGCGCGGCCGGTGCGGCGAGTGTGCTGCAGCTGTGCGACCGACTGCGCGACTACGACTTGCCGGAGCTCGGCGTCCGTCTCGAGGACAAACCCGGTATGTTGCTCCACAAACAATAGTAGTGGCCAGAGGAACTGCTGCTGTAAATAAAGCAATGTACAAACATCATGTTCGGACAAGTCGTATCCTTATGGTCCTGAAATGAGACTGCATTCCCGATAGCGACGGATGATGTGTGGCTTTGCTATTTTAGTTTTATAAAAAATAATGTGGGATTTGTAGTATTTAACAGCCACCTAATACAGGGTATTACTTTTTAACTACTGTTCCATCTTTTCATGCGAGGAATATAAAATACAGACATTGATAATATAAATTATTAATATAGTTAACGGGTTTAACACCAATAATTTAATGGCAAAATAAATATTAAATGTATAGTTCTTCATCGAAATAGATTAACGGTGATTTTGCTTATTTATCTTGGTAATAATATTTTAGTTATATTAAATTATATATATTTTAGATCGTACCGTCGTTAAATTGGTTAGTAAAGAAGAATTAATAAGAGAAAGAGAAGAGAAAAAGAGAGTGGAAGCAGAAAAACTAAGGAAGAAACAAGAAATTCTGGAAGCTCAACGGGCCAAAGAGGAACAGAAGAAAATCCCGCCTAATGAAATGTTTAAGCTAGAATCGGACAAGTACTCCAAGTTTGATAATCAGGTAACATATTTGTGTCCTCCTATCTATAAACCGTTGTCTCACTCATTGTCAACGAAACTATAAAAGAATACTCGAATGGTGACCCCGTAAAGGTCCGCCGACAAGTTGTAGTAATGACTTCAAATGTGTTACAGAAAGTGAAGTACTTGAGTCACGGGCCGATTTGTGTCCCGTATAGTCGAAAATTATTTCAAATAAGTTTAAAATTGTGTATTTTAAGATATAAAAAAATTTACAGTACAGTTATAGTTAATATCTTAGCCTCCCCTATTTCAGTCACTAAGTACTTTGTAAACTCTGTTTCGTTTGAAGGGTGGGATAAGGCAGTATAATTACAGAATTAAAAAAAAATGCATAATTTCACATGACAACGTGATCTCTGTAGAAATGTTCATCTGTATAGAATATGGTTACCACTTACTGTCAGGTGAGTCAGCAAAGAAAATGTTAACTTATGAAAACATGTTGTAACTGGTGTATCCACTGTTGTAGGGGTTGCCAACACATGATCATGAAGGTAAAGAACTTAGTAAGGGTTTGGTGAAGAAACTGCAGAAACTACAGCTAGCTCAAGAGAAGAAATACAATGAATATTTAACATCCATAAATACTTGCTAACTATTGTGTAATGGGAAACGTAAACCTTTGTTTAACTAACTAAAAAAAAAGCCGTTACTTTTACGATGATATTATGTATATATATAGACACAAGAATAGAGTGGTTATCCAAATTTATTAAGAGATATTAAAAATGTGATTGGAATTTTACATACGAGTATAGATGTGTCGTACTTTATTATAAATATTAAATATCTACGCAAAGTTATTTGATTTGATTTGATTTCTAAGTTGCGTGATTTTTATTAGAATGGTGCATAATTAAATACATAATTAGTCTTAGTGCATACTGGTCGAATGTATTAAGAAATGCACAAATTTTCTCAAAAAACAAGCAGATATTTACTTTTTTTAATGTTTGTACAAAAAGTCTCGTGGCTAATTTGGTATGACAGGTTTGTTTCTATTTCTATTGACTTAACGACTAATTACACCTATCCCGTATTAGTAATAATAAAAATATATTTATTGAACTTATGTTTGTTTTTGATTTTCAAAAGTATAAGTTTATTTTTATTATATAGATTTGAAACAACAAATGTCTAGTATTTTTTATTTTTTTTTTATATTATTTTTGTATCCTACACAGTAACGAAGATATTACTTAAAGTTGTTTTTAGACTAAGTGAGCGGTAATTTTAATTGTTAATCTAAGGTATTATATGCATTGCTACATACAAATAAAAACCTAGTTCTATTTTCCTTATTTGCATTTTGCAGTCAGTCAAAATAATGTAAGATAGTATTAAAATTCATGCATATTTTATTGAAATAGACTTGCCTACCCGTTACTCCTTGTTGCAGATGCATTTTAGAGTTCATACATGAAATTACTTAATAAATATGAGTAAAATACAAAAATAAGACTCCAGTTTATTTATATTTAGATGGTTTACATAATTGGCAGATCAGTATTAAGATTCATCAAACATTAATTTATTTAATAACAACTGTAATGTCATAATAACATTGTATATGCATTGTACACATTTTTAATTAAATAATATTAAAAAATCTTGGATTTTCTATCATGTCATCTTTACCTTGTGATATATGGCTGTTATACAATTAAAAAGTAATTAACAAGGCACAGTATGTGAATCTTGCAAATACTTGGAATCGCGAAATATTAATTACAATATATTATAATAATTTATCGTCTTTTTTGAATACGGTGGGTTTAAACAAATTAAGATAATGGAAAATATTATTTATATATGTCTTTACTTATTAATATTACGCACTTTCTCAAATTCATTCACGATCACTTGTCCTTTTCTCTTCATTTTTCATTGTTTTAGTTTAATAATATAAATAAAAGAAATATATATTTACCACATCTAATAAGATAAATTATAGCATAAACTAATTGAGCTATTAAAAAGAGGGCTGTACTAGAATCCACCGATTATCCACATTTATCTAAACATTAAAAAAGAATTACCTCGATGTGGATCGTCAGTCATAACAATAGGGCCTACTATACGCATGAATAAGTACTCTATAAAAATGGAAGCCGCGCGGAGCCGCGTGTGCTGTGACAGAAAATGTATAAAAAAAATTAACACCAGTTTAAAAAAGGTAAAAAGTGAGGTAAACAATTCGGTTGCGTTTTTTGTGTAGAAGTGCCGACAATAGTGTTGTTGGTAGGGTGTCACAAGTACCGCACGCGAGTGGCTCTTGCATCTGCGACTAACGCCTTGCCATTTAAGAATTTAGTTGTTAACAAAATATGGTTGACAAGCATGCGATTTTTTTTTATTTTAGTACCTTTATATATATTTTTTAATGACGGAATATTTAGTAGTCAATATTATAATATGTTTTATTATTCTATTCATTCATATTTTAATTTCGAAATTTATTAATTTTATTCATTAACGTTTCGACAAACATATAAAGAAAGATTCGAAAATCATTTATACTAGGTTTCAATATCGTTTGCTATTTTTTTATATTGAGTAGTATCAGGTTCTGATGCGAAAAATAATTAGGGTCATAGTTAGGTAATAAAAAAGGTCGAAAAAGAAAGTGATAGAAGGTAAATCGGATATTACAAAATTCAAAATATCTTTATTCATGTAGGTCTATTACAGACTCTTATGATATGTCAAATCTACCGTCATTTCGGAATGATATCGAGATGAGAAGAACTGACAAGAAACTCGGCTCGTATTTTTTTTTCAAATAATAGTGGAACATGTTTATAATAATACATAGTCATTAAAATTTAAATTTGGGAGAATACAGTGACCACCAGCATATGCTATCGCAAAGAACAAAAAATTTAATCAGTGTTCACAACCTGAACAGACCAGTCCCCACAAGCAGCACCCGTTCACGAGTATGACGGATGAGCCAGCCATCATTGCACTCAACCATATTTGAGGGAGCACATCGACCCGGCCCACCACGCAGCCACAAGTTTGAACTTTATAGCGTGCATGACTGTTTCAGGTTACTCCACTACGTCAATTATATTATTTACAGCATAGGCTGTACCGATCACAGTTTTCACCCATTACAATATAAAATTTAAATTATTTAAATTACAATATGTCATTACAAAATTTATAATAAGTTTCTTTACTGTTATTATATTATCCATGTCAATGGGAAAATTTTATACCTCATAACAAAAGTTAAAATTGTAATTAAGTCCACACATTGTAGTCATTTAAGTAGTCGTTTATTTTATAATAAGCTTTAGAGCAAAGTGTATTTTTTCATGTATCTTAAATTTGCCTTCACTTAAATTTAAAACACTATCTGGCAATTTATTATAAAAATGAATACAATGTCCCATGAAAGATGTTAATTTATTTTTATTCTTTGCATTAAAAGCGTGTAAGTGACTATTTTTTGGAAATAAATTTAAGTTTTTGCGTACGTACATAATATTTTCATATATATATTGAGAGGGAACAGTAGTCGTTACTTGTTTTACATTTGGTAAAGAGAATTTAACACATTTCGTTTTCATTGAATTAAACGCTAGATTATTCGATGTAAATCAGTTTAGAACATCCTCAAGAGCAATATTTATATTATTAAAATCCTTTGTATTTCTTTTCACTTTGAAAATAAGTGATGTGTCATCAGCAAACAATGCTTTGTCAAGTATGTTTTGAAACTGTTTACTAATATCTAAGCGCTAATTAAAAAGTCATTCGACAGTATAGACAGCCTGTAAAGTTAATCCGGCAAAAATAAGTAGTACTTTGTGTCTATTCTGACAGAATATTTGTTTCTGTTACTATTGTATAGCATGAATTTACATAAGTGGGGCGTATCGGACCTTACGGGTTATTTGATGAAACTGTCCTAGCCGTTCCGGCTACGGCGACAGCTTCAAGGACTCCTACGTCTTTCATATGCTCTCATGTAACTAGCATATCCCAACTTATTTTTAAAAGTTCGCGCACATTTTGGGCATGTTAAGATATTATTTATGTAAATGTAATTTATAGCCGCTGGTGGACGGGATTTTATTTCCTCGCGTCTCAATTCAAGCTGACGACAACGATGAGACTCATAATTTTGTACTCTAGACTTAACTAGAGCTATCCAATCAGATCTCTGCCACTCTCACCCACTTCGAGGGATCAATCTCACACTTTACCATATGGCGTTTAAGCACATCTTTGTAGCGAAGGAATTGGCCACCTCGTTTTCTATTACCTTCTGCAAGTTCCTAAAAGACGCGCTTCGTCGTGCGGTTTTCCGACATTCCGCACTCCATTTGGAGAAGTTCTTGTGACCTCCCGGACTACGACAGAAAAGTATAAAGCGAACAGAGTAGGTGCCAATACACAGCCTTGTTTAATACCACAAGAAACCATAAAGAATTCGGTCTGATCGCCATCCGACGTAACACAATGGGTTATTTACTATATCATCATCATCATTACGTAGTATACCACAAAGTCGTTGTCGCTGTCTGTCCTTAGATAAATCTTTAAAATCTTTAAAACTACGCACGGACTTTAAAACGGTTTTTTAATGGAGTAATTATAGAGGAAAGTTTATATATATACGGCGAGTAGCTAGTATAGTATATATATATATATAATAGTATATTAGGTTGATCTAAACACAGACAAGCAAAGTTTTTGGTAACAATTTTTATTTATTTAAAAATTCCTAACTGGAAAATTGATTCTTTACTCGGTATTAAAAAAATCTGCCAATTCTAAATCCAACTGAACTGGCTGGCACATGTCTGAGAGTAACCGTTACGAATAACTTTACCGAGGCGAAAACATAATAAGATTTAAATAGGTAGTTTCCAGATTTGATAAAATCACTTTGATTGTGGTCACACTTAACAATAAACTTTGCACGGAAGTTGGAAGGGACGATTGCTTGTGAAATGTATTACTTGGGTAGCGGTTGACCGCCTGGCGAGATGTCAATCACAATCATTTGAATATACTACTATCGTTAGGTAAGTTTGCTGAATATGTACATTGTTCGTTCACATATTTTGAGATTTGAGATTTTGCGATAACGAAATTTTATTATAATAAACTCAATGAACTGAAAATTAACTTCTAAGCAAAATTTCGTTAATTTCCAGAAATGTAAGTACTTATCTACGTTAAATTTGACCATGCGTAATGTTATGCGTAACGGTTTTTCATTGAATTTAATACAAATGTCGAAAGTACAAAAGTACATAGATTCACATTTTTCATTTTGGACATTTATAAAGTTATTTGTATGCAAGTAAGCTACCCAAACAAAATGCCAGATAAAATTAAAGCAAGTTAAAGTACCTACGTTTTGAATTATATTTTTTTATCAATAGGTAACTGTCTGCTGAATCTTAATAATACACCTACTTACGTATCTATGACGCAAAACGATTTTCAAGTAGGTACACTTTCTTACAGTATACCTATCTACACAGCTTTAACATGTATCTATTTCATTTAATTTGATTTGGTGAGATCGTTTCTATATCGTATTTCAGAATTCTACATAATTTAACAGTATCTACCATATCTTAGGTTATGTGTTGAATTGAAGTACCAATATTTTTTATTATTTTTTACCTAGTCAAACAATAAAACAGGATCATCGACATCTTATCCAGCCTAGTTTGAAAATCAACAAGAAAATGAAATTATTGTCTTGACAAATTCCGTGGTAATGGCAATTAAAACTTTAATTTATGAATTAAGGGTGGGATCGTAGGGGATGGGTAATATCGTTTTTAATCTATGGTGATATATTATAAAAGCGGAGAGACGAGCTGTTAGCGAGCTTGTCCCCATCGGACGGGGTTGCAATTATGGCTTGT